CGAACCGACACGAAGATAACAAGCCCCACGAGAGAGAGAGAGAGAGAGAGAAGTATTTTTTTAATTGCCCTCAAATCGAATGTATTAGAAATTGAGTAAACAAGACATTTTATAATAACGTATGTATTTTGTAATTAAACTAATCAATTCTAGACTTGAATTTGAGGGATGCGAATAGAAAACAAATGATGAAAGCTATAATCGTTTTCAATTAATTTGATAAATTCCATTTTCTATCTGTCTTCACTAGTTATCAACTGTTCAACATCGAATAGTAGAGAACTGTGGAAATAATGAAATTCCGAAATGCGTATTTACATACTCTTTATAAAAGAGAAAACTGACACTGCGGATAATTTACGTTCGGATATGTAATCACGAGAATTTTTACGTTTGCAGAAAACAAAAAAAAATCCGACACCTCACACGTATAATTCGCGAGTGATAAAATGTAATGCGTACCGCGCGGCGCACGCAATTTTGTCTCCACTCGCAATTTTTCCGGACTCCGGACTCTCGTCCCATGTTTTAATGCACTTATGGGATTTATCCCAGAGCACGCAATAAATTCTTCTCTCCGTCCTCCCCGCCGCGCCCCGCGTATCTCTCGCGCGTGTTTATTCCGCGAAGGTATTCCGTTGACACCGGTCGGAGATTTATGCCGAAGCAGCTGATCGCAATTTGGCAAGAAGCGTGTCCCACGAAAACGCCGTTTCGTACGCCGCGCGCCGTGAAGAGCACCGTGAAAATTTACCGGGACGCGCGTACACGCGAAGGCGACCAATTAAATCCTCTCCTGAATGTTTCGCGCTGCACTCGCGGTCGTCGCATAACGGCGGCGGTGTTGTAATTACCCGATCAATTAATATTTCATCTCGTACGACTTCCGTCGTACCAATCGAGTAAACGTATATTGCCGGAGTACAATTACGGAAGGCAAGAATTGTCACAAAATAAAAGAGAAAAGATGAAAAGAGGATCGCGATTGTCTATTCACCTCGAGAGAGCGTGACTCTTTATATCCTTAATTGTTAAAAAGTTACTTCTCCACCGTTCGTTATCGTGCGCGTATCACGCGAGAATGTCGATAGCCAAAAACGTGCGCTAAATAAAAAAAGTAAAGATATCAAACTGTCGGAGCGTGATGTACGGATATCGTAGACGCAATCAAAACATGTCTAACTCGAAAGTGAAAAGTGTTAATTAAACGTATGGCTTTAATAGTCTAGTTTTAATGGTAGACACTGCCAGCAACATAATGTTTTAGTCTTAACTGTTAAATGTCGAATACAAGACTACACAAAACTACAAGTCTGATTTATAAGAATTGCAAGAATTATAATCGATATTTAAGTTTATTTTAAGAATAAATATTTCTAGAGAGAAGAGTCGATCCAAAAGTAGAAGCAACATCGACGTGTCAAAATTCTCTGAAAATAGAACTTGATACGATTTTAATTCAATTTATCCCAACAATTCCTTCTAACATCGCGCAATTTTTGTCCGTAAGTTCGACATGAACGCAACCGTCTCGCAAGAGAGTGTAAAGCGGAGTGTAGAAATAGGGATTCTCACGGTACATTTACATGTTCTGACTTTGTTTATAGTTATAGATTTTTTGTTTACGTCGAAGTAAACCAAATATCTACCGTCTGTGACTATTATTCTGAAAAAGAAAAAAAAACAAATTGGATTTCGCAGCGTTCGATAAGCAGCTCAGCAATTTGTCGTTTGATGCAAATGCGAAGTGGCGTGGGCGTACGAATGCGTCTCGCTCGCTCGCTCGCTCGCGCGCCGGCACCGCTTGCCCATTCGCGGCTTCATAATCGAACGCGCCGATTTTCAAGGATTACCACGTGCCAGCGCTATTCCTTCGCGAGCGAAACGGCCGCACTCGCAACGTTACACTACGTCCCAGGGAGAGTGAAACACCTCGGCCGTGTAAAACCGCCGTCGCGCACATGCACGCGCGTGCGAAGTTACGTCGAGCGCGCGCGAGGATTTTTGCAACAAAAACATTAAGGAGAGAGAGAGAGAGAGAGCGCGCGGTTAGCCCTTGCCACTTCCGAAAACCGGATCGCGCCGGTTTTCGTATAGTATATTTTTAGAAATACTTGACCCAAAGTAGACTTGTCGCCGCGTATAAATATTAAAAAAAAAAAAGACCTCGACTCGCAAGATTCAAGAGCCGAGAGTCAAACTGTCATTTATCATTAAAGAAGTACGTCGTTTCAACTTTACATTCGGAAAAGAATCGCTAGAGGTATAGAATAATTCTTCAACCTCTTATAGTTCAAATAATCCTTCCTCCAATGGGATTTTCCTTTGAGGTCTTATTTATGCCGAAAAGTAAATATATAATAATATTCTCTCTGAAGAAAATTCCAAATTTCTCGCAAAATCCATCGTTAAAATTTGACGTAATCGGAGAATGGGACAGTCTCGAAATTCTCCGTAGCAATTTACGAGATTACGCGGGAGAGATAATGTAACGTGATGATAATGCGGTCAATTAGACGGGGGGCGGGGGAGGATCAGAATTAGACGGAGTCATCATTATAGGTTTCGCCGGGCGATATCGGGCAATATAATCGGCCGGGTAATCGATCGTCACGTGGCTCGATCGAGAGCCTGCACGTTACTTGATCTAATTACAACGGGAGTTCGCGTTACACGTGGAGGGCGGCATGTCGGATAAGACTGTCAATGCGAAAATAACGCGATAATAACGTAATGATGTGGATAGAAGAGGAACGTTCCTAGCCAAAAGCAAAAGCGAATTGCGATTCGGTTTTTTTTAAAGGCCGAAGCGTCAGGAAGCGAATGCATACATAATATTCCGCGTACTATGTTAAGTGATGTTTTGCATTTTATCGCGAAGTATTTTCTCCATATCTCGCAACGCGCTTGCAAACGACTTTTGTCATCGATTTGGCATGACAGGCGACCAATAATCTGGCCGTACGAGTTAAAATTCGTGACATATGACTCATAAAGTTCATTTTGTAGCATACGAATGAATATTATAAACACCATTATTACTCGAAGCATGCGAGCGAAAATCATCAACGTGTTTATCAAGACGCTGACTTTAAAAACTAGCAAGTGTTTCTTTTCATTCATGTTGTATTTCTTTTACATTCCACTTGTAAAAATAAATATTTGAATTACAAACAAATGTGCTGCAGTATCTTCGAACTTTCGTGTTTCTCACGAAGCATTCGCGATTAGAGACAGATAAAAGCGAAAATACTTCATCAAATTCATAATCAATAGTTTAAAAAACTGAATGTAAAATATGCAGTAATTTTTCCCAAATTGGAACAATCGTGTCTAAAGTATGAGAATAAAATCTACACGCGTGCATTCGCCGAATAAATGAATTAAAATTCTACTTCGATCTTCCATAAGTTAACCAATGAAAAATATTATCGTAATGTAAAATTATAAAATAATAAGTAACATTGTAATCGTGAAACATTGTAATATTTCAAAATTTCGAACGTAATGGTGTTATATAAATATAATAGTATTCGTTTCGAAAGTATCATTAATTGCAACAGATCGAAAATATCGAATAAAGACAAATCTACATAGATTAGAGTTGCTTCTTAAGGCGTTTCCTTAAATATTCATCTCTACATGTATTTGTGTTTCGGCTCTTTCTGATTATGCTACATGTAATGTAGATAAACTTTAGATTGCACACAGCGCTATCGTTGTACTAAACTTAAGAAGCCGTAGGATTTCGATTTTCCGAAACGCAACGTCGTACGGCAACGCGATAGGACGAGTCTGGCAGAACGATACCTACGCCCGAGTCGGATAGTGTTGCTCCGATTAGATACGGTCCTGGCTCGTACGATGTCGCGGGGAGAGGGATTGGCGGTGCCAAGAGGGAGACCGGAGAGGACCGCGGAGTTTCGGGCGAGAGAAACCGGCGCGGCGGTGGCGGCGGCAGCAACGGCGGCAGCGGCGGCGGCGAAGGTGAAGGGGGACGCGATAGCACGCCGCTCTTGAAATCGGGCGCGGGTCGCCGGCGTGTTACTATGCTACGGTGCCGCCCTCGACGGTGATCCACGCGAGGATCGATGATCAACACGCGCGAATCCCGGCGAAGGGGGTGTCGCCGCGATCTAACGGGTGTTCGCCCGGACGATTCCAGCGGCTAGCTCCAGTCCCGGAAGTATCGCGACGCTTACGTATTCTCGAGCAATCCTCACCGTGGACAGAACAAAGATACTGCGATAGATGACGAAAATGATGATGATGATGATTTTTTCCCTTTACACATAATCGGACTTAATCAATTTAATTTCCCCTAAACACGATAACTCCTATCTCGCGTTTTCTGTTTATGCGAAAATATCTTCTGTAGAGTCCAAAATTATAAACGACAATATAAAATGTAATTTGTTCATAACGCAACGTTTAATTGGCAATTACACGAAAAACACGATTTTACTGAAGTATATATAAAAATTTGAGTAGATACAGAAAATGATTTTGTTGAACCGTCAAAATAATTACGTAAGAAATGTGATAATACTGCAAAAAATTTTGACATTCTATCGATCAACAAGCTTGAGCGTTCTACATAATCATTTGATAATACAATAAAAAAACTTTTCAGACGTGTATTTAGCTAAATTTTTAGATACTTCAGCAAAATCGTGTACAAATCGCTATTGTTGAAGCGTAATTTAAATGATTATTCAGATCTTAAATATAGGAAAAACACAGATGCAGTCTGTGTTTACCCACCTACGTGAATATCGAATATGTATTTCGTAATATTTGCTGACGACAGTTTCAGCACAGAAAAAATCTAATCTATCTTCAAATCTTCTAATGCAAATATATTGCCAGACCGGGTCAAAGATGCACTATGCGTCACACAAAATATAGAGTAAAATATGTCTGGGAGGAAATATGTCTGACACGAATGAGCAAAATAAAGTTTCAACATTGTATCTAATTACAGAATTGTAATGACTTACCTTTGCATTTGACTCCCACTTTCCCGGTGCCCCAGATATAATCTTCACCTACGAAATAAATTTAAATATCTGTAGATATTTGGTGCATCAACAAAATGATTTTTTTTTCTAAGTCACGATTACAATTATTCAATATAAAGTAAATAGTACATTCACACTTTCATTTTATAGCAACTAAATAAATGGCTAGAGCAGAACATGATAAACTGAGAAAAACTTTACTTTAATAATGCTTCTACGTTAATGCTAACTTAATATACATAATAAAGCCCATAAATCATAATTAATAGTATACTTACAATGCTTGCAGAGGATGGGCGTTACAAAGTATACATCTGCGAGGACGTGATTGTACGAGTTGTGTTCCGTGCTCGTGGAATCTGCTACATACGCTGTAACAAGGAAGTGCCGAATTAACGAACGAATTAATCTAATAACAGTAAGCTATGAAAGCGAATTTTATATATATGAAGTTATGAATATATATGAATATATGAATTTGATATTATATACCGCATCTACCGCTTCAAAAGTAATTCAAAAAATTAAATTTTCCAGGAAAAACTACTTTTCAAATTATTTGACAGAAAATTAACTAATCAAATAATATCGGCAAAAAAAGAATGATTTTAACATTATCAAATGGTCATTTTCACAAAAAAATATTCTTCTAACATGCACGGGACTAAATTTGAAATCTGGACTGCTTATAAAATTAAATTAGTTCATTTTGACAATTGTGGATTGATAGGGTAATGTTTACCTAATTCATTCGTGATAACTGATACATCGAGTCTTTTGAGTTGTGTCATTTTCGGAAGCGTGATACGATCGGTGCTATGATATTTACCATACGGCCCATTGCTAAGCGTTACATAAGACGACTCTTCTTCATTGTGAGTGTCGAGATACGGCGACAAGCTTCCTTTCAGCATTAGGACTTCGTCGGTTGTACCCTTCGTGTCTAAACGCAAAATAATTATGCAAATATAAATGCATATAAATTAAAGAAATTATGAAACTAAACGAGTATTTAAGAGAATGTCAGACGTGACGTCACAAGTTGATTTTATGTACATATTCCTACCAGATTAGTAATAATATTAATAAATTATTCGTACCAGGCACAAAGTTTTCTTGTTTGCTTCTCAAGTCGCGCGAGACGACACCAACTGCCAACCTTCTCGGAAGTAGCAACGACAGATACTCGCGAAGGGAACGATCACATCAGCAGATCGTCGTCACCATGGAAAAGCGTACACGAGTTTACTCGTTTGTCAGTCACATATGGCATACAGCAAACGTAAACAATCTCGTGGGATACTACAATCACAGGACATAATCTTTCTCGGTTCTTACGCATCCTCTCCTCAAGGAGGCTCAAAGCATCACTTTTATCACTTTACTTGAATCGTATTAGAGGCTCTTATTTAATTCCAAATTATTTGCGGCTGTTTGAGCATTATTTAGGAAAGCCGATCTCTGTGTGCAATCATCAGTAATAGCTTATCTTCTTTCTATTGGGCACATACGATTTGATTCTCATACGTTTACTCCTAATTATTTAAAAAATAATGGTTTACTCTTTGTTAAAAAAGCTACTTCTGTATCCTTATACAATGTTATATCCTCTTAAAAATTATCTCTATCGCTGTACATAAATATGTAAGATGCAGAGCGACAATGTTGCCACGACGTTGGTTCATTCAATATGTCAAATTCCTCCAGCAAAGATAATATGAACACTGTAATAATTATTCATGCATGACCGTGTGATGCATTACAATCTTTATCATTCTCCTTTGCATTTCTTCCGCGGACATCCACTTTTCGAGCGTAGTTCCTCCTTCACATCATTATTTCTACGTTTCATATCCAAGACACTGCGACCAGCTTACGAATTGAAGCCTCTGAAATACACAAACAATGTAATGTTACATTTGAGTTAAACTATTCCTTTCATATTGCAATTAACCAATAATAATTAAATATAATTTCTTTAATCCTGAAAATTTTGAATCTAGAGTATTTTTCTTTGAATTAAAAAATTCGAAATTTAAAAGCTTTTTAAATTTACAAAATGACTAGATACAAGATAGTCCGAAAACAATTAAATTTATATTTTTTCAAATAGAATTAACTTTCCACATAAATATAAAAAATTGAAATATATGTATATTGCACCACACGCATTATGCACTAGTGTTAAAACGGTATATATACTATATCGAATTCACTTTAACAGTTTTCTAAACAAATTTTACACATCGCAGTATTGTATCGAAATAAACCAAACATCTTGTTGTTCAATTTTGTATAAGCAGTAAGAAAATAAAATTTCTAATCACTAAAAATTGATGAACGCAAGAACATTGTTTACAATGAAAAGAAACGTCTAAGAAAAATTTGATTAAAAATCTCGACTGTGATTTTTCAGTGCTACTCAAAGAGAGTTGGGCCACTTCAAGCAAATGCTTGCTAGGAAACTATTTGTAAGGTTAAAAAAATCATATTATGCCACAGTAAAAAAAAAGTATATCTATAAGTCTTTCAGCATCCACAAGGAGCTCAGCATCCAAAAGGCCCGCTGGAGGCTTCCTTACAAAATAGATATTTTCACGCTTGTATCATAAGATCCGACGGTATGAAATTCGCTTGTCGACGTCCTTCGTTAGCACAGAGCAACAACACTGTGGCGCATCGGGGATACTCCTCAGATAGGTAACTGTCACCGCGACCGAGGGTGATACGTGCACGGCGTGCACGCGTGAAACCGCGCGTCTCGCGTACGGGGGAACGCGTACGGGAAGAGTTCACGTGCCGCGAGCGTGTGGGACGCTTACCTGCCTGACGTCGCGGCTCCGACGAGCGGAAGGCGAAAAGACGGGAACGGCGAGGATAAGCGGATGCGCTACACCACGCCAACGGGACGTCCTCGGTCGACGAAAAACTTTGCGGCGCGGACACCTCGCTCCGAAGAGTAAATGAGAGAGAGAGAGAGAGAGAGCGAGCGCGAAATGGAAGGGGGAGGGGGCAGCAGGGCCGCGAGGGCGACAGCTACGAAGACGACGACGACGGCGACAACAATAACGACGACAACGAGGACGCTCGGAACTGCTCCCTCCTCCCAGTACTGCCTCCGTCGGCCGCGTGTGCCGGGAACTCGCGGATAAGTCGGATATACCAAACCACGAGGGTGTGGGAGAGAGGGGGCCACAATAATATCGTTGTCGCGACACCACAAACGGAACACGGTTAGGCTGGCCAGCCTAGGCGGCCGAGGTTCGCGAGTCGCGACCGTCGACTCGAGAATCGACTCTTTCGCGCGATCGCTCGATTCGCTCGCTCGAGAAACGCTGGCCCCGCGATCCCGAACGCAATTTTTCGAGATAAATCAGACTTGTTCCTCGCATCTACTACCGCGGCTTGTACTTTCGACATTTAAATAAACGTATGTACGCGGTACGATTAGAAGTCGGAGAGAAAAGAGAGAAAATATGCAAAAGGTGCAAAAACAAACCTCTGTCGAGTGTGTTCGTTCTATCCGCGCTACTCCGCGCTCAACCATAGACTTCCAACTACTAGACCGACGACTCCCTGACTGAAAATCAGCCAAATTTCAAGCAGTGGTGGTTGGGGGGGGGGGCAGTTCCGGTCTTGTGTCCACGATACTATTAGAAATTGTCCAAGTTTTTGGACCGAAATCTGTGTAGCCAATCAACTTGCAGCTTTTACAGAAAAACAGTAATTTTATATACGCGTGGTTTTAGGTAAGTAAAGTAGTATGTGTGTTTGTTGGTATCATCACAAACCTATACTTATACCTTACTAGACGCTATAATTTTTGTAAAAAATCTTTCGCACGTATTATTTTAATCCCTTCGACACATATCTGTTCGACGCGAATAATCATTACGAAAATTTGTGCGTATATGTATGTGTGTACATACAATACTAGATGAAGTAATAAACATCAATATTGTACACACCATATATATATCAATACATCACTATGTACTATTAAATCAATATCGCATGCATATATGTATATCAGAGAAAAACTGTGTTTGTTCATAAATCATCGATAAAACAGCGATGGGGAGTTTGGTCGATTGTTTATCTTTTTGCGTAACATTTTGAATTATTGCAACAACATTACCTTCTCTCTGGTATCACCTAACGTCTTTATTATTCAATGTAAAAAAAAAAAATAAAAACTGCAACACACGTGCTTAATCTCGCGCTGACGGAGTATGTTTATAATTTTTTATATATGTATTAGATATTATGAAAACTGGAGCGCACTGGAGCAGGCCGAATGTAGTGTGAAGTGGGGGACTTATGATACTACTTGATGTCGGATTATATATATTCTCTATTTGGAATTACTTTTGTCTCTGTCATATGCAATGCAAAATAATCGAAGTGAGCAATCTAGTCTTAATAATATATATCTGATCTGTGAATTTATTTTACTTGCAATTTCAAAATAAAAAACGATCGAATAAATTTACGCATGTAATGTATACAACCTTTATCCTGCTTTATAACTTCCTAAAATTCTTTTTTCGAAATCCATACACGATATGTTTCATTTTCAAATGCAGAATTAAAGTGTCTCTCCACTTTGCTCGTTTTCCTTATTTCAAAATTCAACTAACTTTTCCTTTTTTTTTTTAACAGAATCAGAGGTTAGATTTGTCAAACTTTCGACTATGTCAATTACAAGTATGATAACACATCCGTCCGGTTTCACCTGTGTTTGTCGCGTTTACGATGAAGTAGATGCGACATATTTAAAATGCCTCGGGAAGAGAGAGAAAGGAAAGGTGATGCAACAGGTACAACCCCGAAATGCGGGTTCGCTAATTCGCAATATAAATTCCATGAATATTATTACTCCTCGGTGATATAAATATTTTCTCCGAGCGGCATCGCGAGAGATAAACTCGACAATCAGCACGCCAATTGGCGTTTTCTGATCGGCGTCGTGCGTGGAAATTTTCGATTTTTCGCGAAACATATCTCCCCTCCTCACGCGGGGCGCCCGCCTTCGGCGACGACGGTGACGGGACACGGCACTGCATTAACCGACTGATACAAGATGGTCGACGTGCCTTTGACCGTGTCGCTGACGGTGGGCCTGGCGACGCGAGACTGTGTTACCCCGCGCCACTGAACGAGCCCCGCCGTGCCCGGAGAGGCCATCAGGGAGAGAGAAAAGCGCCTCGGGGACGCCGACGTGCGCGACGTTAAATGGCTATCGCGGGATAAAGGGCGACGCGTGTACTTGGGTGGTACGTATCCCCCGCGGATGCGGGGAAATGTGTGTGGTGTGTGGGAGTTGGGAGACGCGGGATCGACGGTGGATCGTCGCGCGATCCACCTGTCAACGATCTGGCGCGCACAAAGTGCGTACGACAAAGTGTGTGTGTGCGCGCGCGCACGGGTGAATAAAATTCTCCTCCCTGGGTTTTCTCTGCCTTTTCAAATTGATCGGTGATCGTTACACCTCGATCCTATAAGGATCGCGAGCGATCGAGCGAGGGGCGCGCGAAAGAGGAGCATTCTGCGGAGTAGAGGATTTCCCACGGCGCGCTCCGTCCGGAGCGCTCCTCGATCCCTCGATCTCTCACTCAGCTCGCGCCCAGCACGCGTCAGGTTTCTCAAGCCGATTTATTTTTCAACTGTTGCAGTCCGTGTTGCAGTCTCTTGGAGAAGCGCGAGGCGCGGCCGCGCGAGGGTACGCCCGGTGAGGGGGACGCGAGGAAACGATGGAGAAGCGGCAGGAGGTGCTCGCTCCGTTTTCCTCCGGTGAGTCGCCCGTCTCTCGGCTTTCTCTCTGTCTGTCATATGGGAAGATGCGTGGACGGATTTGTTGTGTATGTACATACGTTTGTTGTGTGGGCGTCAGGTACACATACACACACACACACGCACACACACACACACGCACACACACGCAGGTACGCGCGGTGCGTTTGTTCGGAAAGCCAGGCTTATTTACACTTACATGCATGTTTATTGGATATAAAACGCGTGGTGCAAAACATATTGAAACGTATGAACTTCAATACTAAATATTTCCAGAGAACGAAATTGGACTGTGTGTCGGAAAATCGGAGAAAAGTTGTCAAAATCTCTCTTGAGACTTGACATATGGAGAAAGGAAATATTTACTTGGTTAACTTGAATTTCTAGCAGTTTATATTTTGAATGCTGATAAGGATTATCTAGCGATTACATCATAGTCTTAAAATACAATGTGTATGACGTCCTTTGTTAATTTTTCAAGGAATAACTTATTAGAATGCAAATGAAATAGATGAAAAAAGAAATACTATCTTGTTTTGGGACACGAATCGACAGAGATTCCATTATAATTAGCATCATATAAATATATTAAAAGAAATGACTATTGTAATATATATCCATGAGATGCATTTTACATACAGTAAGAGATGTGCCTTGTGTGGTATATATGTGTGTATGTGTGTGTGTGTGTGTGTGTGTGTGTATGTGTGTGTGTGTACATATATTGTATATATCTATCATTGCTATTTATATTGGACCAGAAACAAAAGCATATTCTTGAGGTAATCAATACTATGTAAAATGAAGGAGAGAGAGAAAGAGGCACTTACTATGTTCTTAAATGCATGAAGTGCACATATTGTATCGATTTTGTTGTCTTTTAATCTCGTAAATATTTAGAAAGATATGTCATCTAAATTAAAAAAAAAAACAATATTCTATACAAGAGATTCTTATTAACTCTAATCGGTATTCGTTTCTTTAAGTGATATTCGCGAGTTCAATGTACTCGACAAAATTTTTAAATTAATGTATCTTTGCCTAAAATTAATAATTATTAATAAAAAATACTCCGAATTTTGTTTTATTTTAAAAATTAAAATTCGAGAAATAAGATTATCAAGCGAATTCGATTGGATGCCGTTGTTCACTGTTTTAAATTCAATGTAAAAGTAAAGTATTTCGATTAATAACATGCCGAATACACATTTTACCAATTAATACAATCATTTATTAATAATTTCGCGGTTTAACCCGTTTCTGTATTAATATTAAACACACTTTTTTACGTCGACTTGTATGCAACGATTTTAACGTGCGTCGAATGGGCACTAGTGCGTCCAATCGAATTCGCTATATGTAACTTAAAAATAATATAAAGTTGTGAAAAAACGTTTGTTATAAACAATTTTTCACAACGCTGTCTGGAGATTTCTAAGTGAAAGAAATGTCCGGATTTATTTTTTTCACTGCAGGACTCGCGAACAATCTCGATTAGAGTCAACAGTAATTATATTCGCACTAATCAGCATGATTTTTTTACGAAGGGTTTTTTTAATTGTTTAGACTAAACTGTGGCAGAAAATTCGTTCCTTTCAATTGTATTCATATTATGCTCCGGCACGCCTGAGCAAAATCAGCATCCTGCTGAGGGATGCTAATTTCGCGAATTCCACATCGGCGTTCAGCCTCGTTAAAGCGAGACGAGATTAACGTTAAATGGTGCGGTAAAGCAGTTTACAGTAATAGTCTGTTAAACGAAAATTCAATTCCGTGAGTGATCTGATAACGGCAATAATATCAATCCCGCGCTTGACGTATACGCCGTAACGAAAGTAATACAGTTAGTTTTTCCGCAGCGCTCGGATCGATTATTGCTGTCGCACGCTTTTCGCGAAGAAAATAATTAGAAATACGGGAGGAAATGAAATTGCGATATCCTTCTACTTGAAAGCCCCCCTCGAAACTTTCTCCGTGAATCGAGAAAATCCCGTGCGCCGTTATTTCGTATTGAGAGCACAGAGAATTCCGTATGATGCATCGTCCACCCACGAAATAATTACCTATCGCGAGCGCCGTATAAGGTTTCCACGTGCACGGGCCAATATAAGTATCGCTGTATCGAATATTCGAATATACCGTCGAGGGAGCTACCCCAGCGAAAATCATTACCGCCGCGGAATATTTAATGACGCCGATAATATCGACTCGGAGTCACCGCGGCCTACATTCAAATGCCAGCTGGAGCAAACACAATCACGTCTCTCTCTCTGACGTTCCCCCTGGTAACCGATGCCGTTGAAGGGTTGTTGTTTGTCGCGCCGATTACTACTACGGTGAAACCTTTTTGCATTAGAGAGGTTTATGGAAAACTGTCGAATGAAAGAGGCAAAAAAACGCAATGCACTGAAGACGCGATACAGCATGAAACAGACGGGAAGAATTATTGAAAAGTAAATTGATATATATTATTATTTATTACGTTTAGATGAAAAACACTGTGTTTTATAGCGCATTCACTGATAAATTTAGAGCATAAATATCAATGTAAAATATAAAAATTTTAAGTAGACTTTATTTTAATATAATTTTAATACAGTAAAGCTTAGTTATTTAAAAGATATTGAAAGAAACTGTGAAACAAAGGAAATCTAATCAAATTTCGATAAAATACATCGTATCAATTGTCTATAAAGTATATAGTACACATAAAAGGTTGTTGAAAAAGAAAATATTAGTAAACAATTTTTGGATTATTAAATGGTACATAATAATTTTTTTTATCGTTATTGCTTTTATTTTGCATAAATGAATTTGCGCATGGTATTTCAAAAAGATGGCATAAAAAGCTATAAAAAAAAAGGTATTATTTTATTATTAAGGCATTAACTTTTGTGATTTAATTATGAGCAATCAAAGATTGGTGAGCTCTAATAAATTCAGATTTATATTACAAATGGAAAGCAACATTTTTCTCTAGCTAACATGAAGTCTTAATGGAATCTTACAATCGTAATTTGCAGCTTTATTAATATCATTTTTCACAGTTTTATTAATTAAGCATAATAAGTTTTTCATCCCTTTCTAGCTCCGTTTCTAGAAAATGAAAAGCTAATTTCGATCGAAGTTAACCAATACTCGATGAAATCATCAATGTCATTGCTTGTAAGGATACTCAGTGTTTTAAATTCTCAACAGTTTCCAAAAGAGTGAGGACGCCTGATAAAATTTCCGAGAGTGGAAGATTGTCTGCGGAAACGCATGAAAAGCTGTGCGGGAGATATCCGGAGGCGGCTGACAGCTAGAGATTCATATCGGGCCACTTCGCGACACGCTCAGGGTGGAAATTGTGGAAAGATACAAATCTAACAAACACACTCTCAGCTGCTGATGCCGACGGCGGTGGTGGCGGTGACGGTGACGGCGGCGGCAGCGGCGGTGGTGGTGGTGGTGGTGGCGACAGCGGTGGTAGAGGAGGAAAAGCGAGTTGAAGGTTGGCCGCGGTGGTGGCGACGGTGGCGGCGGCGGGTTACAGGGTCGCGGGGGTGTACGGAGGCAGCGGGGAGTGCCGTGCGCGGACCAGCGGATCAATTCGCGCTCCGGGAGCTACGCAGGGGGAAAAGCAACAGTCTGTCAGCCCCTTTCTACCCGGAAAAGTGCTCGGCCACACGGTACGCTATCTCGCGCGCTCGTCCCGCTCGCCCTCCCGAGAAGGACGATGGCTAAATTCTGCAGGGTAGCGAGTGAAATCCGGCGCTTTATCGTATTCTGCTTCTGGAGAGAAGATCGCGAAGAGGATGTCCTCCCTGGGAAAGACTCGGATCGGAGACACGCGGGCTGCGTGATCTCCTATTGGAGATCAACGATCCGTGTGAAATCCGTGCGCGAGCGTTTATCGGTCGCGCGTAAAAGACATTCGGCATCGTCGTTAACGTCGCGGGGAATTACAGCGTGGTTCCTGCTCGTGCTGCGATCGAGAATCGCGGCACGAGTCGAACCAGTTAATGGCCTTAGTGTCTAACGCATACGTTCCGTATGGAGTTACGATTCTCCGGTTTACTTTCTCACGAGCGAGATATAATGCCGGATTGTTTCGAGCCGCGATCGCCGTCGACACAATTCGTCCTGGAGAACGAATTGTCTGAACGCACGAAACGAGAAAATATCACTCTTCGTCATCCTTCGCCCGCTTCGAACTTTCGTTCTCTCCCCTATTCCCCCCTCGGCCGTCGCTTTCGTTTCCACGCCGTGAGGTCGTGAGATCCTTAAAATTCAACTCGCGTTCGCGCGCGGTGCCCGATTCGAAATCCGGTTTGATCTTGACGTTACTTGACGATGTTATCAGTTGGAGAACTCGGGTTCGCGGGGCACGTCGCACGAGATCGGGACGATCCCTCCCGGGGTCCCATTTACGCTATCCCGTCCGCGTGCCCGAGCGGAATACGCGGATGCGAGTTGTCCGTCAGCGGAATACGCACGGCAATCTGACCTGATTTCCATTGAATATGCCTTTTAACGGCACTCCCGAGAACGGAACCGAGTCCGAGATGAGGCCGTCGCGGGGGCCGGCGCGATTGTCGTAGAGTCGCTCGTTTGTTCCCAGTCTCGCGAATCAATAGACAGAGGCGGTGCGAGGAGGACATTTCGGTATCGGTTTTCCGGTATCACGCTTCTCGAACTCCCGCCGACTCCAGCTCTGACTCCGACTCCCGACTCCGACTCTCTGTCTGCTCTGTGCTCGTATCGCCGCGCGAGGACACCAGTAAACTACTACTTTTTACACCCCCCGCCCCTCTCCTCGCCAATGTTAGCTTTCGTTATCGAACAACGAAAAATAACTCTTCTTTGTCATTCGTTTCTCGTTGCACACGGTGGATGTGATTGAAATAGAACGGGGATGTATTTAATCCAGGATTCTTTTTGTATAGCACGGCGTTTTGAATTAACATATTAACGAATGAACGGTGAAAGTGATGCCGATTCTCGATTTATCAACAATTGTTTGTAACACGGACGCAATCGTATGCTTACAGACGAGTGTCCGAATAGCGGCGAGGACAGCGAGGAAGATGTAATAACCGATTACCTTGGCTCATCGCACTCCGACTGCGATCGCGTGCTGCCTATCATTAATGGGGATCTACGCGGCCTGAGTTTACACGGCGGCATAATTACGGAGACCGGCTACAACACCAAAGACAATACCGACAAAGCGGCGATCAACATGTCTGAGGGCGGTGACGAACAGCAGCATCACCACCAGCAGCAACAGCGGCAACAGCAGCAGCAACACCCGTTCCTCGCACTCGGCACTAATATACAAGCCCAGCCTAATCCTCATGTGCCCCTCATTAGCGTCACGCCGCACTCGCCCGGTGTGGCCAAGAATTATCCGGTCCTAGGTAACGACCGTTTCTCTCTCGTTTCACGCGTTTGAAATTGGAGATACCAATCTGTTATATGCAAGTCTTGTTTTATTTTTCGAACGATGGTGTGATTCGCGCAATATTCAAGTTTACATAAGAAAATAAATATGACGCGTCAATTTGTAAAATTAAAAAGAACTATACAAAACTGTACGAGTTAAAAATAAGAGAAGAAATTGAAAGGTTAATGAACGTTCAATTTTTTAAAATTGATATATAGGTATATATATATATATATATATATATATATATAATATTGATATGATATATACATATATGTATAATTCTGATATGATTAAATGTGAGCAACGTTTGCTTTCTTACAGAGGAAAATTTACAGCAACTGCACGAGATACACGACTGCATCCAGCGTATGCGAAACATAGCGTTACAAAGCACTTTGGGATACCACATTTGCGCCTCCAACAATGCACCACAAAGATTGACCTCCTCCTGCCCGTCCCTGTGTCCGCTGATGGCTTCGGCCGAGCTCGCGTCTCGTTCCGGCAATCATCATCACCACGACACCGGTTCTGACCCGGACCTCGTCCTCGGCAATTACTCCGCGAACAGCTCCCCGACGCATTTCCCGTTGATGGGTGGTGGCCATGCCCGCTCGCAACAGATGCAGGGTATAGATCGGAGACGCAGCTGGAACGGAGATCTGGAGGATCTGGAAGAGAGTCGACGTGGCCGCCGCCGATACTCCGGACAAAATCATCTGCAGCCTCAAAATATGGTTAATATTGTCCGTTACTTATTGAAACCAGGGGACGGACCCGGTTCAATCTCGGTGAGTTCACGTTTCGATGCCGCGGATTTTGATGCTACGCAAGAACATTACTGTTGCCCTCCCATTATTAAGAATGTGAGTGTGGAGATTAATATCTCTCGTGTCCTGTGTAGCATCGAAATCTGAACTCATCGAAATTACATCGGTCTGAAATACCCGATCATAATTATACACTCTTTGAACGATGGTGGCATGGATCTGGTTGCTTTGTTGTCTTGCGCATCGCGCTTCTCGGCCGAGGCCACATCGCTAAATGCCATCGCTAAAAGAAACGCGCAATCACGACGTACGCAATTTACTCATTTCAGCGACAACGCAGCATTAGTTTAAGTAGCCTAGACAGCGAAAACGAGATAGAATTAGATGGGAAATCATGTACCGGGCCTGTAGGCGTGAGCAATCGGGCATGCAGGTCGCAAACGAGCACGCACTCCCTGAACGAAGCTGATCTTATACAGGTAATTTCCGAGATTTCTCCGAGAGACGATATCGATCTCCCTCGACACGCGCGCGGGGGAACGAAATCACTACAGAGCAAATTTTTCTTTGACAGAACGAATATCAGAAGATAGTCACAAAAAGGGATAGTCAGAGATTAGTGGAAAGTAGCAGTTTAATGCCGGGACTGACTGGTTCGCGTTTACCTCTTCAGAAATCTATATCGACGCCTTCGATCGTGGCACCGCAGGTTCACGCGTTAACCGAAACCGGAACTCGAGCGACGCCTTTACTTGCAGCGTAAGTCCATTACGGATCATAGATGAAGATCGCATAGCTAGATCGATATTGAAGGACACTTATATATTATACATTATTTTCTAAAGTTTTTTTTTTTGCATATGAAGTTACTTACTTTTGTACAGTCGTAATCTAGCTTGCGATCTTGTAATTAATAAGCACACAAAAAGCTATGCACATATATATATATTTTGTGCCGTGTACATTCATGTGTGCGCAGCACCCATGCATGTATACTTACACGCGTATATATTTATATTCTGTCGATTTTTCAATTTTCCGCACAAGTAGTAACTCATTTTGAAAGTGCAGACGCAGACGTACTCATGCATGAACACTTATAACTTATAAGTAGAATAAATCTTGGAGATGTCTACATTCAATGCCTGCAGCATTCTGCATTATATAGATCTTTTAGCTTATCTTATATAACTGCTCGCGTATTATTGCAAGTCGCATAAAATATACAAGAAGAAGTTATAGCTTGATACATATTTGGTCTATCGCGTATCTTACATTATTTATTACTTATGACAAGCACAATTAATATCTTTCGTCTTTTACATGAGACCAAAATAGTTAATAATAACAATAATAACATGTCCGCTATTGATTTAAAAGCTTAGTTCATATACGTTTCACTTCTGCCAATCACGTAACTAATTTTCTAAGCGCGAGCAGTTTGTTATTTCAAATATTATCGATGTGCATCTCTGCCTCGAAGATCATTTGAGAATATCTGAACAATTTATTCATTATATACACGATAGTCGCTTAGTTTGTGTTTGTACTTGAAAATTTGCTACAATCCTGCATGAAACAGCCGTCATGAAAGAAACGAAAAGGGTAGTGGGAGTGAGACAGAAACCGAAGATCTTCATACACCACACAGCCACGGATTCCACGAAGACCGGGAGGGCACTCCGAATGTCCAGATTGACGAGCTTTTGACCGAGTGAGTACCCCGATGCCTCAAGTCCGTCACTATTTAACCGAATTATTTATGACATACCGCAAAAACCTATTAACGTCTCAGATGGGAAACGGTTTGTACCGGTTTGCCAGTCGATCGATTTTGTAGCCACAAATAGTCTGTAGTTACATTACAACTGCAAAATCAAATGCCAGATGGACTCACGTGCATTTATTTGTTTGAAATAATCTCTCATTTCTCTCTTTAGGTACTAATTAAAAACTACACGTAGGCAGTTTAATGTTACTTAAGACTCATTGAACAAAATTATCGAATATATCACAACGGAAATTACTATGTCACGTGGTTGTGCATGCAACACATTTTAAAATACGTAGCTCTGCACACATTTACAGAGATTACACGCACACTTTTAGCTCTCGCAATAAGCTATGAATAGATCGAAACGCTTCTATAGTTGCACTGCTGATCATCTACAAAATTCAATTTTAAATATCTTTTCTGAATATTAAGTCGAACAATGTTTGATATATATGCTAATTTTTTCAGTGGTACTGCATACGATGATCATCATTCTGAAAAGACTAGAAGAAAACGCGGTTCTATTTTCTTCCGCAAAAGGAATAAGGTAAATCGATAATCTGAAACATCATTTGATACATCCGATAAAGACGTTCTCGACGAACCGTGTGAAAATATTATTTCAGGATAAAAGCGGAAAGAAGACTAGTCAACAGCATTTGTGGGTAACGACGATGGTGGGAACTCAGGGAAGCTTATTATGTGATGTTTGTATGAAACATTCCACGAATAAACCGCTCCTTCATTGCGACAGTAAGAGAATTGTTATATTGAATTAAATAAATTTCGTGATTGCCGATGTTAAATTAACTTTTATAAAATTACACTTTATTTAATTTTTATATAAAATCAGATTGCGGAGCGTCGGTTCATCAAAGTCAGGGATGTAAGGATCAGTTAGTGCTAGAGTGCATCAAGTCGAAGCATCACTCCGGCAAATTCGCATCAAAGTCTTCATCCAACGTTTCCATAATCTCGAGCAACAGCAACATCAACAAACGGGGCTCCACGACGTCGTTGCCTCTACCGGCGTTACCCGGCAGCGGAAGGTAATAAGTTTGTACCGACAAAAAGTTCTACATTTTTTTTGCATTTGATCTGCGTATCTGTGGTTCAAGATTCGCACGCAAATGGCATGGCTGGGTCGAAACTCGGAGTTTATAATGAACTTTTTTTTTTACTCTGAAATAATTAATGAGTAACTCAAATCCCGCTTAATTCGATTGACAATTTTCAAATTTACCATCTCATTTTATAGCATATATTTAGATTAGGAAAAAGTTTTCATAATTTATCACGTAAAAAAATTTTTTTATCTAATGCGTATAAATAGTATGAAACGAGATTGTGGAAAATTTTTAAGTAAAAATTGTGCATCAGTTTATTACTCCGAGGTTTTGGCTAGCTCAGAAGCTTATTATTCTGATTGATTTCGCAATTTAGCAACATCAATAGTGCGGCAAGCTTTAGCGCGTTCAGCATCGCGCCGCTACATTTTGATTGATATAATATCGTTTTTACATATTATGCGTATTATTACTTTATACAAAATATTTCATGCTCAGACTACCTCAGCTAGCTTTCGGTTCGCTGTTATTACATACACAAGCTACAAAGATAGTACTAGCGACTGATATTGTCGATAATTACGTGATAACATGAAGTTATCAGACACATTGACGTAACTCCGAAGATTATTCGATTTTGAATTTTAAATTACATTACTTCGATTTAAAAGAAAAAGGACAAAGCTGTATATCTATTAATGAATAGAAAACTCTTGCGTGGGGAACGATTCGTTAAAGTTAGGTATCGACGCGTAAAGTCGAAAAGCGTAAGAAAAAAGAATTAGGAAGAAAAAAATGAAAATGAAGGAAAAAAAAACGGCCTAACAGGCGAAATGAAGTTGCCCTAATGCAGTATGTGCTTTTTCCTTCTCCCGTGCATTCCCTCTCGTGCAACCACGTGCATACCGATCGATTGTACGACGATTAAAGGGAAATTAACAGCCACAAGAAAACCGTGTCAAGCTACAGCCCTTGGCGGCGAGTCGCCACTAAGCTTGGAGTCAAGTAAGTCTCTGATATCTGATGTGTTCCTCCTGTATTCTGTCGAAAGCGTTCGTTTCTGTTCGTGTATTATCTCCAGCTGAATTCGGGCCAAGTAAACGAAGGCGAGCAAATGACGCGAACGAATCGACAACTCGCTTTCACGTCGACTGGCGAGGCCCAGTTCGCACTCATTGAAGCAAGCTGTTGGATTCGCATTTGCTCGCGATCCTTTGCTTAATCTGGATCCAGCGCTTTTACACGCGTCTAGTAGGAAGACGCGCGTCTCTCGTGTTCCTCGATTCTTTTCTCGCACACTACACATGTATACACATACATATACATAATACACGCATATTGTCCAACGAACGGCAATCGAATTCTGCCGTCTCATCCTGTATACCTGGAAGAGACATCGTCTATGCCCTGCCTATATGCTTCTAATCTTGTGCTTGCTTCTATGATTTGTGTCCATCATTCAATGATATGTTTTGTGTCACCTCTTCTCATTGTAATCTTCGCCCGTAAATTATATAACGCGTAAGTTCGTTGATTGTTGTTGATCCATAAGATAATATTCTCCAATGAATAAGTAATCACACATATCGGACAATATATTATCACAATAGATACATGGCTCATGACATGTTATACCAGTCTCTATCTCTCCTCTCTACTATATACTTTACACCTTGCCCTGTCAACGATAATTTCTTTCACGTTTCTTTCTCTCGTCGTTCCCACGTTTTCTCAATGTGTCACGAGACAATCACGTTTCTCGCAGTAGTTTGTTTTAAGTTTTGGGTCGGGTCGGGATTATGATCTAGCAAAAAAAAAAAATTATATATATAACGGGTGCTGTTCTTCGAGTCTCCCGTAAATGCGTCATATGCGTGTTCGTGATCTCGTTGGAAAAGTTTAAAGCGAACCGTAGGACACAACAATAGGAGCGGAGAGAAAGCAAGTGGTTGCATTTACGACGCATGTCCCACCCGACCTGAACTCGGAATTTCCTGACTCTTGCAGATTATTGCTCATCTGCGGAATGGCTTTTTGCTATTAATATCAAAGATTTTTTATCTTTCTGAATTTATCTTAGACTGCTAATTTTATTAGCTATGCATAGCGATAATCGGCATTGATCATTACAATTACGATAGTACGTAGTAATTTAATAATACATGTATCGAATATTTATTTACTATACAATGAAAATTAGAATATTCACATACACGTTTAAATGAAGATATCAAATATCGTCTGCAAGGTTTGTATAATAACGATCATACGGAAAGAAATATTTTTCTAAACGCAGTTTTTTCTTAAAAGGCGTCTGAATACATTAATTTCAAGAGTCTCAAGTTGGAGTTCGACCTAACATTGTGTGCGTTATTTTAGGGAAGAGTAAGTCTCTGTTTACCATAAATTGTGCTTTATGAAACAAAGCTGTATCTTTCTTTCAGTCAAACGATAAATGAAGAAAAAGATGCCGAGACCGGGCAACATCGTGATCTCCACAGGTTTGTAATTACATCTTTTCCCTTTTCTTTTTCTTGAATACTATAATAAACTTTAATCCGTAAATTTTAATCAAGGTGGCGTCATACTGGCGCCCAAAATACCCATAATGCTGTACCGAACAACAACGAACTGATGAAAAAGGCTTAATGAACTGTTGTTTCTCTTGTTTCAGCGGATGGGAAGACTTTGACTTCGGGGACGACGCTCATCAGTTCACGGTGGCGGATCTCGAGGAGATAGATCCCGAGCTGACATTGGGGAAGGAGGAGCCCGACTCTTGGAGCTCCGCGATCGGACGTAACATCGCGTTGCGTCTCGTCGATCATTGCGAGCGCGAGGTGAAGAGGCAGGAGCACATATACGAATTCGTGCTCACGGAGAAGCACCATTGCCTGGTGTTGCTCGCGATGGAGAAGATCTTCGCGGAGGGACTGCGACGGCACTTTCGTCTGGGCCAGCCGGATCTCGAGCGCATGTTTCCCCGACTGCGCGATCTGATCGACATCCACCTGCGGTTTCTGCAGAAGCTGCGAAAGCGACAGAATGCGAACTCCGTGGTTTCTACGATCGCCGACATTCTGGTCGACCAGTTCTCGAGCGACAACGCGCAACGCATGAAGAGCGCGTACGGGGAGTTTTGCAGCCGTCATCGGGACGCCGTCGAAGCGTACAAGTATTATTTGCGTACCGACTCTCGCTTCGCCCGTTTCGTTCGCCACTGTCAGGTACGTTTTTAGCAATGAACAAGCAAATGATCGATATAAACTCGAATCGGTGTTGCCCAATAAAATGGAACGATTCGTGTCCCGCAGACGAATCCTTTGTTGAAAAAGAAGGGTATACCCGAATGTATACTCTTCGTTACTCAACGTTTGACGAAGTATCCGTTGCTGATTGAGCCGCTCATTAAAACCGGCGTCACACAAGACGAAGGTGAAGACTTACGTAAAGCACTGGTCCTTGTTAAAGAGATTTTAGCTGACGTAGATGCCTGCGTAGCCGACAAAGAGAGAGAAGATAGAAAATTAGAAATATACAATAAGTAAGTTTTGGTTTCTTTTTCTTTTCATTATTTTTACTTCTCCGCGCCATTATCTTTTTTTTTTAATTAAAACTAATAAATAACATTTTTACAGGATCGACGCGAAATCATTCGCGATGTATCGTGGTGCCAAATTCAAGAAGTCGGATATAATCAACAGAATCCTGAAGTTCGAGGGCACTGCATACCTAATGCAAGGTCGTGGCAAAATGACTGCTATCGTAGTGGTCGTTCTCTCAGACATATTGTTTTTCTTGGCTGAGAGAGATCAGAAATACGCGTTCTTCGTGCCTGACAATAAAGCCGGTATAGTGTCGCTGCAGAAGCTGCTGGTTCGCGAGAAGGCCCGTCAAGAATCTAGCATCTACCTAATAAGCAGTAACCCGGCCGAGCCAGAGATGTTCGAGCTGAAGATTCAGAAGCCAAAGGACAAACAATTATGGATACAGGCTATTCGGTCGGCGGTCGAGGCTTGTCCACAGGATTCCGAAAACGAGACCGACACGCTGACTGAAAATAACGAGTTACGAGACACTCGTTCCTCTTCGATTTCGCTGGTCTCCGCCGAAGAGAAGCAGCGTATTGCCAAGATTAAGGAGTCGCATATACTTAGAATCGTCGGTATGTTCTTTTAGCTGTCTTTTTCAACTTTTTCATAACTTCTAACATCATTCTTGCTCTTCCTAACGTATTCGAATAAAAAATTGTGTTGTGTTGTCAGGCGAATTGCGAAAGAAGGATGCAGAGCAGGCGTTGCTGTTTGAGGAGAAGATCAACTTGCAAATGCGGCTCTTGCAAGCGGCAAATATCTGGAGCGGGAACGAGAACGACAACGAGAAAATTGAGAAGCATGAGAAAGAAGGTGCCGATTACACCCGATTGGTGCACAACGAGGGAATCGATACCACTCACTTGTGGCAAGAGGTTAATACATTATCTCACTATAAATTATATTATTGGATTCTTAGTTTATAAATCGACGCGTTATAATCGGCGTAATAAATTTTGTGTTCGATACAGGTGGTTGTGGCCGTGCAAGAAGCGACACGTCTCGCTAGCTCGCTGTCGTTCAGCGCGGGCGGCGCTCCTCTATCACGAAGCTTAAGCTCCGCCGGCGAGCGTCATAGCGAAGCTTACATTCCGCCAGCTCTTTGCGTTCCTCGCAGGGCCGAAACGTTCGCCGGTTTCGACAAAGTATGTATACAAATGAACGAGCGAATGTGAAACAACCGTACAAAAATAATATTATAAGACTGCGCCTGTTTTTCAGGAGAGATATCCGCTGCGTGATACGAACACGTTAAACCCCGTGATCCCCATTCCGAAGGTCGGTGAGTTACCCAAAGAGAATCCCGATGAAAAGGACGGCCAAGAGTTAGACACGAATAAGGATCAGCAGTGGGCGGCGATACGTTTGTCTCATCACGTTTATACGTTGCTCTGTATAATAAGTAATCAGATGACAACGATCGACAGCCTGCAAGCGCAATTGGCCGCGTGTAAGGAGGGCAGTATGGGCAAATCCAACAGCCGACCGAATCCGAATCGTCAGTTGGAAGAGCTGCGGAACTTGCAGGATCAGCTCTGCCGGGAGAAAGCGGCGTTTCGTATCGCGTCACAACAGGAGAAGACCCAGTTGGAGGAGGAACGGGTCGAGCTGGCGCGGCAGAGGGAGCAATTGGCCGCGGAGCAGCGGGACGTAACGCAGCAACGGGATCAGCTGTATCGACGACTCGAGGCATTGGAGCGACAAGGCGTGACGCTGGTTGGAAGTTCCACGACCGGCTCGACGATGATTCACCTACCTCACTTGACGCAGAACGCCGAAACAATCCAGCAAAGCGCGCGCAGCAAGGCGCAACCCGAGGCGAAACGCATCCCCTTGAATCTGATCAGCGCGACGAATCAGCAGAAAGTGCAGAGTAACTTGCCGGTCAAGCAACAGCTGCCACTGAAACTCGCCAGCGGGAGTAACAATAACACAAGGTAGAGCTTATAGCTCGTTCCACTCTCTCTAAATCATCACAAACGTTTATCTTTCAGTCTACGAGCAATAATCCGTCCTTTCGTTCGAATAGAAGCGGTAGCACCGCGAGCAACAATAGTCCGGATCGGCACTCCAGGGCTGGCAGTAGTCCAGCGATCGTCACCGGATCCGCTTACTCGTCACCGGAGCTCGGAAATAGCCATGGAATCGGCGGCGGGAATCACACGCATTTGTCGAATCGCTCACTCCGCGTCACTCGCTCGCCGCCCGACACCCCGTACGTGCAGGTGCAGCAGCAACAACAACAACAACAACAGCAGCAGCGAAATACGGAGCCGCAATCGCAGCAACAACAGCAGCAGCAGCAGCAGCAACCGCCAGAGGAGGAGGTGATCTTCTTCTGACGATTCTTTCGATTCGGTCGCAAACATTCATCGCGTTCATCGCGCGCAAGCACCGCCGCCACCACTAGCACAACTACGCCGACCTTAACACCGGCACCGTCACCGCGCAATCAGCCGAGAAGTCAGCAGTCCCGCAGCCGCGTCAAATCGTTTTGATTTTCAACATAAACTTCTCTCGCGATGCAATCTACTCGCTGTTTCATGCAGACACACTCTTTCGTAGCGTCTCCATCTCCTACCACATTTCGCATCTTCTATGCGCCCTCTCCTCACTATAGGTTTGATCGTCTTATAATAGGATGCACCTGAGACTATTTATTTTTTCACGACGAGGTCGTAACGTAACACGATACTTCATCCTGTCCATACGACATCTAAACGACGACGTTATTGTCAACAAATGAATAGTTTAGTCTTGGAAGATGAAAGCTGGAAGAAGAAAGAGAGGTAATACTTTATTACGTTCCAACTGCTATAACCGATGGCAATAATCATTTTTATGCCAAATCTCGCGAAACTACTCGTATATTACCTTGGTGAGAGGAATACGTTAAGAATAAAATGCAATTTTTATTAGAAACGATCGGAGATATTTACAGAGTCGAGAAAGAGGGAGAAAGAGTATTTTAATGGCCGGCTTAGCAAAGTAGATCAGCCAATCTTGTTGAATTCTTGCTCGTTATGTTATCCAGCCGACTGACAATTTTAGAAACACAAAATTTTAGATGAATCTTTTAAACACACACCTGTTGCTGCTTGCTGAAATGCAAGGTAGAGATATATATACATATATTACGGTTAAATATATACAGGAATGTGTGTACATATATATACTTTTTCCGCAAACATACGTGTGTGCGTATATGGGTATGAATGAAAGAGGCAAATCGTGTATGTGTGTGTGTGTAAATGATTATGTGCGTTGCGATGCGACTCTTCTCGCGCGCTTGCATGTTTCGCTATCTCTATGAATGCACGAGCGAGAATCTCTGTTGCGAATGGTAGAGCGAATCCGCGGTAGCTATTCTTATATACATATAAACTATTGAAGTATTTTAATACGTGCTAAAGCGACAGATAGGACTTACTAATAATTATCAGTTATTGTCGTTATTATCAGTATGTGTGCCAAGCCACTGATCGAAATCGATGACACTTCTTCAGTTCCCAAAACGTTCGCTTCACGCATGATTCTGTTCTTCGCGAGTGCATTGCGTGTACGACACGCACCCGCGGCTCTCCTCCCCCCCGCCCCCTCACAAACGAATTGTATTAGCGAAGGGATTTCGTTATTTGATATTTCGTTTCGGGATTATTCACTGCCATTATTGTTGTTCTTTCTTCTCGTATTATTGTTTACAACCGACTTTATTTATTGCATTGTGTAAGATTGAAATGACGAAAGCCCGTGCGAGCCGACACGCGAAAGCGAGAGGGATCGTTACGAATCTGCGTCTCGACTCTTGCGAGAATTCGCGTCGGTTCCCGCGGATTTTCTGGTATCCTGTGCACTGTCTCTAATGTATTTTATTTGTATGTCACACTTATCAACGAAGGGGGAAGTAGTTCTCGAGTGCCGAATGGAAAGAAATGAGGAAAACTCTGAATCACAGTACGGTCATACTGCACGTTGAATTGCCGAACTCACTCTTCTGTAATAGCACAAAAGATGTAGTACGTATTTAGCGTACCTTAGCAAGGATCGTCGCTGCGACACGCGGCGTCGAGCACTCTTTCAGATTCACAATTCGAAAACGGGAAGAACGATTGCGACAACCGTGTTAAAATGTAACAATTGTCAATATGTCTCTGAATTAGAGATTCCTCTGAATTCGGATTGTAAACGGTAAAGATATGATGCTGCGCGTATATAAATGTACATTCCTCGAGAGAGAAAAAATTGGCGTGCAATATGATCGGATTTGCAAGACGGGTAGAGCTGGGTCGTTGAGGCCGCACAGCGGACAAAGAGGAAACGTCTAATGAATTAGCTTCGTTAAGGAAACTTAAGTAATAATTACTGCAAGCTCGTCTCAATCAATCACGGTGACAATAGATCTTAAAAAAAAAAAAAAAGTATTCCGTAAGATATGTCGAGTTACGTGAGAGAAAAGGAAAAAGGGAAAAAAAGGACATATATATATAAGCGACTTTATTACAAGTCTACTATACTATATTGTTTACTACCTACTGCAATACCGAGCGTGTGACACAAGCTCGCGAGGTGATATTTTTGCGATTGTGTAGCTGTTGTGTAGCGTCCGCCGCGCGGATGAGTGTTCGACTTCATCGTATATAGATGATGCATCTACAGCGTGACCATCAGATCAAACGAAAGAAAGTCGTTAAGAAAGATCGATCTTAGACCGACCCGAGAGAACAATCCGCACGCTCATAGTCGTTTCGGAAGACATAAATGCGATGAAGCAAGTTTTGACAATGGCGATCGATGAAGTATCCGTCAATCTCCCGTCTTCGTCGCATGTATGCTTCGTCGACTGATACAAATAAATGAAGTAAGAACACAATCCTGCGGAATAACACGCGAAGAATCAAATTGGCGACAGCTGAGGAATAGTGCGACGGCCTACGCGCGTCTCGTGGCGTTTCTTTTTTTCTTTTTTTTTTTATAAATATAATGTCACGTGGCGACGCAAAGTTTGAGAAAGAATATATATATCTATAAAGATGATATATATATACATATATATATATATAGAAATATTATATATATATAAATGGAATTATAGTAACGCGGTTTTCCACGTTTTAGCGAATCTTTACGTCCCCGATGCTCATGGGAAGTATTTTTGTACGTTTACTCTGTACCTATACTACCGTTTCGCTCTAAAACTATATCTACTGTTATCATTGTGATACTCGCTACTGCGATCGTCTTTTAAATCGTTAATGTAATATTACATACTGTGTAATAAGCGGGCGTGTGTTTTTGGTTATTATGATACGCTCATGGATCGGCGATGGGAGGTCTTCTTGAATTTTGACGATTTTCAAACGCAGAGACTGTAAAACCTACTATCAATTGTTATTATTCCTATTGAATTATTTGGTTGATTGTTCTCTATCACAACTGAGTATCGATTCCATCGAATCTTTATGTGACGATTGCCACAATATCGTCCGTTTTATTAATCCCAATCCTCGTATGTGGCAGAAGAAAATCCGGTTTCCTTGCAAGTCGCGCGCGACTTCTGCGGTCTGTCTTGTTCTTTTCTTCCACGTCTATTAATTCCATGTATCCGCAGTTACATGTGATTTACATTCCTTAGCATTTATAAACCACGGAAACCCGTGGCTGCATTTTTTTTATCGGTATATGACTCGCCGTTGAATAATCGCATAAACAAATAATACCTATTTATTATAAATGTACATACAACTGTTACTGTAATAAAAAAGAATGTGAAGAAAATATACAATTATTATGACATTTCGATGAACGTTCATTGCTCCAATTCCGCTGATACGATCCACTTTGAGAAAAAAAAAAAACACTTTTCCACATAAAAAAATCTATTCTAATAACTTTTTCCTAAATGTTCATTTTTTATTTAATAGGGTTTATTTCTGTGATGTCGGCCAGTTCCAATTTTAGTTAACAACTTATGACTCGAACTTTGCTGTGTCGACGATTCCGCTTGTCGCCACACGTTGACGATGCCTTTCTCGCCGACCGTCACCAAGCAACCACTCTGCAGAATCGAGAATACGAGGTTGTTATCGAGTTATCTTCAAAAAAGTAATTCCTTAATCTAACTAAAACATATTTACCTTTTCATGCACCCAGCTGTCCCGTACTATTTGTTTATTCCCTACAAGATTGTAACACGGTTCTAAACGATTCTTCCTAACGCTCAAGCATCTTAGATTTTCCCTGAATAAATATAAATGTTATACGTTGTAAGGAATTTTATATCCATCTGAATATACTATTTAAAACAAATAAGAAATCATTTCTAGTCATTCTACGCAATTGTCAATCTAAAAAATTCTTATTGTTTTGAATAGTGTATAAATACACTTGTACATTGTAAATTAATAAATTAGTAATCACCCTTTGGCTGTGCTAGAACCCGCCAACAGGAATGGTTCAAATGCCTTTGTAGCATGGAATCTCACCAAGTAACAATTATCAGGATCATCAGTCTGTAATAAATATAATTTTTCAACATTAGCCCCAACATTATTTCAACATTATTCCATTATGTGAAAAACGATAAATAGTGATATAATTACAAAAACTGTCCATATACCTGTGACACGGCTAAATCACTACGCGCAAACGACGCATATGCACTAGCACCTTCGCATTCCCATAACTGTAGCGTGTGTATATGCGTTGTACACCATAGAGAATCATCAGTTAACCAACCCAGCCTATCCTAAAAAAATAAATAAATAGGCTATAATTAATGTTTTTCAGACAATCTTATGTAAAACAGCAGAGCTAATTTTCTCACCACTGATGATTCGGTGTTTAAAGAGCTTGTTAAAGCCAAATCTTCTGAGGATTGAGTCAGGTCGAATATATTCATCAGACCATCCGTACTACCCGACGCCAAAACATTCCGCTTGTCGGGATGAAAGGTCAGACAGGTGACGTCATCCATGTGAGATTCCCAATATCCCCCGAGGAGATTGTTTTTATCTGTTTTTGAACTACTTTGTCTTATGTCCCAAAACAGGATAAACGCATCTCCACTCGTGTGTTCCGTCCCACCGGCCATGAGCCTCTCGTCGCAGCTGAGGTCAAAGCTAGCCAAAGGCTTCGTTTTGCCATCCTCTGTATTATCTGTAACATTGCGATATAGCTAGAATTTTTACCGATGGAGAAATTGTGTTTATACAATCGTTGGAGCTGACAGTTACCTTTAAACTCTGCCACAACCTTTCCCTTCGCACGCAAATCACACGCAGTGATTAATCCATTATTAGTTGCAATATACAATATATTTTTTGAAGTAGAACTGAACTTAACTCCCACGATGGGCGCTTGATTATGATCCAAGGTAGTCGTTCGTCTCAAGGACTCACCGACAGAATATATCACGCATGAATCGTCTGACACTGCTGTTGCAATCCTGAATTCTTGCTCACTATATGTACAAGCAAACAATGACATATAACAGAATGAACAACATTAATATGACGGAATAAAATTAACTGTAATATCAGATCATCTCATATCATGTCATGTCTCAAGTATAAAGCTTAATAAATAAATGCTCCAAACTGTGGGCATTTAAACGAAAATATTAATAATAAAAATTACTGAAAATATATTTTATTGGGCATTTAGATAAGAAAATACATTTAGAAAATAATATATTTATCGTTGACAAGATATTCCTGTTAAGAAAATAACTCAATACAGCTGAATTTTCAGTTTTTACGTAAAATAATAGAAAACGCATTTGGAGCACTGGAGCACACGTTTCCATGCTTTTGTTCAAATTTGACATGAAATGTTCTATAAAGAAACATAGAATTTGCCTTTGAGTTCCACAGACGGAGAGGATGTAATTCTCGTCGGGCGACACTCTTTCCTCCAACGACAGCTTCAGCTCGATCTTCCTGTCGGCTCTCTCATTGTCTCGTCCATGTGCCCCCATGTCGTTCTTGACGTTCAGCTCCTTCAAGGATTCGACTATTCTCGACATACTTTTCCGTTTTCGCGCATTCCAAATCACAACAGTTTAGAACACAGAACGCGAACCACAGTATTGCGCGGACCACTGAATTTGAGGTTAGCTCTGAAACACCACGCGCGCCTCGACGAGCTTCGGGCGACTTCGGACTTCGGAGTTCGGGTTGCTTCGGGTTTCGGTTGCACGAGGACAGCCGACAGGAAGTTGCGCCGACCGCGTTGCGCAAAGGACCGACCACGGCAGCGCAGCCAGCCGATCCGATCGCAAGTATCATAACCTTCCGTGCCTGTCGCCATGCGTCTCTCGTGCAACATGGCGACCGGCAAGGGGCTCGCCGCGATCCTCCGCCCGAAGACCATCAATCTGATCGGGAGCAATAAGCTGAGCAAGCTCTCGCGCGGCGTATTGCGGCAATGCGGCGGGTGCCAGCGACACGTGGTGACCGTCGCGTCGACTGTCGGCAGCTGGAGCCGCGAAAAAAGTAAGACACTCCGTTGCACTCGTGCCTCGCTGGATTACATCATTATCTCGCTTTCCCGACGAAACTCCGCTCCCGACGCCTCTCGTCGGCGTGTCAGCGACCCCCTCGCCCGTCGCGTCCACGTGCCCGTCTTCGACCGTCCGAGTTTTCACCCGTAGCGCGTTCCTCGTCGTTCGACGTGCAACGTTTTTACGATGTATTAACATAACCTGCAAATCCGCGAGTTGTATATATGCATGTGTGTCATACATGCACTAGGCTGTCGAGAATACTCTAGAAAGTAGGGCTGTTACTTTTTACTTCAAATATCCGAAGCTTCGAGGTTTAAGGTGCCTTCGAAGTTTCGAAGTTTTCGAAAAGTACATTTGTGCAAATTTAATTAAAAAATTAATTTTTATTAATTTTATGATTTTAAATTTTCTGTTTTTGAGATTGTTTTATGCTGAGCAAGATTTAATAATGCCAAAACAATTATATTTATTTTATTTTTGTTCATTTATTTAAGAATAAATTTATTTTTATTTTTTTCAATTTTCTTAATTTGATTGTTTTTTTTATTGATCATTATCTTTCCTTAATCACATGTGTATCAAGTTTTAATCACATGTGTATCAACTTATTAATTTGTAATATTTCAGGTTGTAATATCCAATTTTTTAAGAATAATTATGTATATATATTTTGATCATATACATTACTTCTTTTTATCTATAATATTTGTAAATTTTCTGAATAAATTCATTTGCACGAATGTATTTTTCAAAACTTCAAAAGCACCTTAAACATCAAGCTTCGAAAGAATTCGAAGATTTTAATGCTGAAGCTTCGAATCTTTGAAACTTCAAAATTCGAATGTCGAAACCTTCGAAGCAAATCACCAGCCCTACTAGAAAGTCCTACGTTCTAGAGAAAGCTATTTTCCCTTTGAATGCCACTGTCTGTAAAAGTACCTGTGCAAATGTCCACTGATGCACAATGGAAGAGCTAATTTTCTCTATTTTTAATTATTTGGATATCTCAAGTATATATTCTATTTTTATTCATATGCAAATAGAAAATTTTCATACCTATTGATATCCAACATCTGTTTCAGACGTAGGAAGAATAGTGCAGCCGCATAGGGCCATACATCTATCAAGTAGATTATTAGCTAAGCGTAACTATTACGAAATCCTGGGTGTCTCCAAGAACGCCGCGGCCAAAGACATAAAGAAGGCGTATTATGAGCTCGCTAAGAAGTATCATCCCGACACGAATAAAGGAGACCCGAGCGCCAATCAGAAGTTTCAAGAAGTTTCCGAGGCGTACGAAGTGTTGAGCGACAGCACCAAGAGGAAAGAGTATGATACGTGGGGCGCAACCTCGGAGCAGATGGGCATGGGCCAGGGCCAGGGACCCAAGAGCTACAATCAACACTGGCAGTACAGATCGACCGTCAACGCTGAGGAATTGTTTAGAAAAATATTCGGCGACGCCGGATTCCAAAGTGGGGCCTTCAGCGATTTTGAAGACTTTTCGGAAACGAAGTACGGCTTCGGGGCGGCTCAGGAGGTGTGCAGATACGATTCCAATTTATTTCCTGATTAATGCACTGGCACATGATTAACACACTTCTCTTATTACAGGTGATAATGAATTTAACGTTCTCCCAAGCTGCCAGAGGTGTGAACAAGGACATTAACGTGAACGTGGTGGACAATTGCCCGAAATGCGGTGGTTCGCGCTGCGAGCTAGGAACTAAGCCGGTAAAGTGTCAATATTGCAACGGTACGGGGATGGAGACGATAGCCACCGGTCCGTTCGTAATGAGCTCGACTTGTCGATACTGTCAAGGCACGAGGATACACATCAAGTTCCCTTGCACGGAGTGCAATGCGAAAGGACAAACGGTATGAGAATGTCACTTGATTCTATCTCGAGTATTACTAGTTAAGAGTATTATTTTATATATATTATATGGATAATATTTTTTATACATCTATATATTATATAGATAAGAATATAATTAATTTATATACCATTGTTGCATTATTTTATTTGAAAATTAATTATTGTGCTTTGATTGCCGCATTTTTGTAGGTGCAACGTAAAAAAATAACGGTGCCAGTGCCAGCCGGAGTGGAGGACGGTCAAACGATCCGCATGGCGGTGGGCAGGAAGGAGATATTCGTGACATTCCACGTGGAGAAGTCCCGATACTTCCGTCGCGACGGGCCCGACGTGCACACCGACGCGGAAGTCTCGCTGGCGCAGGCGGTGCTGGGCGGTACGATACGAGTGGAGGGCGTGTACGAGGATCAGACGATACAAATAGTGCCGGGCACGTCGTCCCACACGCGAATTCGCTTGAGCGGCAAGGGATTGAAGAAGGTCGACGGACTGGGCTACGGTGATCATTACGTGAACGTCAAAATCACCGTGCCGAAAAAGTTGACCGAGAAGCAGCGGGCGTTGTTTCAGGCGTACGCCGAGCTTGAGACCAATACTCCCGGCAGTATACATGGTGTAACATATAAAACAGACGGTAAGGACAAGCAATGAAACGTAAATCGTCATTTTTAATACATTATTTCGAACATTCTAGCGATCTGTAGGTATATTTGTTGTGTCGAATATTTAATGGTACTGCAAAAATGTTATTTTTATTGCATCAGCGCAATATTTTCATTAGATTATGCGTCGCTTGAGTTTTCCCCTGTGTACCTGCTGTTACTAATTAAATAAAACATATTGAAATGTTACAAGTGCGTTTCATTGGTGTTTTACGAAATGAAACGAGAAAAATTCTCATCAAAATTTTTGCGATAACAGGAATTTGAGTGAGACTTTAATACGTAACTAATTCAGTGTAATGATGATCATGTTTTCAAATAGAGTTTCCTTCATTAGTAGTTCCAATGTTTTTTCTAGGCGCGGAAGGTCCAAAGGTGCAAACTCAAGCGAGACAAGAGGTCCAAAATGATCAGAATGATGGTCTACTTGGAAAAATTAAAAAAGCTATATTTGGATAAAGAATAAATTGTAAGTAAAACTAAACGGAACATATCTGTGATACATTTATTGCAAATACACGACGTATACTCTATAATAATAACTAGAGCAGAATGTTTCACACAGAATTGTAAATTCATTACTTTAATTCTCCGATTGTACGTTGTGTTTAACCAAGCATATTCGAGAAATAGATTTTTTTACAGTCGAGATTATTTTTTGGAATTGATTATTTCGCGGCGAAGATGCGATAAGAATTATTTATCGCAATTGTTAAGTTGCCATTATAAAATCTCTGTAAAATCAATTAGCCTTCTACAGCCTGATTGATTTTATGTGTTTTGGACTCGTGTATGATATGTACATCCTAACAAAAGATATTAGAAATGTGTCGATATAAATATAAATTTATCCGCAGGTACGAAGGAATGCTATTCTGGTCCATTGCACTTGGTGGAATCTATACGGATAGCACTAGGAAATACGTCTAAACCTAAAAAAAATCACGAAAACCAGTCTTTATCTTCTGAGCCCGAGCATCCGGGGGACAAACCTCTTAATAATAAGTCCGTACACACCAAAGATACGTCGAACGTCGATAGTAAAAATGATACTAACGCTGGAATGCAACGACAAAAAGTGCCCCAGTAATCGCAGACGTTTAAAGCAATCTGTAGAGATCTAGAGAGTGCTGCTCGCGTCGTTACGTATAATAAATATGTAAATCGTATACGCGCTAGTATCATCATGAAAAATGGGAGTCCTTTTTCGGGCCTGAAATTATACGTATACACTTTCGATCAAGTTAAGAAAAAAAAAACAAGCATGGATTATCGATTATGAGCGAAGTGATGCCACCCTGATGCCGTTTAGATAAACGTATAGCTGTACAGTCGTATCATAGCTTACAAGTTTGTCTTTATTACATCTTATTTAAATAAAGTGTACATGAAGATAAATATATCTGTCTGTTGTTTATCTTGATCGAGACGATGTATATTTGTAAAATAAATTCTCGGCACACGTATCTCTTTACATAGTATGTACCTAGAAATGCTATTCTACGTTCCTTCATCCTTTGATCTTTATTTTTTTTTCGTCTGCATTATAAAAATGCAAATGTTGGATGTAAATTGTACAAAGATGTGGCTACATGTAGATATATAGCTCATCTAATTTGACTATAATGTAACTATTGCGCGTTTTATTACGAAATAAAAAATTTATCTACAACACATATCTGCATGACTGTTTATTTGTTTTTTTTTTTTTTTTTTGTAATTGTGTAATTATAGATAATCCAAAAGTCAAGGATAAGTTGTAGCTGTTCGTCAACTTCGCTTACAAATGGCATGAATAACATGATAAACGCAATATTGACGAATTGTGACACAATAGTAACGGATGTGACGAGAAGATGAAAAATATTATTGTACGAAAGTTGAACGCATTAAGATTCGGTCAGTAGGCCATACTTCAGTCCAATGTTTGTAAGACTTTGCGTTGCTGATACTCGTAATATAGCTACCACTATTGCCGCGATAGTGACAGCGCCTTCCAAATACAGACCGTACAATATCCGTACGTGACCGGCGATGGTAGAAAGACCGCCCGCCGCCGTGAAGTCCAACGGAAACAGCACGCTCGCCGCGATCGGTCTCGATCGCGCTATGCCGAAGCACAGCACCCCCAGAACGTAGTAAGCGACTACGACAAAAATCCCAAAGTTTTCGTAATTATTATTTCTAACTTCTAAATTAATTTTCGACAGATGAAAGCGAATGGGAATAATTATAGGAATATATTCAGGTAAAATTTTTATATGGACTCGATATAAAAAAATTTACCTGAAACAACGAACGACAGTATTTTGATCCACCTCGGCATCCGTCTAGAATAGCTGGATTTTGCATTGTTGAGTTGCACGCTTTGTCTGGCAAGCGCATACTTTTGTAGGCGAAAAGCCACCATGAGACCGAAATTCAGTATAAGAAGGAAATGCGCGGGAATACCGATAGCGGCGAAAATCACTCCTACCGTGCGACCAGCGGTGGTTCGCGGGACCGGCGCTCCGAAACCTGTAAAATTTAAGAATATTTAAGAGAAAACATGTAATATAATCTTTGGGAGTAAGACGATTTATATGTAATTATTTATAAGAATTGATTCTAGACTCATTAAGAATTAGTCTAGAATTCCAATTAATTAACACACCTAAAGTGGTAATTAGCGATATGGCGAACAGCACACAACCGGGAAATGTCCACAGCTGTCCGCTACTACCACCTTCACCGTAGCCGGAACCGACGGCGACCAAAAGGAGTTCCTCGTGTTTGGCGACATACTGGCGGACCTTGTCGCTCCATAACGGCTCCACGTCCTGATCCTGCTCCGTCCGCAATTGCCGCAACTCCGTCGCCAAGCCGACCGCTAAATCCTTCTGCATACTCTTTAGCGACACGACCTGCTCGCGCTCGCGAGGTCCTTCCGTGGCGCAGAATGCCACCGCACCTGCCACCGTCCATGTCACGAGCAGCCACAGAAGACCTGCGATAAGTTATAAATTAATAAAATTTAATAGTTTAAATGGGAAATTCTTAAGCGGCTAAACGTTACGCAATAATTTGACCTACCAAATTGCGATAACGTCAATCGTCCTAAGAATCTCAGATATTTCCAAAATCTCGAGGACTTCTCCGAGGAATTTCCGTTATCTTCCTCGATGTCTCTGAGAGATGGTAGAATCCTCAACCGCAGCGGTAATCCCTCTATGGTTTGGACAGTTACGGACTTCGTCCATTTCGTCCGTATTATGCCGTTTTTCAAGCGAGGCGAAATCTCCGAAGATACCGTGGTCGGCGTGTCCGTAATATCTATTTTTAAACGCCTTTATATAAGCAGAAAACTCATATACGATATATGCGAAGCATATTTTGATAGTATCCAAAGAAATCATTAAAATTTTTTGCCGTGCAGTATATCAAGTTTATTGAAAAATGTCTGTTCCTAAATTATTAAAGAAAATGTCAAGTCAAGTCAAGTTAATTTTTCTTTAAGTTCAGGATGATAGCTGTATTAGCAAAACATGCTGTGATCGATTGTTTGAAACTTGCGTACAGTAGCACGTGTAACTGAAAAAAGACTCTATCTCTTCCTCTACATATATATAAACTATATATATATACGATAAAACTCCTCTTTTTTCAATGTCTCTTTGTACGAATTGTTTATACGATTATTAAACATTAGATTCATCTAAGAATATTTTGCAAGCTGCTCAATTATTTAAATTACAATATATTTTTCTTGCATAATTTTGAAACTTATCTCGGTTTTTAACATTTTATTTTTGCATCAAGTAGGTTCCTGGTGAAAATAAAAATTGGAACGTAAGTCGAACGTAAAGAAGCGTTAACGCTTTCTTTACATTCCGCTGTTCCAATTTTCGCCTCCTAGAAGTTGCGTTTACGCTTCGGTCACTCTCCCCTTACATTCGACTTACGTTCCAATTTTTATTTTCACCAGGAACCTACTTGATGCAAAAATAAAATGTTAAAAACCGAGATAAGTTTCAAAATTATGCAAGAAAAATATATTGTAATTTAAATAATTGAGCAGCTTGCAAAATATTTTTAGATAAATCTAATGTTTAATAATCGTATAAACAATTCGTACAAAGAGACATTGAAAAAAGAGGAGTTTTATCGTATATATATAGTTTATATATATGTAGAGGAAGAGATAGAGTCCTTTTTCAGTTATATAAGTATAAAGATCTCTATCAATTGAAATGATTTTATGAAAACCAAATAACGTATACCGATGCCGCAAACGACGTCGTCGTCGTCGTCTCCCTCATCCTCCTTCGCGCGATGCTCCGTCATCCTCATGCAAAACTGTGTGATGCGACGGCGTGCGGCATCCTTGACGAGGGCCGCGGTTTTAACCCGCGGGTAGACCAAGTTCCTGCAGATGCGACGCCGCTTCCTGGTGCCCGTGGGGGATTGCAGGGGCACGGCATATCGTCCGCGTACACGCGGCACGGATGCCGGAACGCGTGGCAGCGTCCCGACGCTCGGCACGTCACTGAGGGGTGTCGCGACTCCCCCGATGGCCGGTGGCCGCGGGAAAAGGGGCACGTCCATCGGCTAAGGTCAAGATGAGCCGCGCTATAATCGCTGTTAGCTGCTCTACGATCGCGTCCAGCGATCTCTCGGTCGATCACACAATCGTACATATTTCACGCAACATGCGAAAGGGAAGCGCGGCTTTGCACGCTTCAACGTGTGTGTATATCAGCTCGCCGAGAGATTTTCCTCAACTAGACAACGACGTCCCGACGGCGGGCACTTGTTGAGTCGATTCATCCCGCGTCGAGTTTCCTTCAGTTTCCTTCAGTTTCCTTCAGTATTTCGGAAGGATCTAACGCTCCGCTGGGTTCTTTACTCGAGCGTGTAGACCTTGAACTCAATTTCACGCGGAACACATTTATGTTAAAATATATATACATATATCTGCGTACGGTGATCTTATTTCTATCTCATGTATATAATGACCACGACGTATTATTTCACGTTACGTTTTCAGTCACATCGTTTATTTTCAGTCAGCCAACTGTGCCAGACATTAATCATCGCACAGGTAGTTACCTCGTTCGCGCGCGCGGCCAGATCCGACCTTTTGATCTTGATAAACTTTTCCGTCGGTCAGAACTTTAATTTACAGATTCCCCGTGGGAATTTTTTTGCTTATTCATAAACATAATGTACAATATAGGTATGAGCTGGATCGATGAACTTTACACGGAAACATACTTTATGTTTTCCATTAATAATACCGCGCGGCCTGTCTCTACGCTGTTGAATACATAATGTAGCAAATTACGGCGGCAGTGTTTGACTTGATAATCCACGCGTGCCATCGCATATATTTCACAGTCATAACTCACACAAGTCGTCCGCGTTCTTAACATTCCTCGATTACGTATTAATATGTACGTAAGCACACTTATCTGACCTCATGACCAAGTCGCGACTGTGTTTCGAAATTTATCCGCTTACCAAAATTTAGCAATTGAATTGGAAGAACAGATAGAGAGAAAGAGGCTGCAGATCTACGAACGCAGCGGCGGCTCGGCATCCCAGAGACTTCAGAAACCTACTGTGGTGCGGAGCGAAAATCTTCGTGCATTCGGGCGCGTTGCACCGCGGCATGCACGGCCGGAAGGAGTGTGATGTGTACGTACATACATACATATATGTATTACACTCTCCTGCAAACCGCTAAAATTAGAACGCAGCCTTGGAATCAATGACGACCTAAAGCGATTCCCGTATCGCCACTTTCCGTCTGTAACTAATTGTACACGTGTACGTGCGTCCTACCTTTTCGATTAGACATGCTCTCACGATGGATCCTGCGTGATCGGGCGCGTGGCAGCTAACTTGGCCTCCGTTCGATATTATAGTACCGCAGCTACGGCAGAGTTATAACGCCTTGTTATAACGCGTCACGCGATATGTCAATTTATATATGTATAGCTCCAACTCCTGCAACACGTAATAATCATGCAGCTTATTGGCGACAATATTAATTAAAGATCGAAATTAATATATGTATATGTATATAACGCGTTAAATTTCTCTTGCTCTTCCAACAGAATGTTTATCGTTTTTACATACAACGGTAATCACCCTCTGCTTACAACTATATATATGTATACATATATATATTCCCGATACTGCTGATAAACACTCTCTTATTGAATTATCGATCATTTGACCTTGTTATTTGCGCGTGCATTGTCCTCGCGTGTGCAGCGCTTGATCATTCCATAAATCGTGTACGTGATACGACGATCATAGAAGTTCTTCCTTTACATGTAAAATTATTTTTTGTATTAATAAAAAGGACCACGAAATATGGCATGTATTCAGAAATAGAGGCACAAAAAATAGAATGTTCTATAAAAATAGAAATAAAGAAAATATAAAATTTTATAAAATCATGAGATACATAATTTCAACGCCGATGGGCAACTCGGGGCGTAATCTAGGGTGAAATCTACGTGCAATTAGTGGCGTCATTTCTCCTGCTCCGTTTGCCATGCAATCACGGCTATGCATCTCGGCCGCGCGTGTTGTGCACCTTCGCGGGTTCGTCAACGCGTTTGCGCGGCATCGATCCGCAGACACCTCGCGGTCCGCATCTCCTAACGTAAACGTGTCATGTCGCGCCAGTTCGACGGCGGATGTTCCTCGGAGGACCCGCCGCATGCGCCTGTAATATGGAACATCGTTCCGGCGTTCTCGATCGACGTGGAGATCGGGTAACAACCAAGGTGCGTTATCGAGACGGGCTATCTCTCTTATTGCCAACTTGTCGATGAACTGTCTTCATTTACGTGCTAAAGACTTCGGGGAGCGTGCTATTATAACGCTATTGCAACATTTTGTCCTTGTTTTTATATCTAAACGACAGATAAAGTGACAAATAGCGCTGATAGCGTACGCTCCTCAAACGCAGCCTAAATGACTATATGTAATAACTCCTCAAAATAGCTCTCCACGTAGCTAAAAGCGACGATGCTAAAAGCAACGATATGACAGCGACCGAATGCCGATGGTAGAATGATCCATTTTAGCCATTTGCGCTGCAGGCGTTTTCCTCCTGGAAAGATCGATTTGAGATTTAAATCAAACAATATCAACCTGAGCTATAAAAATTATAGAAGAATTTCGTCGTCTTGCGCGTTTTAATCTTTAGCTATTTATAGATTAATGAGATAGACAGGGGGAGATTACTTCTAAATGAAATTAATCGGATTCTGAACGTATAATCCTCAGACGAGAAAGCGATGCGCAGCCTCGCTCGCAAGCTACTAGTATGGCCGACGTTGGTGCTGTCCTTCCTGGTAGCCGTCCGACTGCTGTTCGGCCGGGACTTTCGATTGCCGACGTCCACGCTCGTCTTTCGCGATGACGGCGGTATCTCCACGTTGGACAGTAGCCATGCGAATTCGCATCAGGACGCCGGCCCGCCAGGACCGCCCGCCTACGCGGCCGGCGTGTACATGGCGGGTCGGCAACCCAGCAACGAAAGTGCCTGCAGGTGGTACCACGGCTTGCCGGGTGTCCTCTCCTATCCACCATCCAGACTCACCTGGAGCCCCGAAATCGGCGAGAAGAGTCCCTACAGGTAGAGCATCTACGTCTACGAAAGATATCGTCGTTTTTGCTTTTCGCTGCAATAAATTTTGATTCGTCCTACATCTATAATTGATATTAAAGTACATATGTATATATCGACGCCGTAAAATGTATTCAACGTGGAGCACGGAGAAAAAAGTTTGCTGACTCAGCATATATACTTTATGCTGTCGTAGCAGATTTTCTTAATCATCGTACGAATAGAAAGAGAGTTGATTTAAGAATATTGTTTCTTTTGTTTGAGAATAATTTTCTTGAAAATTCATTACAACAGCGATTTACCTCTTTAATTGAACTACTTGCTCTAGTTGTAAAATTCTATGCAAGCGCATTTACGCAGCGAGATTCTTCTATTTTAACGAAACGAGCCAAATATGCCGGACGATACGTTGTGATAGCGGAGTTTGGTCGCTTTCACCTCTGGAATATATCATGCGGTGGTTTCGCTGCGACAGCGAGAATTCTTTTTCTCCGTGCAGGGTTCTGCCATTCGTGTTGCTCGGCGCCGTCGAGGCGACGGACAATTTGCCCCAAGTCACGCTGTCCACACACGCCACCGCCGATCAGGTTTACGGGATCGTGGAGCTCGCCAGACGGTGGGAGGGATCGCTCAGCCTGGCGGTGTTCGCGCCAGGCCTCGACGCCGGCCTCGCTGTCGCTCAGCTCGATCGCGCCTGTCGTTGCGAGCCTGCCATGTACAAGGTCTCCTCAACTTCCTCGTCATGATCGCGAATCTCCTGCATATCAAGCACAACTGCTACACGCCCTGTCGACCCTCAAAGTCATGCTTTCGTCGATAATCCGAGAATCCACGCGATGTTGCGCTTTTAGGTCAACTGTAAAAAAAAAAATCACTTTACTATATACACAAAATTTGCTTGTAGATAAAGTTAGCTCCGCCAATCATTTAGTGGATATTTATTTTATCGATTTGCTTAAACGTAAAGCAGTAGATGTTATGTAACATGGATTAATTAAGCTTTTACGTTTCTTATTTTGAAATAATTTTCTGGATACAACGACGGAAGTTGTTTGCGTGACGTGCAGTAGCAAAGGAATTGATATGAAAGTCTGTTGTGAAAGCATGATAGACGCAGATTCCGTTAGATCGACACGCTTGCTTGTAATTAGCATAACCATTCCAATGTGTGCGGAATACGAATCGTCTTAATTAAGATTAGATTAAGACCGATTAAGAATATATAAACAGAAATTGTAGAAATACTGAACATATAGTTAGTCCGGCGTATTTTATGATTAAAAGGCTTATCCAATTAGCGCGTTGAATTACACAGAATATCTTCAATATGATAAATGTATAAAGATAAATACGCAATGTAAATGATAATTCCAAAATCAATGAATTAACAATTGTTAATGCAATGTCGACTTAATTTAAAAACCAGATAATTTGTTAACGAATATCTATAATCTTTGACCCAATTGACTTGCTGTGAAATTGTATTCAGAATGTAGATTTTTGATAGGCCAACACTGTGTTGTATGTTAAATTTTCGATATGCCCTTTTTTTTCTTTTTTTCCGTTACGGACGCCTACATTTGGGACACAGTATCATCTTTTCGTTCCGTTCTTTTCTCACGTATTATATATAGCATACACAAAATTCGCATGCAATACAGTCGTTTAAATTCCACTTAATGATCCGGCGATCGCAGGTTTCCGTCCACCTGGTGTTTCCGGCCGGTCGACCGCCCGCCCTGGGCGCGATCAGCCATACCCAGGGCGACTGCGCCGCCTCCGATCTCCAGTGGCGGCAGGCCGAGACCGAGAGGCGCAAGAGGAGAATGACATATCCCATCAACGTCGCCCGGAACGTGGCGAGAACGTTGGCGAACACGTCCCGCGTGCTCGTGTCGGACATCGAGCTGCTGCCGAGCGCGCGGCTCGCTTCCGGCTTCATGGAGATGGTGCACCAGAGACCGCCCAAGCACGGCGTGGTCTTCGTCGTGCCTGTATTCGAGATAGAGTCCAATGAACCGCCGCCGACGACGAAGCGCGAGCTGCTCGCCGCCTGCCGAGCCGGTCTGGCGGTATATTTTCATAGGTACATATAGGCAAAAAAAAAACCTCGTGCCTCTTCACGCGTCTCGAATGTCCTAAATTTAAAATGCTGTTGACACGCGTAACTTTCTCTCGCGTAAGAATAGAAAAGCATCCGTGTGGAGTACTGTATACGTTTAATAACGGTATGAGAGAACGCCTCCCCCCTCCCCTTCCCTCCCCGGTCGTAGGTTCGTCTGTCCGCACTGCCAGCGATTTCCTGGACTGACCAGGTGGATGATCAGACCGGATCCAGGTAGGATCCGACCGCTTATCGTCACCAGACGGGAATATCCGCATCACAGGTGGGAGCCAGTCTTCATTGGCACGCGCGACGACCCGCTCTACACGGAGGAGATGTCCTGGGAGGGCAAGCAGGACAAGATGAGTCAGGTACATGGCAATTTCCTTTAGATAGATCCTTAAGTTATAAAAGTTTTCGTATGATTCTCCAAGAAGATTCATCTCAAGTACAACTGTTTACAATTATTTGTAACTTTTCGCTATATTATTTGCCACTTTCTATCAATTTTACCTGCAATATCCTAATATGTATACATCTTTCATAGATCTCGATTTCATATATTATTTACAGATGTTCGAGATGTGTCTTCTGAATTATCGTCTGGTCGTGCTCGATGGTGCCTTTTTAGTACACATTCCGGGAATCAAGCGGAGAGCGCCCAAGATCAACGCGGCCATGCAGGACTTCTTCCGGCCGCACGAGAAGAGGAACGCGAAGATCTATCAACGCGTGATAAAGCGTCTAATCAAGCGGTATCCGATCAATCGTAGATGCGCGCAGTGAGATATTCGAGACCTCGGCGCGATACTGTAAAGCCTTCGCTGAAAGAATTTTTAGGGAGAGATAAGAGGGACCGCCTCGACACGCATGCGGTGTCTGTATAATTCGTATACGATAAAAAAATAATATTTTTCGGCGACATCGAATTTTATATTAGACTTAGGAGAGGCTGCGAACCGGCACCGATCGCTTTTTCACCGCGGAAATAAAGGCTTTTTTTACTGAGAAAATGATCGGGATTCTTTTATCAAGAGGACCAATTAAAACAAAACGCACATTCCTATAACTTTGGTTACAATTTTAAGGACAGCTTCGATCGAAATTTGATGAGTTTTATCGATAGCTAATTTAGCTGATATAAGACACGCTTATAATAAAAATTCTAAATTATATAATTCATCCTTAATTAATCTAATCATTCTAATCATTCTCTTTACATTCACAAACAACAGAAAATTAATAATTCTATCCATGTTAATAATGAAATTAAATATTTCTCGACGAATAATCATCGATTAAATTAATCAGCGATCAATTTAATCAATAGAATTTTTGCTTGAAGTAAGCTACGCATACGATTCATCCCTATTCGACGTTATTCTAATCTAATCTTTCTTTTTCCATATGTTAAGCAACAAAAAAGATTTACAACTGCATGTCATCAACGTAATAACACAACATCACCTGACAAATTAATCACCGATTAAAAATAATTAGAGTCTGGTTACCATAGTCACCATTAAGCGGACGCACGTCTGTTCGTGTGAATTGCGATACGCCTACATGCAGTTCGAATCGCCCCATTTGGACCTTCAAACGGGCGCGCTGAGATATCAGCCGCTATTGGCCGCCGTAAACGAGGGGAAGTCAGTCGACGAGTCCAGTCCTAACGATCTGCTCTTCCAGAGTGCCTTTCGGAGCATCAGGGAGAGAGAGACTCCGGACTCTCCGCCGGTGGTGGCCGCCGTTCAAATTTCTCGTCTCGAGTGCAAGCATTCGGTAATTCCGTCGAAAAATCCCGTTCGGAAATTGCGCACGGTCGACCCGGCAATCAGCCGGCAGATATGTGTTAGATAGTATATCTCGTGTAATCCGATCGTCGCCGATCCGATCGATCTAACGGCTCGTGGTTCGCGGCGATGAGTCACACCGCCGGTAACACCCCGGCAGCCTTTTCCTCCTCTCCCATCCTCCAAACAGCAGAAATTGTGTGTGGTAGCCTAGTGTACGTATATATACATAATAAATGGTAAATGTAGACACGGTAAAAATCGGAAAGTAGAGCTAACGCAAGTATATATAGGAGCTGTACATGCAATATCGAATTGTCGAATAAGGCCGAGGTATACCGGACGGAGAGCGTTGCTGATTCCATGGAGACGTCCATATGAAAAAAACAGAGCGTGGGCAGTGTGTGTAGTCAGTAGTAGGAGAGTGACGGAGACAGAGGGGGAGAGAAAAGAACGGAGACGGACAAAACAAACTCCCACCGCAGCTGTGCTGCCTGTGCGAATGCGACAGTCGCCGCGAGATCGGACACGATCGGACGCGCCCGTCCTTGCCGAATCGCCGAGCGCGCCTCTCGCCGGAACGTGAGGAACGTCCGACGTACTGCAGCACGCACACCACGATATACCGACCGTACACGCGACACACAGAGCAGGCAAATCAGCCGCGCGGGGACAGTCTCGTGTTCGTGTGGTATAAATCGTTAATTGGAGTAGGTGTTTCGCGACGGCGGCTCGTGCGGCGGCCGGTGGCAGTGTGCGGCGTGGTTATCAAAAGCGAGCGATGGTCACGCGGCGGCCGAACGGGGCTCGTTATCTCGATTGTGACACAACAACGACCGCTCCTCGTGGCGGTGGCGGCACGGTAGTGGGATGCTGATAGCGGCCGCGAATGATAGCGAGACTTGGACCAGCAGCAATTACGAAGCGTACGCCGCGGCTTCGCCGGGCCGTAAGACGTTGTTAAGCCCATTAAGGTCGCCGCCTTATCGCGGTTGCCCTTCTCATTCCGGCGCTAATCGGAGCACCATTCCCGATAGCGCACGCGCGCATTACTCACCGCAAAAAGCGGCCGAAGCGGCGCAGCCCGTGTGGCACGAGCACGCGCGCGCTCTCGCCTCACTCTCGTCTCGTCCGTCCGGTGGCACGTTTCGGATCGTGTGATACATGTCAGAGCGGCTCCGGGTAAGTGCGTGCGCGCGCGTGTGTGTGGCCCTTTCGCCGGGATTCATCCGACATCATCTTTTCTCTCTCTCTCTCTCTCTCTCTCTCTCTCTCTCTCTCTCTCCCGCTCGTCGCGTGTCCATTCATTGCGGAAGCATCTCCGTACTCCTTGACTTAATCGTGCTAATGCGGCGATAATGGCACGATTGATTTATGTTGATTAATTTCTGTGACCTGATTCCTTGCTGTTTTTTTTCAAAATCATTTTTCATTGTGTCGATTACAGTTGGACATTCTTACGAGTTGACGGTATAGTTATCGGAAAAATTATAATTGATATAAAACGGGCGTACTGTTTGTAATCTGATTATTTATTGTGCGCCGCGACTTGAGTTTTCACAATCCGAATTATTAATCGTCTTATCGAGAACATTTGTTTGCAGAACATAGAGAAATGGATATATTCCTAAATATATCGGCCACCTTCTGGTCGCCGGACGTTTGGTTGCCTCCTAACATTACGTGGGATGACATCAGTCCGAATTCAGACAATAAATATCCTAATTATCAACATTTAATATTTCCGCTGCCCATGGCATTTGTTCTCCTAGGGATAAGATACACTCTTGAAAGGTAAGCTGGCTAGACTTTATTGTATTGGTCGTACTTACGTATAAGTTTCAGGTTTTGTCTTAAAGTATAAATGTTTTACTTTGATTAGAAATTAGATTCATGTACTGTTGAAAAGTTTACGTTAATTAAATATATCGCAAAATATAATATTTAATATATGATAAAAGATTTACGTCAATTTCTAAAGTAATATGTATACATAGGTATATTCAATTTTTATATAGGTATTGGTTTGCTCCCTTTGGAAGATCGCTTAGTATAAAAAATAGCAGAAGCAAAAGGGCAGCGCCCAATGAGATATTAGAAAAAGCATATCTTAATAAGAAAACTAAGTATAAACAGGTGGGTAACAAAATTTAATATTGTTATACATCATGTGACTACTCATTAATAACGACCTATGATCTACGACCTATGATCTATGATCAATTATAATGATTAAATGTTTATGCAGATAAAATTTTTTATGAATTATATAAAGAGAATCTTATTTAAGAGGTAAACATCAGGAATATTAAAACAAAAATTAATATAGTATCAATTAATATATTATTATTATGTATATTATAGCACTTTGTAACACACAACTATATTTTAAGATTTTGGCATTGGCGAAACAATTAGATTGTTCTGAAAGGCAAGTGGAAAGATGGCTTCGGCTGCGTCGTTCTCAAGACAAGCCGTCTACTCTTACCAAGTTCTGTGAAAGTTGGTCAGTCATCGTCTTAATTCACACGTTCTTCCGCATAAACATCAGTGTATTGACAAATAATGTACATGATTCGTGATCTTTATTTTCAGTTGGAGATGTTTTTATTATGCGTATTCATTCTTCTATGGCCTTGTTGTCCTGTGGGATAAGCCGTGGCTTTGGGATATAAAACATTGTTATTACAATTATCCCTTTCACGCTGTTACCAGTGACATATGGTGGTATTACATGATATCAATGGCATTTTACTGGGCATTAAGCTTTTCTCAATTCTTCGATGTAAAAAGGAAGGATTTCTGGCAGATGTTCATTCATCACATAGCCACAATTTTACTTATGTGCTTCTCGTGGGTCGGTAACCAAACGAGGATCGGCAGTCTGGTCTTGCTTGTGCACGATTGTTCGGATATATTCTTAGAGGTAAGAGTGCTCGCGGGAGAAAAATTGTCCTCTGTATTTCAATTTATATGCATTTCTTTTTTAATTCGCAGGCGGCTAAAATGGCCAAATATGCAAATTATCAGAAAATTTGTGATTGTATATTTGCCGTATTTACAATTCTCTGGGTTGTAACACGTATGGGTGTGTATCCATTTTGGATAATTTATAGGTACGTATATTTAGATTTTATAACCGATTGAAATTGTATCTCTGCGGAGTATCTCTGTGATTCCGACGTGAGTACTGATTCCGATCTATTCCATATTTACAGCACATCTGTAGAGGCGCCTAAGATATTACCGATGTTCCCCGCATATTATATCTTTAACTTTTTGTTATGTTTACTACTGCTTCTCCACACAATTTGGACTTATCTAATCCTTAAGATCGCATACCGCGCTTTCAATGCTGGTCAGGTATGTGCTGCCGATTTATATAAATTGTCGCGTGCACGTTCACTGGGACATTTTTTTCGATTTTTTTATTAATGAATGAACGCAACATTTTATATGCTAATCTTTTCTTGTTGGAAAAACTATTACAGATGGAGGGTGATATTCGCAGTAATAGCAGCGACGAAGTATCCGACACTTCGGTCAATAATACTCCCATAAACAGTACCGCAAACTACATTAATAAGTCGAATTCCAAACCAAAAGCCCACTAACAAAACGCATGCTGCATAGGCTACTATTTTAAAGACCGATCCCAAGGCAGAAAATTCATCCGGACGTTTAGCCAGGTGCTAATCTCTCTTCCTACAAGTTGTAATGAAATCTCGATTGTGATTTTAATCTTGTAATCCAAGATGCTAACGTTAACGTATACCTAATTGATCTCTCACGAAATTAAAATATATACTTTTCTCCCATTTCCCTTTCATTAGTGTTTCCATTAAAATAATCCAATGCTTTGTTACAAATTTGTCTGCCTCAATTTCAAAATGTATTTACGTTAGGAATACGTTAATATATATAAAGAACAACGAAAGAAAACAAAACAAATGGGGACAAACCCCTTGAAACCTTGAAACAATTATTTGTACCGCTAATTTAGATGAATCCATCCTATTTAAGAATTAATTATAAGTATTTTCTTTTGAATGAATTCTTAATGCTTAGTTAAGATATAAGAATGGACCAAAGCCGCCAAGATGTTCGGTGTCTGACCTCCGTCGATTCTCTCAGAGTCTAATATCGCGTAACTATTTTGAAAAAAAAAATGTATTTATTTATTTTCGTATACTTTGTGAGCCTTAGTCAATGGTCAATAAGTATAAGAACAATTCAATTAATAATAAATTTCTACTTATTAATCACACACGATTCTCTCTTATTCTATTTCTTGACGCGAAATTCAGTTAGACTGTTCGCCAGTGCGAGTCACAAATTGCGACGATATAATTTAGCTCGAGCGCATCGCAATGTATTTCATCGATATCTATATCTCATATAAGCAAATTGATAGCAATACGTTTGCACATTGGAAGAAAATTTAACTAGAATTTTGTATCAAAGTCGATGCCATTTGTATCCTCATTAGACTTGTGTTTGCAAAACGCACTGCTCATAAAATGAGATCAAATTTGGCATTTAGCGCTAAAAAAAACTATATAAAATTTGCTGGTATAATAAAAAAATAGACGACAAAAACCGAGCAAAAAATGCCACATACGACGTATTGTACTGTGGCATTGTACTGTAAATTAGCTATAAATAGCAGTAAAACTGGCTACATGCTTGTTGCATAGATCGTATCTTATACGTCTTTAAAAATATCTTAAATACCTGTAAATGCCTACTCATACTGCTCGCGTATTTTTCCTTTTTAAAAAAAAAATGAAAAAGGTCGCTCGATATATTAATTTATCCCATACTTAATTAAACTTTTATTATATTAAAAATATATATTATATATACATAATTGTAGTTATTATATCAAGAATATTAATTTTAAAGAATTTATTATAATAACATATTGTTATATTCATACATATATTACAAAAAAATATTCCTATTTGTCTATTTATTTATTTTTTTAAGAAAATACAAAGACAAGCAGTATGATTGGTAATTTAAAGGTATTTAAAGTTATTCCAAGATATTTAAAAAGGCATCATTTAATCGATCGACATTTCATGTCGAAAAACAGCATCCTTCTATCTCTTTCTATCAGTATTTGCTGTATTATGCTGTTTCATCTCGCTCGGTTTTTACCATCTGTTCGTTCTTATATAAATTATGTCAGCAAATCGCGCGTGGTTCTTGGCGGAAGATTTGCTCGCATTTTACGGGCAGAAAGTTTTGTTACATTTACGCTGTTATTTTGCAAACATTTACTTGATTAACGGATTATCATATTTGTCGCCAAGGAAATTTATTGCGGACGCTTGGAAAAATGTGTTTTTCTCAGATTTCAGGCCAACTGGATCGCTTGAGCCAGTAAAAAAAAGGCAACACACTTTTGCATTTATTATCTAAATATATATAGCAACAAAATAAATGTTACGTAAATTGTATGTTTGTGTATACTTATAATACGCACGCGAGTTTTCACAAATCATGGTATTAATTATTCTTACGTAATACTGCACTAGCAATCGTCTTCGTGTATCTCCAATAAAACTTCCCTACTGATTCTCGGACGCTCCTGTTTTTTGCTTTTTTGCTCTTTGTCTACCTTCTAATATATAATAAAAAAAAAAAGATTACGTCAGAAACTCGATGTTGCACAGAGTTGTTGTTTGAAATGTCCGCCATTTGACAAGCAGCCAGAATTAACTTAATTGCTCGCTAATGCTAAAGTTCTGTACGGGACGCATACATAATTTTTTTCCTCTCTCTTTTCCCCATCGTCTAGTTGTACATCTATTTTTAAATGCGTAAAACGCAGATGTACGAGTGACAGATTCATGGTGTTGTCTCGTTATAACTCCAATATTACGAACGCGCGTTGCCTCTAATTTCTTTTCCATAAGAAAGGTAAAACGGAAATACCTTTCTTCGATGTGCAAACAAGATAAAATTTCACGAGGCAAGACTGTTTACAATTGTCTTTTGATGTCGCAACGCAACAACTTCGACGTTTCGTTATCACTTCGCGTCATTTGCAATTACAAACGCGCGCGCGTGCGCGCGATTACTACTTCGCTCGTTCCACTCCGGCCGGCGCCGGCGGCCCTGAAACTCCGACCGCCTGCTCCGCGCGGCGCAGTCCGCGTGGCGGGAATAAACATGGCGGCGCATGGCCGGGGTGTCAAAGGTCGGACGAGACTGTGGGTTAGGTTGGGTTACGTCAAAGCGATCCGTCGATCTCGCGACGTGTTGCGTTTCCGACGAATTACGTAAACCGGCGACACCGCGTGGCATCTTCTGCCTTTTTTTTTTCCTCATCTCGCGTCCGGCTGCCATGCGGCCGAGACGTCGTTCCGCCTCCTCGAAGGTACACTCTACATACGATCTCCACAGTCGACGTCGCAGCGGAGAGGGGATCGTGACATTGACATGACATTCAAATTTCAGCCGGTCCACGCGGTCACGCTGCCGATTTCGTTAATTGCGCATAGGGCATCGTCACGGTAGAAACATGGGCGGCAAGTGGTCCAGCATGGATCCCTCGCAGGTCGAGGTACCGGAGATAAAGGCCCTCCTCGAGAGGGATCCGTACCTCAAGCCGTACGAGAATGACATTCGACGAAGGTACCTAATTTATTTATAGCGATTTTATATGCGATCCGCCGCGCGATTTGCGCAACACTTTGCGACGTCGCTCGTCCTAACAATAACTCGTCGGAAGTAAGTTCCGGTAAGCGTTACGGCCCCCGCCTTTCCAGGTACGCCCTGTTTCTGGATTACGTCGAGAAGATAGAAGAGGGAGACGGAGACCTGCGGCGATTCACCACCGCGTACGAGAGCTTCGGCATTCATATCCGGGATGACAACAGTGTCGTCGCGAAGGAATGGGCACCTGGCGCGCAGGAGGTATTTCTCACCGGAGAGTTCAGTGCGTATTATTTTCCATTGACTACATTTAGCACATTTAACGTTGACCCAGGATTGTATTAATTTCTTAGCGTGACTTTTGTTGTACAGACAATTGGCAGAAAACCGCCGCGCCGTACAAGAAGCTGGAATACGGCAAGTGGGAGCTGCATCTACCACCGAACGCAGACGGCAGTTGCCCTCTGAAGCACAATTCCGAGGTGAAGCTCATTATCAAGAATCACAGCAACGAGCTGCTCGAAAGATTGAGCCCCTGGGCGACTTACGTGACTCAGAAGGCGGACAAATCTGAAGGGACTACCTACAAACAGCGCATATGGCATCCAGAAAATGTATCGGACAATTTTACCGTTAGAAAATGCGCCGCCGGCGGTCTCGTGACAGAGATTTACAACGCTCTTCCTTTCCAGACGTACAAGTTCAAACACCCGAAACCGAAGAAACCGGCGAGTTTCCGGATCTACGAGTGTCACGTTGGAATTGGCACGCAGGAGTTTCGCGTTGGCACCTACTTGGAATTCGCCAGGGATGTGATACCGCGGATCGTGAAGCAAGGGTACAACGCGATACAACTGATGGCGGTCATGGAGCACGCTTACTACGCCAGTTTTGGATATCAGGTTGTGTATATACACACGCACACACACACACACACACACACACACACAGACAGACAGACACATTTGATGAATTGTAAAAATTAATTATACGATTATGTATACGAGTGTCGGCTCTACATCTCTTGTTCAAAATCAAAGGTGACTTCCTTCTACGCGGCCTCGTCACGCTACGGAAATCCAGAAGAGCTGAAAGAGCTGGTAGACATCGCACACCAGCACGGTCTCTACGTTCTGCTGGACGTGGTACATTCGCATGCTTCCAAGAACACTCTGGACGGGCTGAATATGTTCGATGGAACAGACGCGTGTTTCTTCCACAGCGGTTCTCGCGGCGAGCACTCGCTGTGGGACAGCAGGCTGTTTAATTACGCGGAATACGAGGTACTTCGGTTCCTGTTGTCCAATCTACGTTGGTACATCGAAGAATATGGTTTCGATGGGTTCAGGTACTTAGTTTTTTCTTTTTTTTTAACACGACTTGTGAGGCACAAGTTCATTACATCCTGAACTGCACACACTTTATTGTTATGTTAATGCCATTTTGACATCAACATAACAAATCATTTTAACATCTTATTTGTGATTTCGCCTCCACTGCTTAAGTATTTTGAAAAAACACTTATAAAGCGATTATTGATTTAATCTTTAATCTTGGACATGACATTTAAAATAGGCTTCATCTTACCGCGTTATTCATAATATCTGATATCTTAATGATCTCTCCGTTTTTATTCTATGAAAAGGACTCGAATAAGAATCGAAATGTCTATGTATTTTATTGGCTTTATTTATTAATTATATATATATTTTATACACTATGTCGGCTTATATTGGCTTTTTTTAATTTATTGATTTATTTCACTTAAACCTATTCTGAATATTGTTTTATACGTAATAAAGCCGAATATCACTCTTATTGAAACTGCAATTATTTTGCAGATTTGATGGCGTCACATCGATGTTGTATCACTCGAGAGGCTTGGGACAAGGTTTCAGTGGTCACTATGATGAATATTACGGTTTGAATGTCGATGTGGAGGGCATAGTGTATTTGATGCTCGCTAATCATATGCTGCATGAAATATATCCCGAAATCATCACAATCGCCGAAGATGTTAGCGGAATGCCAGGCGTTTGCAGGTACGAGACTCACATGGATCAACTAAATCAAAGCAAATGAAAATATTAATTTTAATTATATTAATTTTTCATAAAATATTAGACCCGTGGCCGAAGGTGGCGTAGGATTCGACTACCGATTAGCCATGGCCATTCCCGACAAGTGGATCAAGTTGTTAAAAGAAGTTAAGGACGACGATTGGAAGATTGGCGAAATCGTCTGGACGCTCTCCAATCGAAGATGGATGGAGAAGGCGGTCGCTTACTCCGAATCTCACGATCAGGCCCTCGTGGGCGACAAGACCATTGCATTCTGGCTCATGGACAAGGAGATGTATACGCACATGAGCACGCTGAGTTCACCCAGCGATATCATCTCTCGTGGCATTGCCCTCCACAATCTAATCACGCTGATCACGCATGCTCTGGGCGGCGAGGCTTATCTAAACTTCATGGGTGAGTGATAAATAAAACAAATAATCCTTTGCTGAACGATTGTATCACGAAATACGCATTCAATTCATGACAGAAAAAATATGAGCAATCAGAGACGTGTATTATACTCTATGGAAACGTATATCTTACAGGCAATGAGTTCGGCCATCCCGAATGGCTGGACTTTCCGAGAGTCGGAAACGCAGATAGCTACCATTACGCCAGACGTCAGTGGAGTTTGGTGGACGACGAAATGTTGAAGTATAAATATATGTACAATTGGGATCGCGCTGTGAATACGGTCGAAGAGAAATACGGATGGTTGCATGCTCATCCTGTAAGTAGCTTTATAAGACTTTGATTTCGTCACTAAGCGAGCTTTTACTAAGCGTTTTTTGACGCTCGACAATGAAGGATTAAAAGAAATTTAAAGAATCAGACATGACATTCGAATTTATAGGGCTATGTGAGCTGGAAACACGAAGACGACAAGGTGATCGTGTTCGATCGTGCTGATCTCGTCTTCGTCTTTAACTTTCATCCAGTCAAGTCGTTCGCCGATTATCCGGTCGGTGTAAAAAATCCGGGAACGTACAAGATCGTTTTGTGTAGCGACGACGAACAATTCGGAGGTGAACGTCGCGTAGACACGAGCGTGCAGCATTTCACGCAGCCAGAACCGTTTTCTGCGTATCAACATAAAATGATGATCTACATTCCGCGCCGTACAGCTTTGGTTTACGCACAAACTGGTAACGTATCGATACAATGTATTTTGTATTAATGCCGATTATAGTAATTAATATTAAATAAAATCGATTACATTTTAGATCGTTAGACTGCTGTCTCGTGACTGAAGACTATTCGAAAATTGCATAATGATAGATATATTTAGTATATATAATAATACAGATAGACTGCAGAGAAGTCATATATTTTTTAAAAATATAATTCGATAAAACGTCTACATGTAGATTTAGGCAACTTGCGAAAGAGATATATCGTGGTAAAGAAACTTGTGAGTATAACTGTAATCTTTAGATTTTTATTACAAAACAGTAACATACCGTAAATGCTGGTGCATTTAGCTTGTTTTCTCAGACACTATCATTTTTACTCAGTCACCGAATTAATATATTTTGGATATATAAACTTTGTTAAAATATTTTTCTATTGAATTTTTATGGAATCAATATATTTTTTATGAACAGAGAAGAAAGAGTGATGAGATATTTATTACGATCTCTTAATTTATTCAATTCTAATAATTAATCGTGCCCATATATTCACAAGAAACAGCTGTTGACAAATTTATATTGAGATGTTTTGTATCCTAGTTACTAATTTACAAATATATACACTCGTTTTTCAAAAACTTATAAAATTTATATATTTTTTTAATATAAATACAATCTTTTCCTAAAGTTTATCACGCTGCTGAAACAATACCCGTATTGTTCGCAGCAGGAACACTGAATTCGGCCTCGTTTATGTCGTAGTCGTTCATCTTCCTTTCTAGCAGCCACCATTTCTCTAGAAAGCCTATATCCACTATCCTTTCGTGAAAGGTTTCATATCGCGGTTTTAGGTAAGGGCAGACCGCCTTGTATATGGAACAATCTTTGTTATAATTATCCAACCAGATCAGAGACATAACGCCTAAATTTAGCCTCCTGATTAGCCCCTCGTTGTAGCACTGCTCCAACCACTTCAGGTGCTGCACGGAGACGGGATTGCGTATGGGTTCTCCCACTTGCATTAGTTTTATACTGCTTTGTATCAGTTGATCCCTGAACATGGTCTCGTCCGGATTGTGGCGATTAGAGTAGAAGCAGCCTCCTAGAACTATGACAAAAATTATTCTCATACAAATGTGATGTTACAGATATTATTATATATTATCGTTACACTGTCACGCATCTTAAAAAGTTACGTAATCCGCAGATACGCGGTACTCACGTGAAATGTACATCGCGGCACGTACAGGACGCTCCCTGCAATCTTTAGCTACGTCAATCGCGACTTCCTCGTAATTTATATACAGATCATGCCAATATTTCACTGCAATTTTTTTTTATGACAAAGCTATCAAATATTATTCGAACGATTATAGAACGTGACAATTCAATCGGATTTATTATTTACCCCAGCGTTCCAGAATGGTGCCTTTAATCCTCTCGGGCATCTCGTAGCTCCTAATTTTAACACCGATCTTATTAATCTTGAATTTAAGCAGCTTAAAGGTTGCCCTGAATCTAAGAGGAAGCTGAAATATTTGTTGGGTACCCATGTTCGTTAAATCTCCGCAGAGATCTCGATCACAACGATATCGTCGAGCGAATTTCAGACAATTTCGGAGTCATGCCGCGACGGCATTTAAATCGCGATAGGTTATGTCACGTTGGAAACATAACCGCAAATTCAACAGGAGGTCGCGCGCCATCTGGCAGAATTTCGTCATAACCACGAAACGTAATGTCAATTTGATTGGTTGCTTGCTAGGGAATTTCCTGGGGACTTCTTGGGGATCAAACATTTTCTGTGCGTGACAATCTGTCTTCTGTTTTCTTGGCCAAGTCGCGCCGTACAACCTCGGCCAAAAGTTTCGACAGGTCTTTCGCGTTTCGTGTTGTGTTGGCCAGCCGAACAGGCGGCTCCGCCGTACCGGTTCTCGAATTTCTCTAACCTTCTCTCACGCGCGAGTCGATCGTCGTGATGTTCGATCGCCCGCGACCCGCCCGCGGAGTGCAATCGATCCCGTTCGTGTCGTTAACGGTGAACGCGAGCGCGTGATAACGGCTGATTCTGATTCCCCTTGGCCGCCCCCTTTTGCTGCACCTTTCTGTACCCCGACAACACGAAGAACGTCTGCTCGCAATGAAGTAGACAATTACAGCTAGCCCCTCGCGCTCCTTCGGGGAAAAGCAGGGAGAAGAAAGAAGAGGAGAGGAAATTGCGGTGACGGCAGCCGAGAAACCCCCGTTCGACGAACCCGTGGACACATCTCTACGCCTTCGTCGGGAGGAAACGGAAAGAGATAAAATTGCGGGACGTAGAGGAGGGGTGGGGAGGGAATGTAGGAGGTGGAATTAGGAGGCAGGCTGTCGCTCTTTGGCTGGAGTACAGTCATCCCCACAGCTGGTCTCTGTTCTCGTCAACTCGCGGCGTACGCGAGTACCGCGAGAGCCTAGGTGCAGCAGCGAGCGAGGTTGCGGGCCAGCGCAAATGTCAGACGGCTCGTGACGGCGGGAGGTGAGGAGGAATGTGACCGGGCGCAGCCTCTCGGCGGAGTGAATTGAATTCTCTCACACGCGTCCGGCGGCCGCGCGAGATCGTGCACGATGGAGAATTACCAGGTACGCGGAGGATCCCCCTCGCGCGAGGCTCGCGTCAACCCGCTCTCGCGGTGTATGACTCATGTCTGTTGTTACGAGAGCGTGCGAGATGACTCTTTGTCTACTCTCGCTCCTTCTTTCTTTCAGGTGAGAGCGCTGTACGACTTTACGGGCGAGTCGGGAACGGCGGAGCTGTCAATCACTGCCGGCGAGGTGCTGACTGTCATACGGGACAACGTGGGCGATGGCTGGTGCGAAGGATTCAATCAGAGCGGCCAGTCGGGCTTATTCCCGGCGGCGTACGTCCAGGCGGTCAAACAGGCTGAGCCCTCCTCCAGTACGTACGCGATTGCTTTCATTTAACGTGAACATCGACGTACCAGTCGAGTGATATCCATTGTTACGTTATCTATCTTTGCCACATGTCGGTACAATGCGGTCATCTGATAAGAGATAAGCTACTTACTTTTGGAAAATTATGTAACATTGTTGATATCTTTGATTGGATTGCTGTATACGTATATATTGATGTATATATGTATGTGTAGACACTATGACGTCGTCCCAACAAAGCTCGGGAGATTATTGGGACGACGACTGGGACGACGATTCCGAGGTTGGACAAACGCAGGCTTACGTTCCGCCCACGCAGCAGCAGCAGCCACTGTCGCAACAAAATAACGCCAGCGACTATGGCGATCAAGTGTCGATGCATACTATACATTCTGTGATACCAGAGAGACCTATACCCAATATACCAAAGAGAAACAATAAGTTTTCCACGTTAATCAAGTCGGGAGAGGATAGCTTTCTGCTGGGCGTCAAAATGGTGACTGTGCCTGAGAGCGAAAAGATATTCGTAGAGGAAGAGGAGGGTGGTCGGTGCACGTGGTTACCGACTGGTGAATCATACAATTGCGTCGTCACGTCGCCCAAGAAGGAGTCCAAGCTGAAGGGTCTCAAAAGTTTCATCGTCTACCAGTTAACTCCTACGGTAAAAGAAAAATCATTACTTCTTCTTTTCTCATCTGTTATTTGTATATATCTGTCTCTAATATTAATATTCGTATTGCAGTTCAATAATATACAAGTCTCAAGGAGATACAAGCACTTCGATTGGCTGCACGAGCGTTTGGAAGAGAAGTATTGCTTCATTCCGATTCCGCCTCTGCCAGACAAGCAGATATCGGGGCGCTACGAGGACGCGTTTATCGAGCATCGACGTACGCAGCTGCAGGAGTTCGTCGACTACGTCTGTCGGCATCCCGTGCTGTCGCGTAGTCGCGTCTGGGAGCACTTTATCACCTGCACGGACGAGAAGCGGTGGAAGGCGGGGAAACGGCAGGCGGAGAAGGACGAGCTGCTGGGCGTGAATTACTTCAACGCCATTCAGTGCTCGGACACGCCGCTGGACATAATAAAGATGGAGCTCCAGACGGACGCGTTCAACAGATTTATCAGCGGTTTGGATCCGGTGGTGAAGAACTTCATGGCCATGGCGGTCGATCAGGCGAAGAAGCATCAGGTGTTGTACAAGAGGGAGTTCCAGAAAATCGGGCAGTCGTTCACGTCGCTCGGCCACGCCCTCGAGGCGGACGACAACGGCCGCGGGAAGCTGACGCGCGCGTTGAAGGCGACCGGCGACGCTTACAACGACATCGGCAAGCTGTACGAGGAGCAGCCCAAGTTCGATTGGGAGCCGCTATCCGACAAGTTTCACATTTATCGCGGTATTATTAGCAATTTCCCCGACGTCACCAGCATTCATAAGGTATCTCTCTCGCGCGATGTGTCGCGGCTTGCATTAATTAGCGTGTCATCCGATCGGACATTGATAATTTTTAATGCCCCGTGTCTTATATTTCTTTTCGTAGAGCGCCATGCAAAAACGAAGAGACTGCGAGCGGATGGTCAGCGAGCATAAATTGGAGCCGCAGCAGCTACGCGACCTGTCCCATCGGACTGACGTGATAGCGCGCGCCCTGATCGCCGAGGAGACCCATTTTCAAACGGAACGAGAAGTGCACATAAATAAGGCCGTGAGGACGCATCTCACGGAACAGATCGCCTTCTACCAGAAGATAGTCGACAAACTACAGGAGGCGTTGAATACGTTCGCCGAATGATACTCGTAATCTGCCACGATCTGCCTAAGTAACATGAGATCTAGTCGCTCCAAGAGCGACCGACCATCAGTGTTAACGAAAAGATATCTCAATCAATAACGACAAAATGCTTACAATTTCAGTAAAATATGTACATAACACTAGACCCATTTACTTGAATTAGCGCAGTCGGAATTGAGCAGTTAAACTGGACAGCAGTTGATATCAAAACGGCTGTGTACAGCCGTCTCAAGTATTTGTGAAGTTATCAAGTGATTATCGTGTTAAGATTCGGTATACGGCTGAAATTGATATAAATCACGCGACGATCATTGATATAGTATAAGAAATTGTAATATATTTTACGTTGATATTAATTTTAATCTTCAGTCCACTGCATCTCGTTAATTCTGAAATGTGTGAAATTCTTTTTCACAAAATTTCAATTCTGTCCGAATAATTTCTCGCGGTGAATTCTTAAAAAGAGCGGCGTAATATCGCATCGTCGTTAAATTATCATGTGTATTATGTAGACACGAATGGTCCATTTTTACACGGTCCACACAACTCGACTTTAATTATAAAGTTCAATCACGAAATATCATGTATTGCAACGTGAATTGTTATGATTGTAATAATACTTTGTAACTAGGAATAATCGTGTCCGTGTGACATTAAAAGTTGATAATCGGATTGTGTTTTGTCCATTGATTCCACACGAAGCAGCAGTTGAAAAATAACAGCACGCGAAATCGCTTGCAATATTCCGTACTAGCACACGTGTTACTATATTTTTAAGTAAACTAATTAAAATCAAAGGAGGAGCTATAAAAGCTCGCGCTACACGAAATATTTTAGTTTTAATACGAAAAGATCAATCGATTGTTTAATGAGCAGCTAAATATATATGATGCATTGTGTGAAATTCTGCTTTGTAAGATTATCATATTTAACATTCGTCATTTCCCTCTGCAGAATGCAAAAATTATTCATTCTGTCGTAGTGAGGATTAAATTGTTTGTCGCGTATAAATGAGAAAGCGAAAGATAAATCTATCTGCGCGTAATGTTTCTATAGGGTGTTCAAAAGGCAGCCGTTTTGTATACACGTTTTTTAAACGAAACATTTGTGTGACTGTCACAAAACCCTATACATTTTTTTAATAAGCAATACGCATATAGCGAAAAAAATAACAAAGTATAGGACGATTACATTCTTGTTATCGCATTTAAATAAAATGTACAAATAACAGAGCTTATATGTATAAACATAGGCATCATGTACCAATTTTTATAAACGATCTTATAACGATTATCAGCGAGAAAAAAATCGAATTCTTTTGGTAAGGAATTCTAATAAATGGCTATATTGAATCAAGAATTAAATATCATTTATTATTTTATCACATTCTCAAGTAACTACCATATAAACAATGTTCGTACCGCTTCCTATCATTGCCACGCCTTCTTAAATTGAATTTCAATTTCATTAACAAATTATGTCTTGGTGTATTATAGCGAGAAACTTATCTCTTCTAAAATGTGATTAACGCGGTATATTATTATCTGTACAAATGTAACTTAACGGGAATTCAAACAACCTCGATCGTCGTCGAAGGAATGAAAAATCATTGTGCTTGCCAATGGCGTATTAATATACACGCGTGAAAGTCCGTATAAGTATAAAGAGGAAACAACAGATCCACTCGTAGCTACTGTCCCCTCCCCCCTCCCTCCCCCCATTCATTGGTGATGGAAATAGCAGTCTTTCTAAAGTACTTCACGTGGTATATATTGCATGCGACATTTCTTTTCCTTTTCTAATTATATAAGCAAGCTCGTACAAAAAATAGCGTCCTGCTTTGTGCAACCGCATGATCGTCATAATTAAATGAGGTCACCTAAACGAAAATAAATCGCACATTTAATGCGCCGTTCGCTGTAGTACTTATTTCTACCTCTCAAAATATTGTATATCGATCGTTAATCTTTCGTAAGGCCAATCGTTCTTCTTCTCGAAAGGAATAAGAGCTTTCACATATCCATCGGAAAGAATTGGCAACGGAAAATAATATTCTTAGAAGAGTAGGAGAGTAGCGTTTTCGGTAACATTTAAAATAGGATTTACTCTCTCTCTCTCTCTCCTCTGCGTATCTCCCATTTTTTCAAATACATACACACACACTCTCTTTCTCTCTCTCTCTCTCTCTCTCTCGCTCTCGCTCTCTTTCAGACGTAGGCCGCAATGTGTAAAGAACATATGCTATATTACAGAGTCAAGCTTTCAGAGTCGCGGAGCCCGATAGGACAGTGAGACGCGTATAACATCGCCGAATCATCGAGCGTAACAAAGAGATAATAAGCTGTCGTCATCCAACATCACCGAAGAGGACGTCGTAAACATTGGCACATTTTAAAACTATTTTATCTTTATTCTGATTATTCTCTTTACGGCGCGCCGCGAGTGCGCGAACGGCAATCGTCTCGATTATCATATTTATTACAGTACAGAGAGTTTCTCCTGCAACTCCTTTGCGAATAGTAAAACGGCGAAATTCGTTCCCCCCCCTCTCGCCCCCTCCCCCCCGCGGGAAACGAACGCCGAGTGAATTCCCGTGTGTGTCTGCGTTTCCTAGCGTAACGATCGTAAGCCTTGTGTACAATGAGAAAAATACAGTAGGAAGATATACATTATAGTGTCCGGCGTTAACGCACCGCGTTAACGTTACAAGCACGGTGCGATTCGCTCGCATTTCTAGACTAACGTTTCGAAGTGTTCTCGGTAAATAACGATACACGCGCAGATGCCAAAGGATCCGCGCGGCTAAGGAGGAACCTCGTGAGGAACCCTTCGACATACCGTCCTGCTACATCACGCTATACTTCTATTATCGTTCTCGTTCTCGCTCTACGCACACAGCAGTCAGATTGGCCTTTACATAGTTTACATACTTGTATTTTTTTTTTTTTATGATGAGATTTCACACTAACAATTCGTTCTCTCGTCGCTACTTAGAATCAGCTTATCTTTACATCACATTTACAGTATTCCTGCCGATATGTGTTTGTTCACGTGGCACGGTACTTTGAATACAAGCTAAAGCTCGCGTCTTGAGATCTCCCCTTTTTTTTTTCGCGTCTTTTTTTCTATTTTTCTTTAGAATTTTCATCGCAGAGCCATCACAACGCGCGTTTGTTAGCGTAAAACGAATGTTTGTCTGTTTTATTTATTTATTTTTTTTTCCTAGCGAATCTCTCTTATTAGATGACATGATGTTGATTACACGCGAAGCACTTCAAGCGCCGGAATCGAAAGAACGCAGGAGTTGTATGCTAACTCGAGAACAACTATTGCTGCACGGCTAAAATAACGTTGTGTTTATCGAGCTGTTGCGCCGATAAGAGAAATACGCACAAGCGCGTCCGCGACAATTTTCAATCCTTCGCGCGCGCACACACTACTAACGTATCGCATCGCATACGTTCGGATCGCTGTATGTAAGTCTCTTATAAGCGATATAAGTCGACTTGAGCATCTCAAATATGTATCTATGAGCTCCGATCAAAGAAACTTATCTCGCGCAACGCAACGGATTAATTCGAACACGTCCTGTGTGATAAGCACCTACGAAAAGTTTCTACTAATGGCACGTATGGTAATGCACCATCATCATGTCATCCAAGGCACTTCAGAAGTCAAGTTTACACAATGAAAGACACCAATATAATAGTTTCGGTGAGCTAGCGTTTACCGAGAAGCGTACTTGGAGAAGCGTAATAATTAACGGTAATTAGCGGTAATCATGAACGTCATTCATACTTATGCGCTTTATCGCACATAGGTAAAAGTTTACTCTACGGCCGTGAAATAGTGTCCGTCGTTTTATTGAGTTTAGGGCTGCGATCGAGAACACACGAGACTTTTGGATACACACACAATGGAAATAAAGAAGCACGGGGTCCAAACGCGTCAAATCTTTTCGTCAATTGGCGTTCCTCCCTTTTCTTTTTACAAGAAACAAAAAAACCGTCTAGCGTGTCAAAGTCAAAACGCTAAGATCCTCCGGAATGAACGAGATTCGACTACGGAACCGATTGTTCTCCAACGCATCCCCAAAGTGATCGTCGCATCGGTCACACGTTCCTCTCTCTCTACAATTCTCTACATAGTATCCCCTTACACCGAGAAGTGCCCGCTGTACGGACGGATGCCTAACATGATAATGCCAAAGAGATTATTATATATATATATATATATATAGCTTAATTCGAAGAGAAAGAGAGAATACACGGTAACAACGGAGATGCCCGCTCGATAAAGTGCAATTAGCGTTCTTCTTTTTTTTTTGTTTGTTTTTCTCTTTTACATGCATCTTTCGGTGCCTCGGATCTTTTTGAACGAGAGCCACACGTTCCGAGTGTTCTACTTTCAGCTAACTATAAAACACAGAAATCGCTAGTCGGTCTCTGAATTTTACTCGTGGATATGTCTCGCAAAAGGATAGCTAAACTTCGCGATTAAACAGTGGTTTTCACATTGTTCAGCTGCGTGCCTCGCAGGTGTTCCCAAAGTTTATCAAATTTAAATTGTGATATTCATTCCCAGCAATCAGTCGCATTTCCGTAAACGGGGCACGGCGCCCAAAATATACTTTTGATTGAAGGCATTGATTTTTAACGAGCTTCGTGCATTTACTTCGATAAAACGATGCAACAGCACGAGGCTCTCGTCCGAAATCGAATTACAACTGTACATATTTATACTTCACACGAGAACAAAAAATTTATCCTCGGTTCTACCAGTCTTGATATGAATACGGTAAAATTATCAATGCAAAAATTGCATTTTTTTACTGCATTTCTGCTGACGCCACGTGAAAATAAGAAAGACACGATAAACAAGTCAGAGGGTCGCATTAAGTAATTTTTTCCTCTATCTCTCATCGACTCGTAATATTAACGAGATAAACACTCGCGCTGCGTATAAATCTGTACTAGGAATAAATTGCACTTTCGAGCCGATTTCCTTCTTGCGTCTTAGCAAAGGTAAAACGGTACAGGGCGTAAAAATTAGCTCGGTTCTCCATTGTCTGTCTAGCGTGCCTTTATCGTACAGTAACTCCGTATAACATTATGGCACACACATTCCAATATTTAAAAACTAATATTACTATCTTTTCGCATGATATTTTTGTTAATAAAAAAGAAGTAATTGTAAAAAGTATACGTGAAATGAGCCCCTGTGACGTAAAAAAGATATTAAATATTAAAATATCATAATAAAAGCAAAGAAACGAGGTAACGTAATGCTTTTTCGCATACATGAAAATAATTAAGATTGCGCCACGATAGTAACATTACAGAATTGTTCCTCATATCGTCTTAAAATCAGGCACGCAAGATAGTCTATGTGTTTAGATGTGTATTTGTGCATTATGTACACCTTACGTTCTGTAGAAATAGAAGTAGTAATGCAATATATATATATATACATATATATGTATATATATGTATATATATTAATGTCAGGATAATGTACATATACGTCTTTTAAGTGTCAAGCTAGCTTAGCGGATCCCCCGTCTAGAGGTCCCCCATATTAATATAGTAATATTACTACATATATGTTAAAAGAGAGAGAAGTATACATATAGGATACGTATATATTACATAAAATAGCACGTTGTACAAGTGTCTGCTGTGTAAGCATTTACATAAGCGGGACCATGTCTCAGTTGTAAAAAAAAAAAAGTAGGTATATGTAGAAACACGCGTCAATAAAATAAAATAAAAAAGAGAGGGGGAAAGAAACAAATCAGGCTACGTCTCTGTGCACTAAGCGACCTCTCGATATCGTAATGCGTTTTGGTAGTTAGTTTTTTTTGCGTATCGTCGACTCTTGGTAAGTCGATAGGGGGAATATTCTCTATCGTTCCGAGGTGTATATGTTTACGGCGTGCGAGGATCGAATTACATAGGAACCGTAGTGTGGGAATCATATTTATCCGTGTCCTAAGGTACAGGTCTCTATGCTGCACAGAATTGTATCAAACAGCCGCGCTACTTATTACATCGAATTTTATAAAATATAAAAACTTGTCGTTGTACTGTTCGCGTAATGCATATATATTTATATGTATATATACTTCATATATACCTCATTTTATATATATATATATATAATATAGAACGGATTCGATCTAACAAAGTGTGCAGGACATGATCGCGACACACCATCTTCAAGTCTTATCTATAAAGATGTCACCCGCCTCCCATTCTGTCAGATCGACGCGAAACGTATATTCGGCAAACTGCTACGAGCTATTGCTTATGGTGTGTGTAACGTAGGGAAATGTCGTAAATCATAAGAATAAAGCCTGCGAACGTAACTGCCGTACTGCTATAGAAGAGGGTACAAGAATCGTATTGTATCGCATGGACCAGCCAAAGCGAATTGTAGTTTACGCCTTTCGATGGTAACTGCGTTTCTGCATGTACATGTGTATTATACGTATATGGGTACGCGTCACTGGCGCGAAGCGAATTGCCTCTAATCTATCTCTCCCCCGTCGCTCCCGTAGCTCGAAAGCGACAGCTACGCGTCGCGTGATACGCTGCCCTTCGTGTGCGCGCGCGCGCGCGCGCGCGTGTGTACTCTAGCGGTGCCTAAAGCTCGGCTCTTCTTATGCCTCCGTTGCTTCCTAAGTTGCGACACATGTTGTCCCGAAAGAGAAATGGACAGAGAGCGGTGCGTATTGTGTTGCCTCTCCTCCCCACAGCTTGAAGCGTTTGTTGTTGCACATGTATAGCGACGGCAAGTAGTCGGCGGGAGTGATTGGAATGGAAGTGAGAAGTGAGATTCGTAAACATCAGGCTCGACACGGTGAGCAACGGCCCGCGCGTCCGCCTCAATTGCTGAGATTGCTCGAGGGCGGCGGCGACGGCCCCAGCGACCCCGTGTGCTGGTTGTAGCTGACCTGCGATTGCTCTCGATATTGCATAGGGTTGCCGCTGGAGGGGCCGATCGAGCCCGTACCCTCCTGTTGCTGCTGCTGCTGCTGGCCGCTGTTTAGCGCCAGCCGTTGCATCTGACGTATGACCGTGGCCGCATGGTACGCTTGCTGCAATCGTGACACAAGAAGACACTCCTGTAGCGCCCGACAGGTAAAGGTACATAAATTGATAGCATGCTAATCAACCGGCGACACCAACCTTCCATCTCGACTTGGCGAAGTTCTTTTTAAGTTGTTCGGATACAGTACCATGAATGTTCTTATTGCTAGCTGCGTTGCCAGAAATCCTGAAAACGTTGATACAGTATTATAATGCGTTCATGCTACGAATGTAAGTTTAGTAATGTGTGCGTATTAAAAAAATGTAAAAGTATTTCGAAACAATGAAGCAACGATACAATCATCGTAAGAATGTAATTTATTAGCTGTCATGAGTTTGTCATCCTGTCATTTTACTTTTAAATCATCGGATTATACAGAACGCACGTGATTAAGAATCATGATTGACTTACTAAATTTTTTAAACACAGACGGATGACAAGTGCTGAGAAAAATATCTACTTGCTTAGTCCATATATGTCTCATTTTATAAACAAATCAGTTTTTTTAGTATCCGCGCAACTTTAAGATACAGAGATACATTAAAATTTACATTTAAAGCTCTTCTTGCATATTCTGTTGTGCGCTTGCAAAATAACTCGGCTATATTGTAGAATTTTATTACTACTGCATTAATATGCAAATATGCAAAGTAAACCTTTTCAGTAATTTTCATTTTGACGAGATTCTAAGGATTCTTACCAGGGATGCGCAAGGGCCTGCTTGCACGTATAACGTTGCTCAACATTGACGCACATTAGCTTTTCAATGAAATCCTTTGCAGAAGCACTGATATCATCCCAGTACGGTGAATCAAATTCAAATTCACCTACAATAATCTGGTTAGCTTGTTGCTGAATAAACTTTATAGAGTGTATTTCGTTAAAATTATATCGGCCATTAGACATTCGCGAATCCAAAAAAAAAAAAATTACATAAATATTCGCAGGAAAGATATGAATTAAATCGAGCAAATACTTTACCATCTAAAAATTAGAATAAATACTATTTTGCATTGTATACTCTTATTTACAGATACTCGTAATTTCAGATTTATATATAAACTCCTTATTTATGTCGTTATTAGCACAAATTGTACACAAATTGTACAGAAATATCTAGTGTCATATAGAATATTTAAGTATTATCATAACAATGCAATTTCAAATTGATTTGACATTTTACTCTAATCCAATTAATTTATTAAGCTTCTCATATGAGATTATCGATCCTAAAAGTAGCGACTAATACCGCATTAACACCGCATTAGGCCTTATCGCGAAAACCACGGTCTGAAAGTTCATTCCATTACCTCTCAGAATTTGTGCGAACAGATTGGCGTCATTCTCGTCGTAAAACGGAGGATATCCGCACAAGAGGATGTACGAGATGACCCCTATACTCCACACGTCCACCGCTTTGCCGTACGGTTTCTGCGCGAGAACCTCGGGTGCTGCGGATCATCGGAATAATGCACGTTTGATCACCGATGCTTGAAATCCGTCTCTATTTTTTTTTTCTTTTCGCCCTCTTTCGCCTCGTTAAAAGACTCACCGACGTATCCCGGTGTGCCGCAAGCGGTCGCCATAATCCCGGAGTCTTCCATCTTCGATAGGCCGAAATCGCTGATCATGATCTTGCTGTCCTCGTCCGGGCTATAATACAGGAGATTCTCCGGTTTGAGATCTCTGTGAACGACACCCTGTTCGTGCATGTAGTCCACCGCCTCGAGCACTTGCCTTATTAAACCGGACGCGTCCTTCTCTGTGTACGAGCCCTTCTCGACAATCCTGTCGAATAGCTCACCGCCAGTGACCCTAATATAATTTCGAATATATTCATCTTTTTTTAATATATCAAATGTCTTCGAGATTACATTATGCCAAAGAATAACAGAATTACGCGCTACTCACAGCTCCATGACTAAGTAGACTTTGTGCTTGTCCTCGAACGTCTCCAGCAATTGAACGATATTGGGGTGGGTTAGCCTGGAATAACATGTTTCCTTTTTCTAATTTAAAGCCATTACGTATTATGCATACAATTGATTCACGCGATGATTTTTAATATGCCGTAATATTAGAATAATCTTCGCTTATACGATAAGTAGAGTGTAAGTCAATGTTGAATTTATATTATTTACTTTGTGCTGTTATACGTTTCTCTCTAAAAGAATATTAATATAAAAACGAGATAAAAGCTAATCAAAGAACCAAATTTTGGCAACTTACTTTACATGGTAGAATTAATATAGATGTCTATGATAAATTTTAAGGTATACAGTAGAGCATTATGCCTATATCTGTATCTTGAATATGCAGAAATTATAATTTAATGATAAGAATCTCACAATCGCGTTTAATAACATTAAAAACATCGATTGGAAAAAAGATCAGCGCTCTTTTCGTTACTATTATTATTAACAAAATACTAAAGATTGTATTATAAAGGATGTAGATTCCTCTTTTTCCACAAGGTACAGATACAAAGCTATGTGAACCATTATTCAAAACATATATAATCCAAAGAACTTATAAATATATTCGCTGTTACAATTGTAATATTTATACATATATAATTAACAATCTTGAACTCGCAAAATAATAAACTCGTACATGATAACATTAAGTAGCAATGCAAAGTAGCTCAATGTTGACTGCATAATATATTAAATGAAACATGCTTCAAATATTTGCCGAAATTATATCTTATACTTGGCACACAGATTGTTAATTAAATACAGACAATCACATCCACGTAGAAAGAGTAACTATTTACAATGTTATTCAATAGCAACAAAGCAATATCTACTAAATATGTACAAGGATCCGGAAGATATGAGGGGTCCATTAACTATTGCAATTGTGTTACATAAATAAAAATGTCAACGTGGAAATTTAAACGTCTAGTAAGTACAAAATATGAGAAAAGAAAGAGGTTGCTCTCTAAATCGCAATTATCTTATAATGACTCTACAACAACCTTTGCTCAACTTAGCTTATCCTAACATTGTTTTCTCGTGAAACTCGAATATTTACTTCATTATCTCTTGTACATATTTCATGTTATATTACCTTGAGAAAACCTGTTCATTAAACAGCCAGCTCGTTAAGATACGAGCTTCTGTATGCAACGTAATTGATCAAATCTTTCGCATATCGAGTGTACTAAGATCACTAGAGCAGCATCATATGAGTCAGCACGTGGATACGTGGAAGCTTTTTTTTCATAGATGGAATATATATACGAGTGCGCGAAGTTTTTGCGTTATTATATAAGGCTTATTATATAAGGTTTTTCTTCTTCGTAAGGCGCGACGCGTTCATTTTGATTTATGATCCTGCAGTGATCTATTTACGATTTTTGTAAAATCCACGATAGAAATAATCTAATCTGATCGGTCAACAAGTAGTATTAAAAATATAGCACCGTATATGTACTTTTTAATGCCTATAATTAAATTTGGCAGTGCAATCGTAGTAAATTTTATTATTATCTACTTCTAATTTTATAAAATAAAACAAAATCTTTCGATGATGCAGTAGACAACATTTAATCAACATAAATAGAAAATGAAAACGATATTAAAGAGTTAAAGAATAAAAGAATCAAATATTTCTACTTGCGATCGGTAAACAGTTAAGTAAATATGAATATGTCATAAACTTTTCTTCAATTTGTTCTACTATTAGTTCTATTATTAGTCGTATAGACAAATTTGTGCATCAATATTATTTTTAAATTAAAAAATCGATATCAATATCTTCTAAACGCACATAATATGATTGTTCGCGGCAATCAGGCTCTTTTATTCGTTACTTTACGATATGCGTTACGTTGTTTTTGTTTTACGATATATATGCATAAAATAACACAGTTTTGGATTATGAAAAATCTAGAAAGTATTAGAACATAATCTTATTCATTCCTTTAATATATTATGTAGGAATCTTCTTCTATCTATGTACTTTATATTTTGTATGTGACTTTTTATATTACGAATAAACAAAATTATATACTTATGTGGAATGTACAAACAAAATTTCGAAGCATAATTAAAATAAATTTGAAATTTTCTGCATGCCTACGATATATATGATAAACGTTTCTCAATAAATTGCGCTGTCATGCCGTCACAACAATGAGTATAATAATATCTTGTTATCGATGTCATTGTAAACGCACTGTCAGTTCATTCTGAATGAAATCTTTATCTATTTAAATACTGATACTACAAGATAATTAAGTCTCCTCGACTCTCTCTTATCGCGCAAATCAGATTCCACTCTGTGATTAAAGCAGTATTATCTAACGGCTGTCGTCAAATTTATTTATCGCCAATTTACATCGTGTTCTCACTCAAAAAGTCGTTCACTTTTACGACGTGATTGTTTAAAAAGCTCACACAGAGAACTTGCATGGTGCAGTCGGATAAACGAAGCATTTACATATCCCGTTTTTCTTTTACCGCGGGTAATTTTGCACAAAGGAGAAAAATGCCACAAAGTGCTTTATTCGATACATTATAGCGCGCGAGAGTAAAACCAGTATTCCGACGGAAGCGCTTTGCAGCAACATTTATCTCTTCCGCGCGTAAAATTATTTACGTGAAACGTGGGACGTGCAAATTCTCCCTTTATCTGTTTCGCTGTAGACTCTCAATTAGCGAAAGGTGGCAAGTACAAGGATACCAAAACTGTGTTCTACGTCGTGATGAACGTGCACAAATCGCGTGCACATCGCGTGTCTTTATATATATATATATATATACATACATACATACATACATATATATACGTATATGTATTTACATATGTATATATAAAATAATATAAAATCTGAAATGTAAAAATGTATGGCATATTGTCGAGTGATACAGAATATACTGAGAGCGGTATGGGTAGCTTGGTGCCCATACTCTGGGGCCCGCACTTACCATCTCTTTTCGCCACTACTATCCGACTTGAGCGATCCGCCACCACTCTGTGGTGTCGCACTTTCACTGAACCTACGAAGTATAATAAAAATACCATACACAATTACATAATATTACATCGGGAGCAGCTGGTCGCTTACGTGGTTTCTCTGACTCTATATATTCTTTACCATTGGCGAGCTCCGTTTCTCCCAGCGTGATGTTATTAAGAAATGAATTTGTGTAATACAAGTTGATGTACGTGTATATAGTTACGGACAGCACGGTGCAGCCAGAGAGTTAGTGTCGCGTTGTCGCGAGAGGCAAAGTGGTAGCGGTATGAAAATAGTATGTATCTTTACCTTCGACACACCTATTATCAATGTGTGCGATCGATATTATTGAATTTCCCATGTATACATGCAGTTATTGTTTTCGTGAAATTTTAAGTATACAAAAACTCCGCGGTACGCTTATCTAATAATATATGTAAATTGAATTTTTTTTTATACAAATTTTACATCCGTTATATTTTAAGAGAAAACTTCATCAACCTTGCCGTATTGTAATGTATGCATGTTTTGTGGCTTCGCGGTGTTGGTGCGTTTAACATGACGTATAGAAAAAGTTTTCAGTTATAAAACTCCAAGCAATACATTATATATATATATATATATACATACATGTATTTGATGTACATGTATGATATAAGTATGATGTAGCACCTTGTACTCCTGCAGTGCTGATCAATAAATGATAACGTAACAACGGGATCTTTAAAGCATCGATTTCTCATTCTAATTACTGTTAACTCTTTTAGCACGTCTCGATTTAGCTGATATACGTAAGTCGCAATAAAATAGAATAACGACAGGAAAGAGAGCTCAAATGCTAATAAACATCGGAGAGTAGCGCTTTAACACGTATCAAAAGTGTTAAAAGGAGACATTGTAAGTACACGTATCCACAGGGGTAAAAGGATTACGGTAGAAGGCTTCTGCATTATTATATGTCTGGAGTATGTTTAACAGCATCGAGACAGCTATGTAGCTTATATACGAGGCACATTATATTTGCATACAACATCAAAGATAATAGGACAGACGACAGCCATCAGAGCTCACTCCGAAATGCCATATCACAGCGCTCCCCGGAAACACAGAAAAAAAGATCTTTTCCGAGAGTGTGTCATGTGAGCTGAGCTATATAACACCATGGTAACATCGTATAAATGAGAAAAGCACAATGACTGAGTAGCTTATACAGATTAATGCCTATTATACCTCGTGGGAAAAGATTCCCGCGCGATCAATGATAATCGAATAGAATGATATTTATCGAACGATTTGTGATTCTCAAAATAATTCCAAGAAAGCGAAAGTCGACATTCTTTTTAGCCTTATACACTTACGATGCCATGGTATATGAATCTAATATGCTCAAAGCTATATAAAGGGACGGGGGGGGGAGGGTATGATATTCAAATAATATGATTCTTACGAGGTAAAGAATGTTTGTTAAAAAGAAGCATGCGTATATAAGTATATCGAAGTCGATTCCAGCGATAATAGAACTGGTATTCAAAAATTACTCAATTATGTCATTTTCCAAATGCCTAAGGTATCAAGAGGGGCAACTATATATATATAATATATATACCACAAACAAGGAGTTTACAGTAAACGATAAAAATTTATCTACTCAAAATACATATGGGCCCAGCTCTCAGAATCGCTTTGCGCCCTACCTTCGAAGAACTTTGATTTCGTTCTCTAGCGAATCTTCCTTGCCCTTTAGCGCCTTTTTGTCGATGATCTTTACGGCAAACATTTGACCTGGCTTCTCTTTACTTTCCGCCAGCCTCACTTCAGAGAATGCTCCCCTAAACAGAAGAAAATACGATATTTAAGACAATCGGTCAAAAGTAAATTTAATTACAATTAGAGACCGCACATATGTGTTATTTTTCTCAGACAGTATTAATTATTTGTCATGAAATTAAACAGCTTGTTTTCTTTAAAAAATTAGAAAATTATCCATCCAATTACATGTGCAGCAAATAATAAATTCTGATATAATTAAATATATGTTAACATAGTAAACATATTTTGAAATATACAAAATGCATAAAAAATGTATCGAGAAAAATAAAAAAATTATCCTATATAAATTATATTTTACATTTTTTTAATCTTTCAATAAACAATATTCGAATATAAATAAATAAATAACTGAATGAAAATACGAATTTTGAATTCAACATTGTCACATAACAACAGTGCAACGGATATTTTAATGAAAAGTTTTCGGTAAATAAACAAGTAAAAAATTTAATACTAGAACCGCGGTGATTTAGGCCTCCCCCAAAACGTGGATGAGTTATTTATAATTTATTATTATTCTTGTGATTTTTTGATAAGTGAGCAAAGTGATAACTATAAATACTACAATTTTATTAATACTAATTCAGTTTACGCACAGCTATAGTCAATGACGGTGGAAAAGAAAAACTATCAGATGGATCAAAAATGGCACAGCTGCGGTAGTGTCGGAGTTAAAAAAAAGCTCTTACAAAAAATACTGTTACTAAAATTAATAATAAAATAAAATTAATAATATTCAACAATTTCTAACTTTGATTGTATTTAATAATTTACAATTAAACAAAAATATTCAATTTTATAAGTAAATTAATATACTCATTATGGAATTATGGAATAACGAAAATTAGCGAAGCGATATATTTTATACACTTAATATAGAATCGTTACATGTTCGATATTCTCAGTCAATTAAACATTCGTTATGTGTTGCAATGCATTGGCAAACTCTGTTATATAAACGGCTCAATAATTAACAAATAGTACCGCGATAAGTTTAATTATAGAAATATATTTCAAGGACTCCCGCGCGTTTCTAAACATTTTATTTGAAAAAATAGATGTAGATAACGCTCGTACACAAAGTAACGAAGAAAAATGTTCACGATATTCAGCGCATTTGTCTGTGAGCTGATCTCAAATCTCAGTCAGCAGTCGCTAAACCGTTAAGTCGAAAAAGTACTGCAGCAGAGTAAAATTGTACCGACGTCTGTAATTTTACTTTCTAAGCAAAAAAAATCAATGAACCAAAGATAAAGTGAGGACATTAAAAAATATATGCGATAGCATTGAGGCAAGAGATATACAAATTTCTCCGTGTTGCAAGAGCCTTTAAAGAGCTCCGTAAATCCGATGCCATGCGATGTAATACTAAGATAGAATTTTCAGCTGATGGCACGTTTAAGAAAGCAATCTCCAAGTGCCGTTACGGACACATATACATTAGATTTTAATGCAATTTAATGCATACTAAGCGACGTTCGAAAACATCTTTTACGCGCGACGTCGCAAAAGGAAGAGAAAAAAAAAACACACGGAAAAGTCGTCGCTCGCGGGATATTCCGATTAGAGGAAAAAAAAAAAGGCGACCCGCGGTGGTTCGCGGGAGAAAGTTACATCGCATTAGCGCGCGCGTCGAAAAAGAAGATTAAATCACGAACACTTCCATTTATCCATTTAGCACACGCGGGCGCGTCGCTTGTACGTGAACGAAAGAAACTGAAAGAACGCGTGTCAGAGGCCAAGGTACACATCTATTGTGGAATGTCCAAAAGTCGCCTTTTCAACCGCCGATTCTGCGGTCAATCCGAGATCAGAGTTTCTACTTGTCGAAAATGTCGAAAGACAAATCAATTTCTCCAATAGTGATCCTGATTTTTTTTTCTTTTTTTCGTTAAATAAGTTTGTCTGAAATGGGGCGTTTGATAAAAGTTCTACGAAAATAAAGGTCATTCAAGATCACAGCTGCAAAATAAGATTTTCTCATTCTTCCCTTTCCCTTTCCCTCGAAAAGCTCGAGAATTCGCGAGAAACACGTCACCTTGACTCGTTAATTCTTAAAAAAAAAAAAAAAAAAAAGCTATTGAAACCTGAAATGAAACGGTTTCATTCATTCAGAAATCTATTCCCGAAACTGATCGAGGAAGCTGCGGTTAAAGGGACACGCGGTGCGGCCTGCGGGGATATCCCGTATTCATGCGCGTCATACGAATTTCGTCGGATTTAGGACGGGCAGGAGATATCATCCTGAAAGATGCATGCTCATATCGCGTTCCTGCAGCCAAAAAGAGTAATGCGAGGAGGGAAGAAATGCATGTGTGCGCGGGAACGAGGAAAAATAATGTCGCGCGTGGATTTCAAGCGACGTTTATTTTTATTGCCGAGCACATTTCCCATGATCGTACATGCATTTTGCAAATTAAAACCGGAATGTCTCTCTCCTTCTCTCTCCCTCCCCTCTCCCCTCCTCTCTCTCTCTCTCTCTCTCTCCCTCTCCCTCCGCGCATTTCGATCGTTTACGGCGTTTACGCACTTCGATATGAGAAATCATTTTGCGTCCCGCAGGTTAACGGCGTTATAAAAAAATGTTAATGTGCCAACATTTTTCTTCCGTCCCCTCCGGCCGCTGTTACATAACTGTTCTCATAAGCAATCTGTTACACGCGGAATCGGGATGTCAACGCATATGCGACGCGTGGCAGGCGCGAAAGTGTTAAAGCTAACGCTTAATCGATCTCCTCGTGCGAAAGATATAACGCGCAGATATACGTGTGTCGTCTTGCATTATCGTGCAATACGCTATAACATCGTTGAGCGAACGCGTAATGCAGAAACGTAACAAAAGCGTGGAAATAACGGCTGACATTATGTAACTTGCGATTTTCATCGGAACGGAAGAGAATTTTATCGCAAATATTTGCGTGCGAGGGCAGATAGCCGTTTTATCTTTATCGGAAATGTAAGCGCGTAAGAAAATATCGCGACTTCATATTTGTTTGTCGTAACGTTTGCGCGTGTATGTATATATATATATATATATACACACATACATACATACATATATATATATATATATATACATATATATATATATACCTATCTCTTTCTCTCGATCGTGGATTCCCGTAATGACGTGTTTCCCAGAGTAAAACGCGAGATTGAGATCTCAGTGGTCTGTCATTAAGCTCTTTAATAAACGTAAATGGCGATTACGGCAGAAATTGGATATCCGTTAAAGCACTATATCAAATTAATCTGGGAACGGGACGTTCTTCTTTTTAACGGGGTTTTTCTTTTTATCCGTGACGCTTAATCCGCTAAATTTCTGCGCGCAATCGTTAAACATCGCGGCGCGATAATCGCTCCGACGATTAAATTCCCGGCTGCGAAAAGGCCGTTTTACTACAAAGGAGAAACATGTGTCAGAAACGTGTTTTCCCTCGGCTCTCCACCGCGCTCCCGCAGAGAGAGCCTCGACGGGGAAGTGGAGGGTAATGCCAGACAGACAAGGACGCGTGAACTTACGTTCCTAGCAGATCCTTCAGGACGTACTTGTCCTCGACGGAGGGCGATCGGTCGTCCTTCCCGTCCTTCTTGATCTTCTTGTTCGTGTCCTTCTTCCCGAAGAGCGGCATCTTGGCTCTCTCGTGGAGTATCTCTCCCGCGCGTGTATATATACGTACAACAACAACGTATATCTCCGTACGCAAACGTATCCCCCGCGTATCTGTCACAAACGGCGCACACTGTATATATTTTAGGGGGAGGGAAATATCTTACGTCTCTCGACCCGCCGCGCGGTAAAACTCACATTTGTGACTCCGCCGTATACTTATACGTTAACGCAAGCTGCGAGTAGTCCGCCGCAAGGTCCGTCCGCGGGAGACTCCTACAATAACGTGTAACGACCGATCCGGCGATCGGGGAGGGGGGTATCCGGCCGGATGATCGCGACTCGTCGTCGTCCACCGGCGCACTGGCAGAGGAATATACCGCCGTCGTCGAAGCCCGCCGTCGTCACCGTCGCCGCCGCCGCCGCAACCGCCGCCGCTGCCGCCGCCGCCGCGTCGCCCGCGTCAGACGCACCGCCGAATCGTCATTCTCCGGACGACCGGGGAGGGCAATCGTCGTGAACCCGCGACCTTTCGGATCGCGGCGGATCGCCCGCGATAGCAGCCCGGCGCGGCCCGCCGCTCTTCCTGCCGGCAGCCTCCTGTCACCGCACAGTTTCCACCCCTCGCAGGCGCGGGAAGCAAGCCAAAAGCCGCGACGATTCTCGGATTCGCTTGTCCCTCCTCGGGTTCCGCGGGACCCGTCCGCCGACTACTCGGCTACTGTTGTCGGCCGCCTGTGGCTTCCCTCGCCACTGTCACGTTCACCACCGCCACCCGCGCGGGACGGGACTCGTGCACGCGTCTTCGGCTCTATCGGGCTCAGGGTCGCGGCCTCGCCAGACGGAGCTCCTCGTTCACCCCGTCTCGCCTCACCACCTCACCTCACCTCACCTCACCGCACCACACCTCACCTCACCTCGCCTAGCCTCGCCTCGCCTCCGCGCCGCGCCTCGCGTCAGCAGCACTCAACAGCAGCAGCAGCAGCAGCCGCGGCGTGCGTAATCTCTTCTATCGCGCTGCCGCCGCCGTCGACGTCGCCGCCACTGCGTCGTCGTCGTCGCCGCCGTCGGGCCTGATGGTCGCTCCTCGCGATGATACGCGTCCACGCACGGGCCAACCGCGGGTCATAATGTCAGCGGCACACTCGCGGCGCGCCGCTGCGATGACAGCGTACGCATCCGATCCCGCAGGCGGGGGATGAGAACGGGGAAATTGGAAGTGGGCGAAGGGCGACAGTCGAGATGACAGACGGACGGACCCAGGGCACAGGTGACAGCGCGCCGTGAGTTCGCGCGACGTTTTTCGGTTGACGTCACGCGCGTCATCCCCAGTGCCGCCAACTGACGTCCCGCGCCGGGCCGTCTGCGCACGCGCACGATCGATGTTGTCAAAGGACCAAAAGGACTGCGTTTCAGTACAGAGAGCGACGAAAGGAGCCACTTATCTGATTTTGATATCGACTCTAATCAATAATTTCGTCGAGAAGTATTGTAACGGAATAAAATTGACCTGAGAACTGTGATTTTTTGCTTTCTTGGTTAACAGAATGGGGCGTTAAGAAATGTAAATGTAATAATACATGCAAATTAGATTTTAATTGTCATGAGAAATTAATCGTTAGACGATTACCGAATGCTCAATAATCACAAATATTTAGATGTGAAACAATTGCCGTGTGTCCCTATTGTCATAACACAAGTGGCTCCTGCGACGCCCGCGTTGCACATCGCTGCTGCGCCGCGCGCACGCGTGGAAAAGTCCCGCTCTGATTTCCGTTTGTTTGTCATCAGGTTACAGCTATCGTCGACGACGTTGAATATACAATTTTGTTTGCCTAATTCGTCGAATAAGTTAATCGGGGAGAGAATGACCTACGACAAGAAACACAAGACCCTTTTGCAAGCGATTATACACAATGGCGCTTTGCACGAAGATCGGGGAAAAGAATTGGTTATTAGGTTATTCGGTACGTAAGTTCTCGACGGAGTAAACAAAACGAGAAAGTTTCTTGCGCACAAACATAAACATGCGTAATAAGAGAGCGTTTTGATTATCGGATATCTCGACAAATTTCAGATCACAATGACACGGCGCGAGTATTAAACGTAATAAACGCGAAGTTACGACCGTTGTGCATGACTATAAAATGCATAAATTGCGAAATCACCGGAGAGCTATATTGGATCTTCGCGAGCACGGTGCAAGATAAGACTGCCAGGTAATACATACCTCAGTATTGTAACTGCGTTGCGTTTTGCCACGAGCTTCGCGATCACCACCACCGATACCATTCATTATTTTTCAGCTTCAATCCTGAATTCTCGCAAGCCGAATTGGCCCTCTTGCGCAGCGTGTATTCTGAAATTGTTACTTCGCACAATGGTTACGTGTCGAGTACGTTTTGCCTCAATTTATGCTCGTCGTTAAATGTAAGACTGACTAAGACTGATGCCGAACAATTTTTACAAGAGATGGTCAACAGGAGATGGTTATGCAGCAAGGTGCCAAATTTTTAATATATATAATTTTGATGGTATATTCTTGAAGGAGAATATAAAAATATTTTTTTTTTTCCAGGAAGGCAAATATTACATGGGAGTAAGAAGCATAGCGGAGTTATTGCAATATTTCAAAGACACCTACGAGGATAATCTTCAAATTTGCACTTTGTGCAAACAGGAACTTTTCTATGTAAGGTTCATATGACTGTATAAAACGCATGTATCTTATTTCACAGCAGCGATTGATTTTCATCGTGTTACAGGGTGAGAAGTGTAACAGTTGTAATGCCACAACTCACGTTTACTGCCTGGAGAATTATACAAGAAATCACGGTGGTTCAGGATGTCCTAATTGTCATCATCCTATATCAAGACACGATCAATCTAGTAATTTTATATCCTGCTTTTTAATTTTACTTTTATATTTAATGATTTAATTATTGATATTTATTACCTTAGTCTTCTTTCTTGATTCTTATTACAGCGTACCGTTTTTAAATGTTTAAGTAATGTTTTTAAAAGATATTTATGAAATAGTGGTATTACTTGTAGGTAATGACACCAATGTCACGAATGTTGATGCATCGCAAGTGAAATTGGAAATAGATGAGCCGACACAGTCTAGTCAAGTCAGAAGGTCGAAACGGAAACATAAGGATTAATATATTATTATGTTTAATTCATTACACAAGACTATTTGGGACGGATAAATGCCGTGCAAAAACTAAAACTTGTTGCATTTATTTTTCTATAAAATTATATATACCTATATATATATACAGTAAAATTACACTCAACATAATATAAATAAATGATTCTCTATTGTGTCAATTTACTGTGTCCTGCTTCGAATTTTTCTCTTAAATATTTGAGACCTGCTATAATCTTATCTTCATTTATATCCCGTGACGACGATTCTTGTTTGCGCGTGTGAATGGCACTGCTGGAAGCTGAAGGTGAAACGTCATCTTCGCCTGGAAGAGGGATATCCAAATCTGCTTGCTTTTGCTGTTCAGACGCATATATTCCAGAGCATCCATATGCATTTCGTGAATAATTACTGGCTAGATGAGATAACGGATATGAAACAGTTGCTTGTCTCTGAGATAGATCGCGTAAAGTCACGTTAGGAGTTAATGTCGGTCCTATTATACTTTCAGACTCACGAGGATCGTCACTAACTGTGTCACATTCTGATAAATTATTTTTGTCATTCTGGTTATCGCTATCTTTCGCAATAGGGACCGTCTCGTTACCGACAGGCTCGTTATTATCTTTATGACTCTGTAAATTACTATTAGATTCTTCAGTAGGTTTCTCGGAATTACAAGTCTCTGTGTTGTCCAGTCCTTCCTTCTCTTCACGAGTTGGCTGCTCGTCGACGCTCTGTCGAGAGCTGTCGTAAAATCCAGCGCTTCTGAAATTGTCATAAACCGGTCCGAATTCGTTAATTCTCTGCGCTCGACATTTGTCAACCCATTCCTCTTGCGACATCACGTGCCAATGATTCTTCTTGCCCAGAAGTTCCCCAAAGGCTCTTATCTTATCCTCGTCACTGGTCTCCTTTTCCCGGGTAGATTCATCGATACTCGCGGTCGTACGATTTTCGATTTTTTCGTCAGACTTTTCTTCTTCATCTTTTTCGGCAGACACATTGCCGTTATCGGTGTTAATATTATCGGTCGAGTTGGTCGACTTGCCCTCTTGCGCCAACTCCTCCTCCGTAGGCTCGGCTGGCAAGCCCGCTCGGATACGCTGCCTGATCCTCGCCGCCTTCAGCCTGTTCTGCTCCATTCTCTCCCTCAATTCCTTGATCTCCTTCATCTCCCTCTGCTTCCTCTCCGTGTCCTTCCTCAGGTTCGCCAGGTTCTCCTGCTGCTTCGCTCTCTCCTCCTCGTCTTGCGAGAACGCGTAGTAACCAACGCCGTGCGCCCGTGCCTCGTCAAATAATACATCCTGATAATGTATGTCGACCTTGTCCGCGAGCTTTTGCGTTTGCTCCTCCCACTTTCTCCTCATGATCTCTATCTCGGGCTCCTTCTCCTGAACAGGATATTGTTCCTTGCTTTCCTCCTCCTGGTCCTCAACGGCGTGCCTCTTCATTATTTCCTGCTTTATCAAGTCATCCTTCCTTTGCATGTGCGGCAAATCCTCCCGCAAGCACTTCCTCGTACGGCCGAAACAATCCTGATACTCCACCCAATTTTCCTCCGGCTCCACGGGATATTCCTCGTCGATTGTCTCGTCCACGAACTCCTCGTCGGGTTCGTCCAACTTGTTCTCGAAGTCGACGAGAAACTTATCGTTATTGTTCCTCGACCTCTTCAACCTCTCGTACAGTCTCGCTTTGGCTTCCAGCATCAATTTCGACTTCTTGTGAGCGACGATCTCCTCCGAGTCCACCGATCTCTTGGCGCTTCTCTCCCCGCCGTCCGCAACGGTCTTCTTGCTCCTCTTCTTACTCAACGGCGGCGGCGGCGCGCCGACCGGCTCGCTCTTCAACCTGGCCTCGTTCACTTCGGCTTGCTTTCTCAACAGCTCTGCCTTCAGGCCCACCAGGGATGAGAAGTTGACGTTTATTTTCTTTGTCATGTTCATTGTTGGACGGCGTTGTTGTCAATTAGCGCTGTGAACTTTTCGCAAAGATCCAAAACATAGACGTGTCGATATATATGTAACTGACGTGTTTTTCTCTCCCTGAAAAAAAAAAAAACATTGCAAGATCGATTTTATTGCGAAACAATTTATTCGTTTAATCAATAAGCAACACTTACGTGAATTGTCGGCGTGAATTATTGGACGGAAAAGCTCGAGACACGTGCTCCATACGCGATCATACAAGTCGCGAAGATAAATTTCACAGCATCGCATAAATAAGTAGAAAAAATTGGCTCGCTGAAAATGACAGATGACATCGAGGTTAGGTTACACTCGATCGCGCAACAGCTCGACCATAGAGTATTTGACTTCATCGAAGTGCAGAGAGCAACATAAGCGGCGTATATGTTGATAACAGGCGTGCCAGCGAATCGCGCTAAAAGTGTCTAGAGTTAAGAAAGGTGTGCAAAAAAAAAAAAGTTTCAAGTGATTTGATCTAATAAATTAATCGCCGATTGGCCTAATCGGAGCTTGACGGAGAGATCAGCTTGAGCTCTTTGAAGATAGAATCTTCGATTACGTCGCGCACGCCTGTCAAATCCGGCCCTGTCGCGACCACCCCGAGCGGTCGTTTTGCCCCGGCGCGCGTCTGAACCTTTCGAAAGCCACGTGACGCGTTTGAAAGCGTCGCGTGTCCGAGGACGTTTTTAAATCCTTCTCTCGTCGCGGCCCGGTCGAGAAACCCCGGCGACGTTCCCGAGCGCGCCGTTTATCCATCCCGATTCGAATTCGCAGATAATCGCGCGTCGCTTCCGAGCCGAAGGAGATTCGCGCGACAATCGAAATTAGAATCGTCGGGAAAAACTTGGCGCCGGCAGGGGGTGGGGGGTGAAGCGTGGAGGGAAGAAGAGAAACGAAGAGGAGGCTCTGGAATCTCTCTTGAATAGGACGCCGTTATATCTTCCCCGAAGAGATGTAACGCGAGTGCTGAAAATCAGCGGTGTTTAGAAGCGATACTGGAAATTCTACGGCACACGTAACGCGAACTACATTAGATTTTCGGTACCGTCAGTATTACATTTCGGAACGCACACGTATCGCGCAGAGACGATCGGCGGTGCCGGAAACGTCCAATGGAAGAATAGGAGGGAAGAGAAGGAAGAGAGTCCGCGTGATCGTCGTGACTCTCGGCAGTTATCGGTGACGGTTATCAATCCGCAAGATCGATTCTTCTCGATTGTCCCCGAAGGAATCCGCTCGTGCGGCATCGAGGGCGCAGTAGTTGCGCCGTTCGCGTTGTCGACGTTGGCGTGTGTATTTGGCGTCCTGTCTCAGGAGACTTAGAGAGAGGAGAGAGCCGCGGTGGAAGCACGCGGGAGCTCGAAGCCGGCTGGCGAATCGAGCGGAGCAGATCGAGGAGAGCCCGGTCATTTCGGCGCCGGCCGATTTTTCACCTTGGCCCGTTCGACTGTCCTTCGTGACAGCGAAGCGTAGATAGCCGTGCATACGCGGTCTCTCGTGATCCCAGCAGCAGGAGAGAGAGAGAGAGAGAGAGCGGAGCTGCAGCCAAGAGCCAAACAGTCAGAGGTCGGTTAGTCAACGGGCGGTAAGCCGGCGAGTCAGTCAGTCAGTCAGTCCGAGCTGAAATGGCACCGCGCAGACAGGCGAAACAGGCGGCGGTGGAGAGCATGGCCGCTGCCGCCGCTGACGGCAACGTGACGCCGCCGAAGAAGAGGAAGACCGCTGCAAAAGGATCGGCGGCCGCGGACGAGCCGAAGCAGCAGCCTGCAGCCAAGGGCAGAACCCTTCGGCAGGCGAAGGTGGACAAGCAGGAGAACGAGGGGGCCGGCGAGCCGGTGAGTCCGCCGAAGAAGTCACGCAGCAGGCAGAAGAATGCCGCCGATACCGCTACCGTCGCCGTCGCCGCCGCCGCGAAAAATCCTACAAGGAGCAGATCTAAGAAGCCGGGAAATGCGGCGGTGGAGAGCAGCGACGAGATGGCCGAAAAAAAGCCTCGTGGCGGCAAGGCTGCGGCAGCGGTGAAAAAGGCGGGAAGCAAGGCGACGAAGGCGAAAGCCAAGGTACCGGCTGCCAGGAAGCAGAAGACGGTCGAGGACAGCGCCGGAGATTCGGGAAAGAAGAACGCTGCCGGTGGAAGCCCCGTGAGGAAGACGACTCGCCGCCCTGCGAAAGCGGTGGAAGAGGACGATGCGCCGGCACCGGCCGCTGCGAGGGTGCCTAGAAAACGTAAGAACGTAGTGGAGGACGCGATCGAAGCTACTGCGGAGGACGAGGCAGAGGTAACCGCGGGCGGCAGAAAACGCGGCAAAGCAAAAAAAATGGAAACCGATGATGCACGTAAGTTTTTTTTTTTTTTTAATTTCCATCTCGTCAAATTCGCTTTTAATATCGTCGTCGGTCATAAGTATTTATTTATAGAGAGAATGGAAGAATTCTCGTTTAAAGGAAATTTTAATAAATTTTTTAATTGCAATAATTCCAACGGAGTTTCTCAAGGAATTTGTGTAGCTCGTTAAACATTCGGGCATATCTAAATTATAAAGGGCATCCAGTATAATTCAAATCTATACAATAAACAAGAACGTAATGAACGAGTATTGAAGTTTTGATTAATTGTATTTGAATTAACAGTAAGCCAAAGATTTTCATGGCTGAATCTTGAATTCTCAACATTCTGATGCTATCTGCAGTACATGTTAATTTGATAAAAGTTTTTAATACCTGTACTATTTGAGCAATATTGTCATGTATACAACTTTCTATGTTATTTTTTTTCAGCCGTTTCAGTGACCTCTAAGGGAAGAGCCAAGAAGAATCCTGTGAAAGAAATTGCTAAGTCACCGCCAAAGGTGACAAAAAGCAAGAAGCAAGATAACAAGGTGCAAGATATAGAAATGGGAGAAGAAAACCCAAAAACGAAAAATGTGAAAAACGCGAAAAAAGGAAATGCAAAAAAAGCTGCACCTCGAAAACTTAATGCTGCGGCAGAAAAGATTGATGACGCTGAGGCAGAGGAGGAAGTAGTGACAACATCTGATGTCAAAGAAAATGGAGAGGCGTATGTGGCAGAGCCTAAACAAAAGAAGAGAAATGCGGGGAAAGCGATGAATGGAAAGGTGGAAGCTAAGGGAAAACAGAAGAAGGGACAAGTGACTGCTGCGTCTGATGAGAAAGAAGAAGAAACAGAGGTAACTGCAGAGGAAGAAACTCCCGAAACGAATGTGCCATCGGAGACGGATGAAAATGACGTAAAAGATGATTCCTACAGCACAAATGAAACCTTCTTACTGGAAAAGAGAAATTTTGATGGACTGCAGGAGAAAAACAAGATGAATGACAGTAAAGATTCGGTAACGTCAACCACAGAATCGTCAGTTAATGAATTGGATAGGTCAGAATGTGTCCCGTGTCTTTAAGAAATGCTGGACTGTTAAAGGGTAGGATGACAAGTCGCAGAAATTAAAAGAGGGAGATATCAATAATATTTTATATTTGACTAATAGATGCACACATGAAAAACCGCGCGAGAAAGGAAGGGAGAGTGTCAGAGGGGTAACCTGTTTTAATATATTTATCGAAACATTTGCAGCGTAAACGGTTGGATCTTAAGTCCTTGGCCCCTCACTGTAGTCGTAGCTTGACGCGACTTCAGTATCGGATTGGAAATCTTAATATTCTGAGAAGGATATTTATTTTTTTTCGTATGTGTGAAGAAAAAAATATATACACGAAAGTTTCGCACTATCGTTTGTATTATTATACAAGGATTTGTAACAGAGAGCGTGATAAAAGATGTTACCGGGAAATGTTTCGAGCAAAAAAACATATTTTTTTAAAGATGTCTTTTATTGAGAATGTTTAATACTAGATTTTCAGCTGCGTATCGATAACAAGTAGTGCCATAAGAAAGTTTGATAGGATTTGTACGAGATTCTTGATTCCTACCTGGGCAGTATCTGCTAAAAGTCTATCTGAAGAAATGAGATTTATTATAAATAATAAATATTTATATGTATAATTATAATACTAATTATAATTAATATTAATATATTAATATTATTATAATAAATATTGTTATCGAGCAACAAATGCGAATGTCCTGGATAAAGATGCAGGCAATAAATAATTTTTCGACTGTTGCCCATATAGGAATCGAGTGTGTTACATATTTTTCTAAAAAGATAACACAGATGATACTTGTACGCACGCACACACATACATGTATTGTTTCCGTTCTCTAGTCCTGTAGTTTTTACTTGGAACATTTATTCTTGATAATATATAACAGTGCGAAGTTGATTACAGTCGCTTTTAACGAGAAAATTTTCAGATTGTAACTTTAGATTTGTAAAACGGGGAAGCCTCTTGATTAACAGATTCTGTGTGTACGTTCTTTTTTTTTTTTATTACTGTCAGACGCTACAATTATTACTTGAACTCCCTGGGCGCGTTTGAGTCGGCGTTAAAGCATTGCAGCTGCATGGGCCACAATATTGCTAAGCAAATATTGTCTAACATAGCAGCTTTACGCATCGTTGAACACATACGAAGTAATGTGTTTAACGGATGGGCGAAATAAATTACAATTTTGATTGCAATAAATTCAAGGGTAAAGTTTTATTGCAACAAATTATAAATTAGAAAATAATGGTATATTTTCATTGACGGTGGATTTTCAGGCCTTTCCGTAATATAACATTTTACTAATTAGCTTTGCTGGCTGGGAACGCGCTCATTGTTAAAGCAGTGTTCCAAAATTCATTGCCTGAAAATCTATATAGCTTACGTTACGTGCACTATAAATTTTCAATGCTGATTGTGGATTTTGGAGCACAGCCTGAATTAATCAGAATGTACTTTTTAGAGAAGGACATATTTTCGTGTAAATTCTGACGACAGTTTGTACGATTAAGTATTACTACATTACAAACATTCTGTTCAATACAATATTAACTGCGTATGCACTTATTTTCAATAAGCAAGATGTTATAACGTTGCGATGTACGTGTGTTCCTGTAATTGTTAATGCCCCTTGCATTTATATTACTGTATCCTCCACTATAAACATTTTTCTTTTCTCTTATGATAGAATAATAAATCGATTTTGTGTTTACATGTGATCTTCTTTTCAATGCACCCGCGCGGTGGTGTTAATATTTTGTAATAAAACTGCAAAAATGTCTATAGATAATCTTCATATTTTCCCGCAACTTCCCTCGATAAACCGGTCACGTGACCCGATTATTAATATTAAGTCCGTAAGATGGCGATGAACAAACCCGCAACCTCAACGATACGTCGCGTGTGTTGAGGACCGATCTTGGCGCTTCCACAATCCACGACCACGGATAGCTCCATTGCTCACGGAGAAGGTGTGTTAAGCGTGGTATCCACGACCGCAGATAAACGAGAATAACTCGCGAGGATGGCGGCGATCAGTTTGTTGAATCCGAAGGCCGAGTTCGCCCGGGCGGCGCAAGCTCTGGCGGTGAACATCTCCGCCGCGAAGGGCATTCAGGATGTGATGAGGACCAACTTGGGGCCCAAGGGAACCATGAAGATGTACGTATCCGCGTGCTCTCACGTGCCGTGATGACTTTGCCGCTTCGCGATCGCCAGACACACCAGATTTTTCATGCATATCTCAAAGCTATCTCAGAATCGATTTCGAATCCATTCGAACGATTTCCAGCCGTCAGGCTATCCTTGGGGAAAACAATGCGGCGTATCCCGACATCGCGTTGTTCTCCTTATTAGGAAATATGACTTACGAATCGCCGGCGAGAAGAGGCGTTGACGTTTCGCCAATGTCGCTTCTCAATATAACCTTTTAATTCTTATTCGACTTATAAACCAGTCTTCTTTCAATGATATTCTCAATGTAATTAATGAAGGATACATTAACCGATTGACATAATTTTAATTTTACAAAATCGAATCCATATTTATGATACGTAATCTATGTTTATGATAAATAGCTCGCTAGCTTTGAATCACGTGTGAATTTGCAGGTTGGTTTCCGGAGCCGGAGACATAAAGATCACCAAGGACGGCAATGTGCTCCTTCACGAAATGCAGATCCAACATCCTACGGCGTCCCTGATAGCAAGAGCGTCCACCGCCCAGGACGACATGACCGGCGACGGCACAACCAGCACCGTGCTGGTCATCGGTGAACTCCTGAAGCAGGCCGATTTGTATATAGCGGAGGGGCTACATCCCAGAATGCTCACGGACGGTTTCGACCTGGCGCGCGCCAAGGCGTTGGAGATCCTGGACTCGATGAAAATCCCAATCGAGCCCACCAAGCAGAGCCTGCTGGACATTGCGAGGACGTCGCTCAGAACCAAGGTTCACCACACCGTCGCCGACAAGTTAACCGAGATCTGCGTGGACGCCGTGCTGGCTATTAGGCAGCAGGACAAGGAGATCGATTTGCACATGGTCGAATTGATGGAGATGCAGCATAGAACGGCGGGCGATACCGCGCTGATTCGCGGCATAGTCACCGATCATGGAGCCAGACATCCAGATATGCCGAAGAGGTTAGAAAACGCATACATTCTGACCTGTAACGTGAGCCTGGAATATGAGAAGAGTGAGGTACGTGCTAATGCTAATACGACGTAAATTCAATTAATATACGATACAATCAATAAGATATCAAAGACGTAATTCCGTGAATTTCGATTTCATAGGTGAACAGTGGGTTCTTTTACAAGTCAGCCGAAGAGCGCGAAAAGTTAGTGGCCGCCGAGCGCGTGTTCATCGATAATCGCGTAAAGAAGATTATCGATTTGAAGAAGAAGCTGTGCGACGGCACGGATAAGTCGTTCGTCGTGATAAATCAAAAAGGCATCGACCCGTCGTCCCTCGATATGCTCGCGAAGGAGAATATTATCGCCTTACGCAGAGCCAAGCGCAGAAATATGGAGCGTCTAGCGCTCGCGTGCGGTGGCGTAGCTATGAACTCTGTGGATGATCTGAAGGAGGAGCATCTGGGATGGGCCGGTCTTGTGTATGAACACGTTCTGGTAAACAAAAAAATTCCGTACTGTAATTAATAAAATTATCACGTAACCGCGCTAACTGGAAACTTTACGCACCTGTCAATTTATTTTTCAGGGAGAAACCAAGTACACCTTTATAGAAGATTGCAAAAAGCCCAATTCTGTGACTATCTTATTGAAGGTAACTCAAATGATTTGTGCTGTTGCGTATATACGAAGGTCTTCTTACTAATTTACTGACGTTCCAGGGACCCAATAAGTTTACGTTGGAACAACTCAAAGACGCCGTGCGCGACGGACTTAGGGCGATAAAGAATGCTCTCGACGATCGTGCGGTCGTTCCTGGAGCCGGAGCCTTTGAGGTTGCAGCTAGCCAAGCCCTTCAACGATACAAGGAGCAAGTGAAAGGAAAGCAACGTTTGGGAGTACAGGCCTACGCCGAGGCTTTACTTGTCGTTCCGAAGATTCTCGGTAAACATGATACTTATCAATCTCTAATTTTGATCGATACTCGCGACATAGCGCGATCAATCTTTTTTCATCTTCTTCATTACAGCTGTTAATAGTGGATTTGATCCGCAAGACACAATCGTTAAGTTATTTGAGGAAAGCACCGCTCTAGGAGAACCAGTAGGACTGGATCTGTCTACAGGGGAAGCTTTAAAACCCGCGGACGCTGGCATTTATGACAATTACAACGTAAAGAAACAAATCATCCATTCGTGGTAAGATATTCTCGTTAAAACATGCTGTGAAATATTTGATAATTTATATGTGTTCGAATAACTTACATGGATAAATTTTCAATTTCCAGCACGATAATCGCCAGTAATCTCCTTCTGGTTGACGAAATAATGAGAGCGGGATTATCTTCACTAAAGGGTTAAATTACAATGTAACTATTATGGAAGTAAAAGTTTAAGGACCATTAATAATTTTTCTACGAAATAATACAAATTATTGGATTATCATTCATTTTGCATTTTATCTGTTAACATGTCGCTTGATCTCTGCTAACGTAAATATTTAATAACACGATAATGAATTTTCACACTGATCTTAATAAAATAATGCTTTCGTAAAAAGTATTTTATTTACTTACGAAATTTCATAATGTCGCGAAAAAGAAACTGAAAAATGTACAAAATATCATTGAAAGTTTCGAGAAAAAATTATAGATGTATAAATAATGTGAACGCCTCATGTCATATTTTCAAGAAAGGAGAAAATATTAAAGGAAATTATAACAAATACAAGATACAGCTCATTAATTTTATAAAAACAAATCAAAAAGATGTACGTTTCCTTGCTTTTTTACATTAGAAAGTAATAACTTCAAAATGTGTTTGAAATTGCGAATAATTACTAATATATTGGTCGATTTATAAAAATTAAAAATATTTATTTATACGATATGGTACATGTATTTACAATGTTCTAAAAATCATTACAATAATAGGACGCTTATCAGTCTTGTATTTTCACAGAAAAAAAAATCCTTACTGTTTTCTATCATATTAAAATTAATAATTTAATGAAAAGAAAATTTGTGTGATTACTGGATTACAATGTAGTATAATAATTAAATTCTGATCTATTTATATTTATTTTTGTACATCCGAATGTAGTGCGATTTCATTACTGAAATAATACGTGATACTTCAAAAGAAATTCAACTTTATCTTTGCTTCGTAAATAGGATATACGAGACATTTAAAATATATATTACAATATAAGAGGAAAAATATATAATAAATACATGAGTTACGTTATTTTTACTTTTTTTTAAGTTGACTTATGTTAAACCGAATGATGTGAGTATTACATAATATTGAGTGATGCAAATTGGCTAACGTAACTGTGATTTTATGAAAGGTATTAAAAATAGTTTTATTTAACTGTTCGGCAATTTACGATGTAAATCTGTAATGTGATGGTAAGTTTAACATTAATTCGAAATTTCAACAACCTTTCCAGATATAAAAGTATCACATCAAACATATATTCGAGACAATATATTTTAAGCCAAAATATCCTACAACTTATTGTACTAGTCGCCTAGGTTTTTATCTTCTTTTTTTAATATACAGCTATTTAATCGCATATCTCTTTTTTTATGTACACTTTGTGTTCTATAAATTAGTAAATTCAAGAGCAAAAATGTACGAGTGATATTAACATTAAATTACGATTTTTTTCGGTTCTAATTAAAAGATACTTGTATTTTTATTTTTGCTTTTTATCATTAGCAATGCAAATAAGTTTTATCGCATAGAGAACTGGGGTTTTTGTTGCAGATCCACTTACATACTAGTTTTTACAACGATCTGCAATCAATTATTTTTAACGGAAAATCTCGATATGACACGAATATTATATCTACCTACTTATGTTATACAAAGGATAACGCAATTTGTATGATTTTTACTGTTTGAAAAAAAAGTTTCCCAGTTTTTAATGCGCTAAATCCGAATCTGGAAATAAAGAGCAAAATTGCAATAGAGGATGAAGAAAAAAAAATTATTTTCCAAACAGAAAAAAAAGTCAAATTTTGCAGAACCTATATAATTACTGTGACATTAATCCAAATTCGACAAACTCGCGGCATATTTAGGATCTCTCCTGATGTCCTTCAATAATACTTTCGGCTTGATATCAATCAGTGTTGCGAGAGTAAGACAGTTTACTCTCATACTGTGGCCCCCAACCACCATGTACGTATTCAGCTCGGACAGATTAACCGGGCTGCTCGGTCTTCCGTAATACGAAACCGGTTTGCTGTCTATCGTTCTTTCCTCCTCGAGTTCTGCGTCTGTGCTGTGCGTCACCGGCAGACGCGACGTAAACATGTTCGGCGGATACCTCGGGTTCGTGGACTTGCGCGCGACCGCTTTGAATACACGCGGGCCTGGTCTCGCGCATGGAACAACCGATTTGGTGGTGGATTTCCTCGCGACGGCCTGACGACCGTCTCGTTCCGGTGTCGAGGCACCCAAGATACGGCTTTCCTCGTCCTTCATGTCACCAAGTTCGGACTGCCTGACATGCTTCGCGATCAAGTTCTCCACGACCGATTCGTAGTTTGGGATATTCTTCGAGCTCGTCGCATACTTTTCGGGACTCTTCGAGTATTTGGCCAACCGTACCGATGTTCTAAAATATAGATTTCGCATGTTAGATGTCGTCTGACGGAAATAAATATGTACAGTCGTGGACATATCGGTTACGACGCTTTTTTCATAGGTTTTTAGTATATATGTTTTATATATATACCTATATATTTTATAGATAACTAATATTTTGCAAATGCGCACCACGATGGTGTACTATCTCCAATTTAGAAACAGTACACCAATCGTGGTTCGCATTTGCAAAATATTAGTGCGTTTCGAAATCTATTAAAAAAAAGTGTCGCAACCAATATGTCCACGACTGTGCAGCGTGAAACGGTATGTACGAGCAAGCACTTACTCTTTCGACTCCTGTTGTATCCATTTGGATGGTAAATGCGAATGGAACATGCTGTGATGCTTTAATTTATCGCTGGCGGTCTCGCAGAATTCCTGGCACCACTGGCAAACCCATACGTGTTGCTGAATGACAGGCGAAAAGTTCTCCGTCTGCTTCGCTTGGTCGCGCTTGACGACGTCCTTCTTCGTGGAACTTGCAGATGATAATCTCGGCACCAGTATCTCCTTATATCTAAACGGTAACTTGATACTCAAAGATGCCTCCGAACTCTTTAATTCCTTGTGCGTGAGATTCCAGTGTTGCTTGATGGACGGTAGCGAGGCGCTGCGAAGTTTGCAATAGAAACAGCCGTAGTATTTAGTCGACTCCGAATCGCGTTCTTCCTCCGCGTTCTTCGACGCGTCGACATCCCGTTTTTGAGACGTCGATGGCGGCTTGTTTTTCGTTTCGCCGAAAGAGGAATCGGTCACCGGCGGCACTTGTTTGTATTGCAGCGGTACCGAGGGATGATTGAATTCCCAATGCTCCAACATCTCTGCTTCGAAGAAACAGCTGTAGGTGCAATACAGGCACTTGAAAGTGTTATGAGTGACGTGTGTCCTCATATGGCTCTTCAGGCCGGTGGTATTCATGGCTGTAAAGCTGCACAATTTGCACTTCTCAAAGCGACTACCGGCGGAAGCGGTTGTGGCCGCGATGTTGCTGGCACTGTTCTCTGCGTTCGGTTTCCGCTTTTTAATCTTCAGTGGAGGGAGACCGTATTCCTTCTCCCAGAACTCGTCGCTCATCTTCGTGTTCGTCCACGCATCCGGATTGTGTATAATCTTTTCCGGATCGTTCGGATGCTTCGCGCGGATGTGCTGGCGCATCGTCTTCTCCGAACTAGCGCTGCGGTCACAGTAGGGGCACAGGAAGCAGAACCGTTTCAAATGCGAATATTGCACGTGCAGCTTAAATCCGCGCTGGCCGTTGAACGACAATTGACAGTGCTTGCAGATAATTGGCTTTTCCAGATTGTCCTCGGCCTTGTCGCGAACTGCGAGATAAAATCAAAGAAAATCGTATCGATATGTTTGATTTTGACGGACGGTAATACAAACGAGGCTGCAACTGTTCTGAATGTAATCTATATACTTACGTTTATCATTTTCTTCATTGCTCTTATCTTCGTCCTCCTTCATATCGATTACAAGATCCTCATTGTCTCGGCTGTCGTCGTCATCAATGTCCATGCTTCTATTGGCATCTTCAAGAATATCGTTTTGCAGAGTGGATATCGTAGGTGCGAGATTCACGGTTCTTTTGCCGGTTGGGATTTTCACGGGACTAACATCTGGATTTGAAGAGTTTATACCACCAGATATATTTTTAAGAACAATATTCATGTTTCGAGACCAAGCCTTGATCATGTCCGTTTGCTTTTTCAATAAAGTCATCACCTGCAAATTACATATAGCGCTTACTTCTAATAAGAAAACAAAATTTAATAAAGTAAAAATTAAATAAAATAAAGTAATATATATGCATATTTAATTTAATAAAATATTTATATTTAATTTTATCCATTTATTTTATTAATTTTTATTTTATAAATTTCATTAACTTAATTTTATTAATTAATGTTACTAAATTTTGCTTTATTAATTTGCAATGAATATAATAAAGTGTTAAGAGTTTTAATAAGTACCCAGTCCTCAATTGCATTATCCGGCGAAAGTGGCTCGTGCTCTGGAGATTTTCCACTATGATGTTTTACAAAATGCTGCAACAGTGCTTTACGATTTATCGATGTGTATCCGCAAGTCTTACAATGCCATCTAAACAGACACATAAATTCTCTTAATAATAGCATTTGCAAAGAACATTTTCTAAAAATACCTACAGTTTAGTGAACTAACAATCAATAACTTAAATCTGTTAGCGGCTTGGAATAAGAATTGCAACAGATTAACATGTAACTGCATCTTCTATAAAGAATGGTGGCTTTAGACCAAATTTAATTTTAGACCAAAATTTGACTATGAGAGAAATCGATTCATGTTTATATTATCGAATTTGCTGAACTCGAATATGAAGCTTAAAATTATCTACAATTTGGGGAACACATTGTAAAAATGCAATTTTTTTACACAAAAATTCATATCATTATGCGTCGTGCGAAAAAATTAATAAAGACTTCTTTTTTGTTCACAGTTACTTGTTCATTAGAAAAATGCATGGTTGCAAAACGCTTTTATGTAAAAAAAACCGTGTTTTCATAAAGTTTCCCGTAATGTGGACAATTTTAAGCAAAGCAAAGTTTTATATTCAAGTTTTGATCCAATAATATAAAGATAAATCAATTTCAAACGTTTTCCTCACAGGCAAATTTTGACTCTAAACCGTTCTTTGTATTCTACTAGTTAAAGTTATAAATATAAACACAATGAGATATCCAGAACACAATGTAAAGGCAGATTGGAGCGACAGATTCTGCTCGATTTTAAATTACGTTGCAGATCTTTGTGATACACATTTCGCGCGTTATAAGTTTCAACATAACGTATATTACTTACCTCGGGTAGTTCAACTCCCTATAAAGATGATCTCTCATATCATGCTTGTACTTCGTCTTGAAATGATTACACAGCGTACAAACGTACATATTGTCGTCCGGTTTGCCGTAAGGCCCAAACCTACCAACGTCAGAATCGTTAACGTCACTCAGTTCACCCGCGTCCGTTTTCGAGTCTCTAGCCGATTTGATGCCGGCGACTCCTTCGCCTTCAGCCCCATCGCACGAGAGCGACCGTTTTGACTTCTCCTTAGACTGTTTATCATTATCGTCGAGAGATGTCGATTTCCCAGTCGCTTTTATCTTAGCCGGCCTCGTCACGAATTCCGCGTCGCTCCTGCGTTTGCCGAAATATACCTTTGAAGTTGTGGACGGCTCGCTCGTTGCGGGCGCTTCAATCTCCTCCTCCAACAGAATCCCGCGGATATGTCGAACTCGCGGCATGTTTCTACTCCAAAGTGGCGTCGTGTCGAACGGCTCGTCTTGCTGCACGCTTTGCTCGGTCGCTTCTGTGCTCCGTTTGTTGACACCTTTTATCCTCTGGTATACCATGGTGTAATCGGTGTTGCCATCGTACACGTGCTTGCTGTTTATATGCTGCTCGAGAATCATCTTTCCGTTCGTTTTGTACGTGCACATGGTGCACTTGTATTGACAGCTCTCGCCATGAACTGTATCAGCATGAACGGCTGCGTCGGCTTTGTAGACACATTTAAAATTGCAAAGATTACACTTCCAATGATTGCCGTCCGGATCGGGTATCTCTTCCTCGGTCTCCTCCTGGACTGGTTGCTGAACATTATCCGTGTTTTCGATTTCCCTCACTACTTTCACGAAAGGTCTCTTCTCCGGATGCTTGTCGGTAAGATGTCGCTCCACAACGTGCCTGGATGTCATTTCAATTCTATCAGAGAGCATAGAAAGTGCACTCGCGCCAATAGGAAAATTTTAAAACATCTGACAAGTAACAACAGGTAACATGTTCTTCTTTTTTTCTGTATTAACTTTTTTACCAAAGAAATAAATTTTTCAAATTTTTCCTAGAGCAAATCTATTTATCTTGATTATTAATTGAATCAATAATGGTTATTAAATAGTAATCAAGTACATTAAGTCATACTTGTCACATGTTTTAAAATTATAATAAATGTAAAATGGTATACGATAGCGATAAAATTTTACGAAAAAATATAAAGATGACATGATTGCGTGTATAACTAAAATGAAATATGTACAAACCTTTGATAATGATGATGATTGCAATGAGAGCATTTATAGAGTCTCGTATCATGCATCTTCAAATGAATGCCCATTTTGTCGATTGCTATATTTTGGTTCTCTTGACCCGGCGGCGGCGCAGGGCAATGCGGGCAACGGAAGTACGACTCTTCCGAATGTAGGGCCTTCAAGTGACACCTTAACATCGCCTCGTCCACCGTTAAGTAATTGCATTCGGCTACGCCACATACATACCTACAGCAGCAAAGATATAATAATTAGTCGTATTTCTCTCATCTTTTATCTGTTGCTCAAAAATAATATGTTGCGTACCTTTTGTGTTCCGGTACAAACTTTGGTATACTATCATCCTCCTCGCTTTCCTTAACAGGTTCTTTCGGTTTTTGGCCCATACGGCCGTTTTGGTGCGAGCTGCTCGCTAAATTCACCATCTTATCGAACATCTTCTCCTTTTTGTCTAAACAGGGGACAGGATTGACCGGACCGATCTCGGGCACGGTCTCGTCTTTCGCGTGTAGTTGCAAATGCCGGATAATGTTTGTCCGTACTTTAGTTGTGTAAGGACATACGGCACACCGGACCTCCCGATTGTAAATCGCCTGACGTGGTAATCGCTCTATCTCGTCGGGACTGAACGATAATTTTCCGTTATCCGCAGTTTTTTCACTTTCCTGTTCCGCTGCAGACCTACCGCCTTTGCGCTTCCTGGTTCTTCGTTCGGCAGATCCGTAAGGCTGTATAAATCACATATGCAAAAATTACATATCTTATTTTCGTTAAAAAAGCTAAAATACTTGTAATTTTTTTAATTTTATTTAAATATTTAAATTAACGAGAGACACTCACAACTCCATGTACGACGAAGAGACCTTCGACCGATGGGTTTGTTGGGTCGGCAGGCACTAACTTCGTGTTGTTGAATTTGTGTTTCGACTTCATGTGAGCCGTAGCTTGATATGAAACCGAATATCTCAACTTACACAGCGAGCATCCGAAACGCTTCAATCCGTGAGTCTTAATATGTTCCAAGAGCAAGCAAATTTTGATGAAAGCTTTCGTTTTTTTACAATGCGGACAACATAAGTCTTTATTAACCTCTCCGAGATTGCACTCCTTGAGATGCATTTTCAAGGCGGATGAGGTTGACGCCGTAAAACTGCACTGCAAATAGCCGCATTTATACAAATCGTGTCCGACGAGGCCGGTGTCTTTGATGTCATCCAAAGTCAAAGGTTTGTCCGGCTGAGCAGTCGCATTAGCAATATGTGCTGGCGCTTCTTGGGACGCGCATTTCGTTTCACTGGTATCGCTAGGTGCCTGCTCGTTACTCTCAGCCTTTGCTTCGAGAAACACCGGCTCTAACTTTTTCTTTGCGTTATCTTCAATCTTTCTCCGCGCGGCTTTCTCTCCGCTCTCCAAAATCTCGATGTCACTATCTTCAGTTTTATCCGCGGATTTAGAAAACAAATTGCCGGAATTGGGTGTGAAATTCTTTAAAAGTTCCGCGTTATCGAGAAGATTGGTATTCACGAATTCGTCGCTGCAATTGAATTTTTCACTTGCAGAGAGTTCCAGCGGATCGACCACGTCGGAGTCGTTCATGGACGACAACAACTCTAATTCCGATTCGTGAAGAACCTGAGTTGTGGTTGCGTAGTTGCTTAATTCTCCCATCTCCGATTGCAGAGACGGCTCATTTTGCAGAGGTTCTTTAGCACTGTTACTCATTTTTTCATTAGCGGGAGACGCATCTGCAGATTGTTCTGTTGAGATATTGGAAACGTTGACGTTAACTTCTTTGTCCTTCAGATCATCACCGACGAAATTATCTTCCGTTGTATTGCTTGGTATACTAGACCCAGCTTGATTCAAAGCAATTTCAGTATTTGACGAAGTTGCAGAAATTTGATCGCTTGCTGCGTCTTTCGTAGTTTTATTCTTTTCGGAATCGTCAGCGTTTGAACCAATGTTTTCTTCTTTTACCGTATCATTTAATGTATCGTCGATAGTTCGCAAAATGAGTTGATTTAGAATGTCCATTTTAGGTGATGGCTGAAATTATATGCGATTGTATGTATATGTATATATATTAAATTACCTATTAAAATAGTTATCATAACAACTACAATACTATTCAAAACTTTGACAATGGAATTTAAATTGAATTTTTAATTGACAAATAAAACTTTGATAATTGTTTAAATTTAATTGATAAATAAAAAATTGGATGTAAATAAATATAATTAGAAACACATTATGAATAAAATAATAATAAACCTCGAATAATGAACAAGAACTTATTTCAAAATTAAAGTACTTTCGATAACTATGTCATGTACAGTCTGTTTCAAAAGCAAATTATTAATGTAACATACCTTTTGAAGAAGCGTACGTTCTATAAACTGAGGAAATCGATTCCAATGATAGGCGCTCAAATGCTGATGCATTTCATTTTGGGTCTCGGAACCATGTAAACAATATAGGCACTGGAATTTGCTGTATCCATGCTTGTTATAATGCTGTAAATATTGAAATAAAATGAGCATTATTTATAATTATTTATAGTTGTTCTGATAGTGTATATAAATAGATCTAGAATACGTACAAATACAAGCTGTTCTATCGTCGTATGTAATGCATTACATAGATGACATTTGTATGTACAAGAAGGATGTTTTCCCTTTAAGTGCGTTATAAATGTTTCACGTATAAAATAGACTTTGTCGCAATCTGAAAGTAATATACAATATTAATATATTATATTTGCACATTATAATAACATTATGATACGATCAGAAATATTACAATTACGCACCAGGGTATTTGCATATAAAAGGCCTTATGAAATTCTGACGAAGAACGTTTTCATTTTTCTGGACCGAGTTTTGCTCCTTGCCTAATAAATAGTAAAACATGCTGCCGGGATGACACATAATCTAATGAAAAATTTAATCGATCAGTCACATATTATTGCTTCTCTTAATAAACACAGTTGCGGTAATTAAAAATCGTTACCTGATGTTGTTGCACATAGTACGGTATAATGGCTCGATAAAAGCAGTAACCGCACTGATACCGGCAATGGCTGTGTTTCGCCCACAAGTGAGTTTTCATCTTGTACCAGTTTTTCAGAGATACGTAGCAATAGGCGCACTTATCGTAATCACAGCTGTCCGTCTTGTTGGCCTCGTGCAGAAGATAGTGCTGAGAAAAATCAAAGATGGAATCGGTCGTGAAAGAGCAATTACGATCCATGCACTTGTAGAAGTGAATTAGCTTTGGCTCCGTCAGCATCGTCGCATAATCCTCCACAGATTTCAACTTTTTCGTAAAGTGATTAAGCGATACATCTTTAAGATTGACCGCTACAGGCGTATGCATCATCTTGATTTTCCTTGATCTGTAAATTGAATTCAAAAGCGACACGCTTGTCGATGCATTTGTCGATGCGCTTGTCGATGCGCTTGTCGATGGGCTTGTCGATGGGCTTGTCGAAGAGGTCATCGGGATCTTCGGAGCTACTGCAATAAAAAAAAAAAATTGAAGTTAAATGTGTGTCGGTGGATTTCGTTGAGAGTAACAAATTATTGATATATACTTAGCGCATTCTTCTTTAATATTAAAGGTGGATTGGATTTTCTCATAATAGGTATCTCTTTGCATTTCGTAGGAGAAATCTTCAACGCTGTCCTGTCATTTAGCTGTAAATAACAAAAAACGAGATAATAGACCAAGTTAAATATCGGCAATAAAAACAAAAATAACTGTAATATATTCACATACAATAATAAAGCTATCACTGTGCTTGGATACTGGTGCGAGGCTAACCACATTTTCAATTTTCAAAAACGAACATTCTTCCTCTGTATCCGTTTTCGCGTCTATCGCGCTATCCGATTGGGCTCCATCTATCAATTTTATTCATTAATATAGATATACACATATCTCTAAAAACGTTAATTAGAAACTCTTGCGTTTAACGTATTCGACTGCTTGAAACGTTATCGCAAAAATTCGCAACCATTTCAGATCACCAACCTGTATTAAATTTTTGCGGATCTTCCTGGTTATCTTCCGATTCTTCCTGCGTCGGCATAGACAGCATGTCGCCACTCAGTCGTCTGAATCTGATAAAATTCTTGGGCGAACTGGCGTTACTGCTCGACGTCGGTGATAATATTTTCTTCTCCGAATTTTGTTGTTTCGAGAGTAAATGCTTGACATTGGCGATCGGCACAACGTCTGGTGGTTTCGGTATCGACGACATGGGTTCAGTCTTAACTTTCACCCCAGGCTCAGTCTTAACCTCCGTCTTAATATCGATCGTCGGCTCGAGCGCCGGCTCCAACGGTTTGACATTCTGAAGTTGCGCGGCCAGTCTCTGTATCGTCGTCAGCATTGGATCCCGCGACGAGGACGCGTTCATGTTCGAGGTCTCCTTCAGAATCATATTGACATCAGTCTGCTCAGAATCCGAGTGCTCGCTGCTGGAGTCCGATTCGAAAACTGGTGCCGAGCGCTCGTTGTCGCTGTTCTCGCCATCGCTCTCGATGTCTTTGCTTGGGTCCATGACCACGAGAGGGTCCCGGATCTTCATGTCTACCTTGTCATTCCCATTCATCTCATCCGACTTGTCGGCAGCCAATTGTTCCTCCGTATAAGAAAGGAGATCCTCTTGACTGTTCGGCTGACTTAGGGGATCCTCTTTGATGATTAATTCGTCTTCGATATTTAGAGGTTCTGCGGATGAATTTACAAAAGGCAATGAGGAGTTTTGTCTCTCTTCCGGAATGTCCGCTGACGCGTTACATTCAGGAGCTGGACTGACGACTGCGTCTGTGCGCATCTTATCCTGCAGCTTGTCTATTATAGACAAGCCCGGTTTAGAAAAGTTCTTTAATAAAATACCGATATTATTGGCGATCTCTTGCATCGTCTTCTGCCGCTCCCGCTGTATCTCCATCTCCTTATTTTCCAATTCAGGTGGGCAAACGAATGCACTTAGATTACCAGCGCTCACCTCTGGTGGCTCTGATTCTCCTTGAGACAGTCTCGGTATTTCGGTGTTCTCCTCCTTGATTTCAATAGCCTCTTCCGTTATTGGTTCATGCAGAATACGTTCACTGGTATTATTAACATTATTGCTCTCAGACTCCGCAGGTCTTGCGACATCCATTAACGGAACATCTTTACGCTCCATAGCTTCAAAACCAAGAATCTGTGGCTTTGTTTCTACGGCAAAAGACGTCACAGCGTTAATGGATGCCGACTCATGTGACTGCTCGTTGTTACTCGCAGCGTGTTTCGACGCAGTTATCGCCGACATATTGATCTTCAAGATCTGGATATCCGTCTGCTCCCGGTGCCAGAACGCAATGTGAGCCTCCACGTTCTGACGCTTCAGCTGTACATAATTACAACTGCGACATAGGTAGCCGTAGATACCACCCTCTCTTGGCACGACGTCCTCAGACGCAGACTCGTTGAACGGTTTATTCCCGCGACACATCTTGTAGTAGTGCGTCTTCATGGACGCTTTGGCTACCGCCTGGTAAGAGCAATTGTTGCAGTGGAACCTGTATTCACCCGTGTGTGTGGTACAGTGCTCGTAGAACGCCTCGAGTGCCACGTCCACGGCGCCTTCCGTGACAAAACAGCAGAATCTGCAGCAGAACTTGCACATCTGACTCGTCTGCTCCATCGCGGACGCGTCGCGCTCCATGTCCACGATCGCAGTCTCAACGTCCGTCGACTTGAGACGCGAGATAAGCACTTCCCTTCCGGAATGATTGACCTTGTAATGGTGAACGATGTTCTTGCCCGTGAAAAAGCATAACAAGCATTTATATTTATCCTGGCCGACCCACGCGTACTCTATCAGATGCTTATTGTCTATCCTACGGAAAAGTTCCGCCATCAGTTCATCGTAAATAATCTTTGGCGATTCTTTGAAAAATCTGTTCGCAATAGTGGCATTTGCCGCGGTAAAATTAGCGTTACTTGAACTATCTGCCTCTTCTACGTCCATCTTCATCAACGGTTTACTTTCGTCGAAACTGGAAAACGAATCATTAAGTGATTCTTTAAGTAATGATGGATTTGAAAATTCGGGTAACGTAAAATTGTTTAAGTCTTTAAGATCTTCCTCAAAACTTTTTAAAGCTTCATCAAAGTTCGTATCAGACGATTTAGTCTCCTCGCATTTTACTACAGACTCTACTTTCGTATTGTCGACCGTATAAGTGTCCCCAAGAACCTTTTCAGAAGATTTCTCTGCCGTTGCAGTATCGTTATTTCCCAAGAGCAATTGGTCAGCTTCTGCGGTATCCATCGAAATATTCGTTTCGGTATTCGTCTCTTCAACGGGTGTTTGAGCAATTTTGGAAGCTCTCGAAGCAGTTTTCTTCTTTCTCTTCTTATATACTACGCCCATCTTCCAGTTAGATTTCTTTTTCTTCTTTCTCACCAACTTTTTTGCGCTCGGCTCGATAGCCAATGGATCATTCGTGTCCTCCTCGAAGTCCGCCTCGTTACCCTTGTCAACCGACGTACTCTTCGTCGGCACCAATCCTATTAGAATGTTGCTTAACAGTTCCTCCTTAGCAGTCGTTCTAGCTGCGCCGCTGCTCTTCCCGACAGTCGTATTGCTCGACATGGAAATGTCTGACACTATGCTCTCCTCATCCGAGAATGACATCCCGTCGTCGCTTTTATCGTCGGTGAGCAAGTACGACTTTTTCAATTTCGAGTTCCGTTTACCGGCGTTCTTGGTGTCTTTCCGTCGCCTCGAACTAACTACCGTGTCCACCGAATCTTGATCAGACTGCTTGTCCGGTCGAAGAGAGATATCAACCGCATCGGCTAACTTGGACACGTCTATGCTAAAACTCTCGTCGGACGAGCTATCGAACATTACCCTGGGCGAATCTAACTTCGAAATATCCGTTTTCTCCACAAGCACTCGCGGTTCCCTCATAATATCTTTATGTAGAACGCGTTTAGACCTACGAAGTGCGTCATTGCGATCCACTTCTTGGTCCAGTGTGTTGTTTAGCAACCTCTCACTTCGTAGAGCCAACGGTTGATCCTCTTCACTGTCGGAACTTTGAATCGATTTCTTCGATTGTAAAGTACGAGTCCGTTTGGCGTTCCTCTTGTTCCTGACTTTTGGTTTGCTCGACTCTTCGACATTGCGAGATCTTAAATTCTTCCTAAACTTGACATTGTTCCCTACCGACTCGGTGTTCGTTTCGATGTTCGATTCCGCAATTTTCTTCCCGGCAGTATTCGATGTTTCGTTCCTTTTAGAGTTCGTCGACGACGTGCTCGGGCCTGTCTCCGATTGATTTTCCTTCGACAACCGGCACATTCGATGACCCGTCGCCGTCACTACGCCTTCGCTAATGAACATTTCTCTGATATCCTCTTGCAACATCTCCAAAGAATTTCTTCTCTTCGTTTTTGTCTTAGGTTTATCAATTGAAACTTCATCAACTTGGCCATCTGTAATGTCGGAAGCGACGGATTGCATTGTCTGATCATTATCCCGATCCAAATGCTCTGCATTACTTTTTGCATTATCCTGATTCATAGGTTCTATACTACTTTCTGTATTTTCCTTCGATTTCTCTAGACTGCTTTGATCGATCTTATCCTGGTTATCTTTAGTTTGTTTCTTCGTTTCATCACTATCTTCTAATCTACTATCTATTTGCTTCTCTCTTTCTGACTGAACATCAGTATTTTCATTATCATTTTCTAACCGATCATTCTTATCACTGCTTTTCTCTAATTGCTCATTCTTATTTTCACTATTATTATCTACTTGAATGCACTCTTTGTCACGAGTTTCTAATGAACCTTCATTTTCCTTTGCGGTAATATTTTTAGTCTCTTTGCTCGAATTATTACTAGATACTGTTGCCTCGAGTTTTTCTTCCGAATGTTTAGGATCCGTGGAAGTTGCAGAAACCGGCTCTGTCTCATCGTTGACGTCAATACTAGTATTTAAGTTATCGAACCTCTCTGCGAGATATTCGTCCGAGCTATCGTCCTCTATTGGACGCCCCAGCCTCTTTTTCTTTTGAGTCTTTTTCGCTTCGACCGTTTCATCCTTATCCGAACTGCTCTCGGATTCAGACTCGATAATCTTTTTGATTTTCTTGATTTTCTTGAATTTTTTTGCCTTCAGCACTTCCCCAAGCTTCTCAAGTCCAAGCTTCTCCATAAACTTCTTGCCTTCACCGGATTCGAACGATTTCTTGATGAGCGCCTCAATCAATTTCTTCGTGGGTTCGACTGCTTCTGATTCGTTCTTCTTTCCCTTCTTCGCGACGTGACTCGACTTGGAACTGCTCGCTGAGTCTGCTTCGCCGATTTTCTCGTTTTTGTCAGACTTTTCGAGAGATGGCGAAGGAATCTTACTCTCCTTTGCAGCATCATTTTGCTGAGGCGAAGTCTCCGTTGTACGATTACTGTCGCTACTGCTGCTCACTTCAGCACTCGCAACGTCCTTGCTCTTATTCTTGGAATATTGACTGCTCTTCTTTTGCTCTTTGCTTTTATTGTTCTTTGCACGCGACGATTTAAATGAAACGTTTTCAACTACCTTCGCTTCGTTCGTAATGCGATGTGTCTGCGGCGGTTCCGGCCGTTTAATTTTAGGAATTTTGAATTTCTGCAGACCAGAATTCTGACTGGCCTTCGTGTCAATCACGCCGTAAAGACTCTCCAGCGGTGATTGCATTCTATCTTTCGGCAGCTTGTCCTTCTCCTTTTCAAGCGATTTCTGCGAACTCGGTTTCTCCTTTGTCGTCTTTGTGCTCGTCGTTACCGACCGTTTCCTAGGATCCCTCTCGTTGTGAACGGTATCTTTGGTTGTGTTGGACGTGTTCACGTGTTTATCTTTGGCAAGACGCGGATCTCTGACGGAAGCGCCGGTCTCTTTGGTCTGATCCCTGGCACCAGTCGTGTTGTGTTCTGTACGAACCCGTGGATCTCGATTCGGGAAACGATTCAGATTCTCCCGATCAGAGTGATTATCCCGCGACCAATCGGGCCGGCGCCCATCACGATTAAAATTGGGCCTCCCTTCTGTTCTATTTCTCTCATAGTACCCGTCCCTACCCTGACCTCTATTCCTATCACGCCCCGTCGTGCCCCAAGGGCAAGGTGTGTTGGATCGTGGATGCGTAGTTCCTGTGGAAGTCTCCATAACTTGAATTCCACAAGGAATCACATTTTCATAAGTAGGATTGGCAACTGGATTTTCCCACACCGGCTGTCTTACGTGTGGGTATTCTGTCGATCTGCCCACGGAAAAGGATGGATCGTAAGACGTCTGAAAATTTCCGTATGACGATGGAAATCCAGGAGGTATCAAGGGAGGTATATTCTCCCGAACGTTTTCCGGTCTCACGTGACTCTCCTGCGGTCGCACCATAGGATTCATCAACGTTGGCCTGGGACCAATGGTCGATGGAAACTGATTTTGCCTAAATTGCGGCTCCATGGGACGTTGAAAGGGATGTTGGGTGGGTTGCAAAGATGGATTAGCCATTCCGCCATAAGAGGCGGTTGTCCATTGATTGCTGAATTGATGGTCACCAGTGGGTGAACCCCAATGCATCTGATTTACATGCGTACTGTAATAGTCGGTGTTGTCTATCATAAATTCGCTTTCTCTAGGCAGATTCGTATCTTTCCATCCTTCCACCGGTACGCTGGGACGTCTCTGATACAACGGAACATTTCTCTCTGATATCGGAGACGGACTATCGTCAATAGTAATTACTTTATCTTTCGCGCTGTCATGAGAATGAGCGTCACGTTGACGAGGATGCCTCTCGTAGTTATCCGCGTAACGCGGTTCTTTGGAAAATGATGTTTGCGGTGCCGATCGATGGGGATCGTTCGATTGACGAGACGGCCCGATTGATGAAGTGGCGCTTGATTTCACAGATGAAACTCCCGCTGTATTTTCCCGTAAATTTTTTCTAACGGTAAGCCTCTCTCTTTCCGATGAGAAATTCTTCGATCCTTGGTCCGTCTCCTTCTGTTTAGCGGGATTTTCGCCTGCTTTATCGCCCTTCTCGCCAGTGCCTGCGTCATTCAATAGCTCCGCTAGATCTTCCATGGACAATGGAGGCTCGTGCGATAAAGGCGGTGGCGAGAATAGAAACAGTGTCGACGGTGGCTTCGGCGGTGGCTTCAACGTGTTGTCCTTCGGTCTAGATGAAGGACTCGTGGATGTAGGTTTTGCAAACAATATTTCGGGATCAGGTGAGTTGAGTCTCACCTCAGGAACGTTCACGGGCGATTCCGTTCTCTCCGATCGAGAACAACTAGCTGTCACTATGTCTAAATTCAGATTCTTATTTTTCTCTAAAACGGAGGACAATCGTCTGGATCCGATTCCGTCGAGAGAAGGCACCGGAACAGTCGGTACGTCCTGGTCTAACGCATAATTTCTGCTGTCGCTGACTCTTTGCGGCAGGCTGTCACTAATTAATCTCGCAGCGGTCGTTACATCGTGACTGGTAACGGTAGCCGCTGAAGGTTGCCGATTTCCTCTGTTTCTTGCGTTATGCCTTTCCGACTCTTCTAACATATCCCACGTGATCTCATCCGAAGTGTCTTCTGACGGCGACGAAAGAGTTATAGTTTGGATTATTTTGGGATGTTGCATTTGTCTTCTGTTTTTGTTCAATTCTGGACTACGCTCCGTGGGAATTATTATAGGTATAATTTGGATATCGGGACTGGAAGATCTTGCAGTATCCGGACTCCGTGGAGTCTCCTCGATTTCTTTATCCTTCTCCGCACATTGGGATCGCTCCGCTTCCCTGCATCGATTTGATTTCAATGAACTAAAAATCACGAACTCATTTTTTCGCCTAACAATTTTAACATTCATTACAGTTTTTAAGAATTCGTGTTTATGAATTAGATGCAAACGAAAACGATACTAAAATCATTTAATTTTAATTTAACATATATTGTACGTATATTGCAATTATTTGCGCGTTTTTTACAATTTCTATAAAATACCGATGTACTTATATATAATACTTACGTCGAAGACTGCGCCGTGACGTCATTATTTTGCCTAAATGGCAATTGTAAACCAGAGGCATTTCCCTGAAACTCATGTCGAATTAGAATAATTAAAATACCAAGGTCAAACATGCACTACGGAAGCCTAAAAACATAGTCCAAAGTACAAGAGAGCAACGAAAACAAATATTACACGTGTAAAGAACCAAGGATTACATAAGCGACTATTATTGTAAAACCAAAAAAAAAAAAAGAAATGCGTGTTTATTTACACATGTTTACGTGCGGTGCTTTAAAATACAATGGAAATCAAATGTGCAAAAACAGAATCCTGGATTCTTCATAACAAACTACATAGATTGACGAGAATACTACACAATCCCATTATCCCGTAAATACTCACTTTACACTACAAAATGAAAAATCTAAAAATACAGAGCATTACATCGAATTAATATAAACATTATTGCATTATGTTTCGCATCTTTCATCAGAAGTGAAAATGTACAAATGCTACTCAGAACAATTAAATAATCAATTCTTTAAACACGCCTAACGGCTGCACAATACATAATAAATACTTCAGATTTGGAATATATCTTTTATAACATATTAAGCATACTTGTATTCATTATCGATTTCTATATTTAAGACCGTTTCAAGTTTTAAGTTGTCACAAGCCAGTCACGGAGCATATTAACATCTAAGGCCTATTCTACAATACGTCGTATGTCGGGTCGTAAACCGTAAGTCGTAAGAATTGACTAATCACAGTTGCATGTAAAAAGAATATTCGATTGTAATTGGTTAATTCTTACGGCTTACGACCCGACATATGACGTATTGTAGAACGGGCCTAAATTATTACTTAAGACTTAGAGCCTTAAAATAAGAACGGATTATGAATAGCATCTTAGTTTTCGCTAAATACTTCAGTCTTTTTCTGACAAAAATAAAATTGGATCCTTTCACAGAACTGTTTATACGAACGATTTATTATAATTGTTTTGAGCAATATATACATACAGTGACATGTGCAAAAAATATATTTAAATAATAATAATACGGACAAAACAACGAGAGTAAAATACGTGCGAATAGTGTCCTAATGTTCATTGCTTTAAAAACGCAAGACATAAATATACATTTAGCTTGTTTAAAAATTTGTAGGACACTCTGTAGGCAGTTTAACTTATACAACAAACAACGAACACAGACTAGAATAGGAAATTTCTATGTGTATCGAAATTGTGCTTTTGTCAATCTAATTACCTTTTCTACTTTATTATACAGTTTCTGCAAAACATGCTCGCACCGTTGTAGCGTCTCAATCTTCAACCTATATTTCACCAATAATATTTTAGTTAATAATCGAATAGTCGTAACATTATATTTCTAATACATTGTTTTATCTGTGGACTGCACTCGGCTATATAATCTAAATGATCTCATACAAATTTCCATCCAACATACTTTCGCTTGCTGTTCGACAAGATCTCGTGCAGACCTTGCATTTTCTGCAACTGAATTTGCCTCGAATTGTCCTTATCCTTAACGTTTTGCAGCCTCTCGATCATCGCTTCCAGGAATGGATGGTATTTTTGCATCTCTGCAAACTTTTTGTCGTATTCGTCCATCTTGCTCCCCGTTTTCGGTTAACCTGCGTTCAGAGAAACACACGATGCTTTTTTTATAACAGCAAATACCGTTGTATACAGCTTTTTTTGTACAGTCTGTATACATAGGATAAATTTAATTAATGAATTAAATCAAACACTTAAAAACACTTAAATCAAGCACTTAGGCTGTTCTAGAAAATTTCTGTTTTTGCTTCTATTCGCAAGAAATACTCGTCGGAACGGAACTTTATATAGAATTAGAATTTATTTACTTCAGCATTTAGAAACGGAACTTTAGATATTTCCAATGTGCGCGCGCGATGTGTCTACCTGCGTGCAAGAGAAAAGACTGACGAGAGAGCCAGTAAAGATTTCTTAAAAAGTCGCTGACAAACAGAGAGACACATCGCCTCTTATTTTCGACATTTCACATACGCGCACCGGTTCGTAAATACGCAGGATAAATAAATATTTTCGATCGTCGGTCGGAAATCTAATGATAATTTCGACAAATTTTATACATTTCGCAAATGCACTCACATCGACATAATTGCCATTATAACAGCACGTGAAATTTGAATCTGTCGCAATTGGACGATGACGCGACATGGTTGAGCGATCTCGCTATTAATTATTTATCTTTATTCGTCATATACGAAGAAATCCACATGCTCTTTCATTAACAAAGTTTCGAAGAGGCATTGATAACGTTTTCGTCGACGATCTCATATTCTTTCGCCGTCGCGAAGCGATTCCGAGTAGCTTCGCTTTCAGAGACAAGACGTTCGATACTTTGAACGGTGCTTTCCGTTTGCTTTTCGGTTCCTCGAAAAATCGGCAGATATCTTGAACTGCGGCTCGCGCATATAAATGCGAGCCTCTTATTTTCCGCCGATTAACGCCATTGCGTTAATACGCCTACTTATGCGGCGTGTATAATATCCGTCGAACGTCGTTCACCAGAAATCGCACGCCGCGATTTGCTCACAATCACCTCATCATCGAAACGGCAAAGGGCACACAGTTCACGGTTCTATTTCCATTTTCGGAAAGGCTTAACGATATCTCGTTAAATCGGCTCGTCGGGAGTGCGATTGATGAATATATATCGTGGAAATGCGCCATCGCATTTAACATAGATCACACTTCCCCGATTGCGATTCCATTGTAGCATACCGTGTTCACCGCTGCCGTGCGCGCACTTCTGACGAATATATATGTATATAGTGTGACGATCAGGTATCGCGCGTTCCGTATTCAATTTACGTTTCTCTCCTTTTCTCTTTCTTCTTCACCGGCGCTCCATTCCGTGCTCTCGTGGGACAGCGGAGTCCCCGCGTGCGAAACCGCACGACAATCGCGCGTAAACGCCGCACTCTTTGTCCCGAGCATGCGGGCATCCGGTTTCACTTGAACGAATTTTCTCGAGGCTTCTCCGACGTTCGAACATAGAATTGAAATGCCGGGAACGCGGTCTTCGGCGAGCGTGCGATCTTCGTCAAAGGGACCGAATGACGATTACCCCCGCACTTCAACCACGACCTCACTGACGATCGATTATTTTCCGACGATTCTGCAGGACGCTTTGTCACCGCTATTGTTCGCATTGCATACAGGGTGGATCATAACGCACAACATACATATTGAACTTATACTTTCTCGCAGAGAATAAAACGATTTTTGGTTGAATTTCGATACCGCGGAATGGAGCTTCGCAAAAATATTCTCAATTTGAGACCGGCAACTTCGAGTCTTTATCAAGGCAACCATTTATGACCTTGTGATTTAAATCAAGTTGCAGTCGATTTTGCATTAAAACAAGAGTCCGTTATTTGCGATATAATTAATATACGCCTAGGAAAAATTATCGCATAATTTTGAAAAACGAAAAATGTATTATCATGCGTACAATATTTTAAATTTTTACACGGTAACACGCAGAACACCATGTATATTAGTACACGCAGTCGCATTAAACGTACGCACGTAAGTGACTATCCTTGGTTGTCCCGTATTAAACGTAAAAACTTTTCCACCAAAGCTATAGCTAATCATGGTGGTGGTAAAGGTGTAAGAGATGGATATTGATCCAATCAACCCCTTTCACGCACAATACTGGAGCGCCCGTTTGTCTCACAAAAGCAATATATATTTTCGGTATTTCGAATCGATTTTCCCTCGGGACAACTGCCACGTAATTCTTCCGTGAAATTTGAATTTTCTTAAATGTACCTTGTATGCATATAACGATACATTTAGAAATAATACAATTTATGGCAAACGATGTATGTGCTAGAACATAGCTCGAAAAAAAACTGTTCATTCAGTTTGTTCGGATTATGTGTAAACGGTTAAATTTGAAAAGAATTGATCCGCAAATTCACTTAAGAAGAGAGATTATAAATGTTTGTTGCAATGTTTGTTGTGATGTATCGTTAAATAATAATAATATCGCCGCTTAAACAGCAGTGGAAAAAAACATTTGTTGCTCGACCAAGCAATATTTATGATATATTGGAACATAATGGTGAAAGAATACAAATTATAACTAATACGCGTACACACACGCACACACACCTCTGAATAAAATTATCGACTTAAAGTGTTAAGCATTTATTTAAATTATACAATTACAATTATATTACGTTTTTTTTTCTTTTTTTAGTTGAACTACACTATGTTTTAGAAAGACATTTTATACATGCCATAAATTTAAGAATTGTGTAAAGTTTAAATTTTAACTTTCATATGAAACGTTTAGATTTCGAAAGGCTTTTTCGCATCACTAAGTGAATAAATACGAACGAATATTGCGGCAATATACATATCTTCTTTTACAAACGTGTATTCAGACACAGTTATTGCGGCCACGTTAATTTGTGCCGACGAGGCATTATGCGTGTGTGGGCCGCATAATATATATACAGGAAATATAATCAAACTTGCATTGAATTTGCATTAGATATACATATACCATTGCATTAAGAATCGTTATTTGATTCTTTTAACGTATAACGTGTCACTTTAAACGCACACACACCGTAATACATTTAAAAAAATATAAATTTCTATTGATCTCTTTTAATCTCTTGAGCAAATTTTCAATATAAAATTTAAATTTCACATTACCGAGATAATAAACCTTGAATATCACATGAAAAATGACATCGTATGTCACTTTTATTACATATAAAACTTCATGTCTACTATGTTGCTTAAATATATTTTCCATTATTCTGCACTATTCTTCTGTAATAAATACACACACATATAATTTTTGTTTAAAAAATCAAACAGCACGTAAATTTATTGATATAAGATAAACACATTTAAAAGATAAGATTAACATAAGATATACACATCAAAACCAAATTTAAATAAAATTAATGTTTTGTAAATATAACTAATATACATATTTCGTATAAAATTTTACCGATTCTTAGGAATCTTCTAATAGCGATAAGAGCATAATTATTCTCAAAAACTTCAATGCGCATTACACACGTAATGAACACTTACTATTTCAAGATAGAACAAAGAGATAAGACGCCATTTTGTTGTCAGTTTGGCAGAAATACTGTTTAGTCGAGAAAAATCAAAATAATCGTGAGATATGTACCTCTATTCAGACCGGAAATCAAAGCGAGATGTCAGTTGTCGAAGCAAAATTAATCATTGAAAGTCAAAATTTCAATAAATCAACAAAAATTAAGAACTTGAGTCTAAAGTTGAGATAAGTAGATTTGGGTTGTAGCCCAAGTCTGGGCGAGTTTTAGATTTTGATAACCTCTAGAGAAACTACAAGAACGGAACAAAAATGCGGTATTCGTCATTGGAAGTAACACACAGAAGATAAACGCCATATGAATTGATTAGTGGCCACGTCAATCATACTCGGCTCAGATTTCGTTTTGATATTACAAACGAACTACAGACAAACGAAATATCGACATTACGTACCCATATCCTACACTGTAGACCCTATGTATCGAAATCAATCGGCGTCACCAAGTCGGTCGTCGGCACTCCGTACGAAAGGTTCTCTACCAAGTTATCGCGGCCCGCATCTTAATGATGCATCTTATTCTGTAGTTATACGATTCAAAGAAGTACAAAGACAGAAGCCAAATGCAGAATGCAAGTTGCCTTCCATGGCGTAAAGCTACAAGAGCCTACAAGGGAAGCTATAAGTAGGTGGCGTAAACGTCTATCGTGGGGGCGCCACTTGAAAAGTTTAGATTTCTGGGCAACCGAAAGTTTTCAGAGCGACGGTTACATTCATCATTCAGCCGTGAATGACTATTCAAAAATTTAAGTTCAGGTAGATATACTGTAAGGCTCTGAAATACCAGACTATTCGAAATACAAATGTTAAGCTACAAATTGTTCACTACAATCGAGATTGTAGGAAAGATAGAAAGACCGAGAAGTTATTGCAGAGAAATCTGTAGAATCTAGAAATTTGACGAGCTCAAAAATGAATTGTATAACAGAAAGATGTAAAATCCATTTTAAATATTAAGCCAAAATTTGCACGAAAATTCAGTTTGTATAAATCAGAAAACGTGTATAAATTTACATAAATATTGTTAGCGAATCAATAAAACTGAATAAGCTTTTATTTTTACACTATTGTTGTGCATTCGCACATTGCTCGATTTTACTTTAATATTTAATATGTTTAATGTATTAATATTTAATTAATATATTGCTTATGGATTTTCAATATGTTGTTAATTAATTCAAACAATTTCTATCAAGTCACGCTATTAGGACTACATTCCAAAATGTTGCTTTCCAGAAAAATTTGGCTAAAAAGTTTAAAATAGCTTACGTTACGTATGCTATACATTTTTAATAACATTTTTCTCGAACGTGTTGGAAGGCAGGATAATTATTTAAAACGATCAATAAAATCGCATATAGAGAAAATTTTGAAATTTTCACAAAATAAACTTTTTGCATACTATAAAGATCGTTTCTTCAGCGATTCGGAAAAAATAAGATCTTTAAAAATCTCAAAATTTTCTCGAATTCTTCAGAAATATAGCGCGTTGTAAACGTTAATATGATTTCTTACGTCCATCAAAATTATTATGGTCGACAACACGTCACTCGTTACGTAAATCACGTCAATAGCGAAACGTTAATAAATCTTTATATATATAAATTACAGAGAAATTCTCTCTCTCTCTCTTCCTCTCGCTCTTTCACGATGTGTAAAATTTCTCGACGATGCACAATAAAACACAACGAAGCACAAGCAAAAGACAATGTCATCTCTTCTACAACGAGAATGTCAGAGTCAGAAACCTTTTGCGTTGGCCTACGAGTCGTAGTCGTGTCACGCAATGGCGACTGCATTTAAGAATTCTGCTCTCCAAACGAACAATGGCATCGAAAATTATTTCGGAATGCACATTGTTGTATACCAGGATCCCGACATTATAAATCATGCGACGAAAATTTAAATTAAATAAAATTAAAGAAACAAAGAAAAAAAGATACATAAGAACACGTAAACGAGGAAGTAAATAGAAGCGAACACGAAATCCGACACTGAAATCTGTTTCACTTTCGAAAAGAAAAGGAAGAAAAAGAGAACCACCTAAAAGAAAGAGACAAAAGGCGACTTTTTTTTGCGCACCTGATAAATCATCACCCTTGAAGGTCGATAGCCGACGGTGCGTCGATTGTCTCCTGCCTCTCGATACGATCCTGCGTCCGGAGCGTTCCAGCCCTCTGTCTTTCTCTCTCCTTCTTTCCCTGCTCCCGCAACGACCGCGTAACGCCGTTTCATCGACGCGGCTCCCTCCCCGCTATCGTGCCAACATACACAATACCGTGGGCACAATGTCGGTAGTTACGTCGGCACTGATCCCCGGTCTACGAGGCGAGAGATTTCCTTTTTTCGAGGTTCTTGCAGCGCTCTCTATTAGCCGGTTTGCAACGCCGGTGCGGGGAACTAGAGCACCGACGAAGACGAGCCACGACGTTCCGTGCCAACGCCCAGAGACGCTCGTCGTAACCCGAAGGTCGTGGCGTTCCGTGGCCGTTGGAACCTCTCGCCGATTTTACACGGCTGTAATACAGCGGCGCTTGGAGCTGAACGCTCCTTCTGCGTCAGCATTAGTAGAAGGCGAAAGCGAGCCCCGGTCGGCTAGTCCAGCCGTAATCCGAATTGATTTTTGCGATTTGTGCATTTGTGTTTCGTGATTTGCTCCGAAAAAGAAAAAGAGAACCGTTTCCACTCTCCGTTCTCGTCCTCCTTTTATTTCACCTTTACTGACCTCTCCTGCAAATCTGCTTTAATTTGTTAAGCTGAGAGCCATACATGTGCGTGTTTATACACGAGCTCGCGTGTACTTTCGCGTATTTTCGCGTTAGGAGAAGTCGTAACTTTTCCTCGCGGCGGGCGTCTCGCTGGGCGCGCGCCGCGTGCCCTCGTCTCTTCGCGAAAGAGAAAAAAAGCGGAGCAAACGGAGATACTCCTTCCCTTTCCGTGTCTCCGATTATTATATCTGCTGATACTTGTCACGTATAAAAATTCCCCAGCGAATTTTACCCCTAGGGGCAAAACGAAGCAAAGCCCGCAGGAGACGTGCGACGCAAATCCCAATCGATTCGCATCGCGAGGTTAATGCGACGACTTCCTGCGCACATCTGGCGAGGTTTCATTGACATTTCACCTGGAGCGTTTCGCACGTATCTCTCGCTATCTCGACCTCGCACACGCCTATCGCCGAGCCTCGAAAAACTGCCGTTGCTCATGTGTGACGATCGACAAGAGCCGCCCAGACACTGAGGTCACACATACACAGAAGTCATGCAACATACACCACATACAGCCGAGGCGTTAAGCTCTTACGCATGATTATTCTTGGCATCCGATCGCGAGTCCCTTCCCCTCCCCCTACCCTCTCTCCCAAAAAAATGGAAACTATCGTTCTACATCACGCTTTTCTTAATATCGGGCTGACGGGCGCCTGGCCGGATCGATCTTACAGCGATTCAGGCGACGCCGAGCGTCGAGCCTTCGACCGCGCGACAAAATACTGCGTCTATTTACCGTTACGTGAATTGTCGTGCAGAAACGAGTTCCGGCCTATTGTCCCGATAATTCACCAGGTGATACCTATACAAGTACACCGCGGTAACCTCCTGTGCCTCGGGCTAGACGGGCGGGTCGCTCGATCCCGCTGGCGAGACCGGTCTTCCCTCGGCCGCATGAATCATCCGGTCGTTTGTACGACAGCTGCCCGGCTTTGGACTCGAGGCATCCAGTCGTTTCGCGATACGACCGACGATCGCCCGCGCGCCAGCTCGGCGACCACCAACGCGTTGGAACAATCACTGCCTACGATTGTTCCACGTCGTCCGTTCGCGGCATGTTCCATTCGACATTCGATTCGAAAATTTTTCGAGTTCGAGGTTTACTCAGGTAAAAAGGGATCAGACGGGTCGCGAGTGGTGCGAGCGACGTATTATTGTGCCACCTCACTTCTCGCCGGCTGGCGTCTGGCGATCGACGAGACGCCGAGACGGCAAAAAAAAAGAAAGTAAAAAAATATTAGAGAAGCCTAAATCGGTCTCGACCTTGACGCGGCACGTACAAGCGTAGCGTTTCTTTGAAGACTCGTCGTGGATTACGTCACCAGGGACCGTCCGTCCTACGTCCGGGACGATCGCGTTACCCGTGAATACCCAACGTTCTATCGCCGTTAGTCCCGCGATCTATGGCCTCGGATTCCGCGTCGCCGAAGGTCCTCCCCGCGGCTCTCGCGGCGATCCTCACAACGGGCACTTTCGGCGAAAGAGGGGCGCCACGATGCCGAGGACCGGTAGTAGCGGTATTGCATGGAACACTGGGATGTGCAATGGACGATTCATTATTGCATGTACATATATATACACGCGTTATACATGTGTATATAACGTTATATAGCGCAACCTCGGAAAAACGTAACAACGCACAAGAAAAAATCGTGTCTTTCTCCTCCTGTCCTCTCCCGTCGTGACGATCGCGCGGCCGGCCTCCTCTGATCCGGAGGGGGGACGATCAAAACGTCCTTTCCACTCGTCCCTTTCAACCCCTCTCCCCCTCTGTTTTTTGGCCCTTTCGTGTACGCGCGCCCGCGAGAAGCGCGACAGCTAATCGCGTTCGTATACGATCTAATTGCGACGGACGCGAAGGGCGGGCGACCGCGACGGCACTCTGTGTGTGTATGTGTGCGTATGCAATGGCCGCTGTTTACATGGCGCCATGGCGAAATCCCGTCTCTCATCTCGTCGCTCTCTCGCCGCGAGATTCCGTGACGCATACGTGTCTGTATACATACTTACTACGCGGACAGGGCAATGATTGATTTTCAATTACGTCAATACGATTCTCCCTCCCGCGTTAGCTTGCCCTCGGTGATCCTCGTTACGGTCCCCAGTAACGAAGGCTACGTGACGCATCACGACTCGATTCTACTTGTATATTTCGGGAAATCTCGCGCGCGCGCGCGCGCCGGCAGCCTGTGACATCACGTCTCCGGTGACTCCTCGTTCTCGGGGACGGTCGACAAGAGCGAACTTCGGAATTTGATCGATTCGCGGGATTCGGCGATTCGAGAACGCCGAATTTCACGAGCGATCCAAGAGCCGATTATCGCGCGCGGTTCACGCGCAATCACAAACGTCTCGGTGTAGTACATATCGTGTTACTCGCGGAAGATGCTGAACGAACGCACGAGTGGCACTCTGGCTGGTTAAGTGAATGGCCCCCTAAATAGATAGTAACGTGATCATAACATCTGGCCGACAGTACGGGAGAAAGGATGGGGAAATAGGAGAAACTGATCCCTGACATTCGAGACCATGGTCTCCAGCAACAGTAAATCCTGGGATCGACGGGCCGCGTAAATCCGAGTCTGCCAAAATGCAACGCGTAATACTGTGAAGGAATCGTATCCCTTCTCGGTTCTCTCGCGAGCGAAATTCGACGCGAGCCTCGTCAAGTACGAACGGCGAATCGGCTCTCGGGGTCGACCGCTTTGGGATCTTCGAACGTTCCGAATTGCCGTATCGCGGAAATTTGATAGTCTCTACCTGCCGGAGATTCACCGAGATTCTCGTTCTCGTCCCGTCGTTCGCACACACACTTCAATCGGGTTACGTCCGCTGCACATTCGCGAGGATGGATGCGTGGTTTAGGAAGGTTCTCGGATTCCCATTGGGACTTGAGGAGGCAAGATGAGGCAGCGTGAGAGTTCCAACCGGGTGTGGAAAATAAAAATGCTTCGGTGCGAGCGAGACGCACCTCCTTCTCGGAGATCCGCCATTTTTCTTATGCCACCACATACATGATGCAGTAGTGAGTAGACTGCTCGCGTCGTGCACCACGTGACGCGTGACAGCATGTGCCCTCTAGCGCCTAGTAGGCGCGTAAATATGCATAGATACGCGCCCAAAGTCGGTGACGTCGTCGACACTCGAGCGTTTTTAAATGCGCCAGATTCAATCCTGCCACAATTATTAATTCTCTTACCGTCACTTGACAGTCCCATTTGATTGAATTTCGTCTCAATACGAAAGTATCGCGTGCAAAGAACGTATTATATTTAAAGAAATGAAAATTTCGTCTTGTAAGATCCTAAAGACGGAATTACCGAAATTAAGAAGTTTTTCGAACTTTCAGTTGTATTCGATAAAATAATAAATTATAATTCCTGTAAACTTAAAAAGTATCAACGCAAATTAGTCGGCGAATTAATCATGCACAAATGAATTGCTTTGAAATTTTAAAAAAGCATCTGATATCAAAAAAATTTTTAAACATTCACTTATAAATAAATCACTCTATCTTACAAGCAAATATTTAAATAAAAGTGATTCAAGCGAGAGATCGAGTCATTTCGGTAAGACGAATGACATGACAAGGCTAATAATTACAGTTCCTTGTATTTATTTGTGACATTTTCTTTCTCGACTTCACGTAATATAATATTCAGTAACTTTATTTACAAGTCATCGACCCACAGTGCACAGACTAAAACGTACTTTAGCGTTTGCTCGGGGAATCGATTTATTTACAAAAAACGTGTCTTCGAGTTACGGAACAATCTTTAAGGTCGCGAATGCATCCAGGACAGGTGTCACGTTCGCAAATTTTCTTTTTTTTTTCTCCATTCAATGAAAGCAGAAGTGTAATCACTGCGTCTTATAAAAAAGATCAAAGCGAATGTTCCTCCGCCACGCGGTCACAATTTCTCCGCTTCCGCTTCTGTTCTTCCACCAAATATTGGTAAGACAAGCTTCGCCGTCGTCCAAGAAACGCGAAGCTAAATGTAAATGCGATACGCCGCCGAAAAACAGTAGCAATCTCCTTTTGTGTCTCAAGAGAATAGAAATCGCTAGCCACCAAAGCCGACATCAATATATTCGACGAAGAAACGCGAGGTCCCGAAGAAACGTTCCCCGAATCTCACCATTTTTAACGCTAGAACGACCGGCTCTTTCGACAGATTTCTCACAATCGTGTTCTCAGACAATTTAAAGATAAATAAAAAGACAACCTTTCAATACGACAGAAACTAAGTTGCAAGTCAGAGCGAATGAAAACAACGAAAATGAAAAGTCATGAAACGATTTTAAGTCAGCAGTTATCTCAATCATTCGATCGATCGGTCGTTCCAGTGTTAGAACATCCTCTAAGAAGCTCGTTAAAAATTGTTCCCTCAAGTTGTTTCGTGCCTCTCCATTGAGGAACCAATTTTTATACATACTACACGCTTTTTTTACTTTCAAGTGTATTCGACACTTCACGCTTCTTGTTTATTTGTAGCAAAATAACGTTATCATAGCAAATTCCAATCTCTCTTTTTTTTCGATACTTGCACTCAAATATCATGGTTGAACGACTTAAATTCTCTCTACCCTTCGTTTTAGAGTGCTTTGTATATGTACTTGTGGACGCTCGAGGTAAACCTACAATGATAAATCGGTCCGAGATACAATCTGAAAGATCGTCCTCGATACGTTCGCCAGATGAAAAAAATGTCGACGAATGGAAATGCTACAAAAACGAAAAAAACTCTCGCTCTGTCTCTCGTGTCGCGAGCATAGAAATATTATTTATACCATATAAAGTACTTCCCTCAATCCTACGAACGCAACGAGTACATTTTAACATAACGTTAGAGTCCCATGAACAGTTTTGCATTTTTCAAAATTTCGCCAGTTTTAAAATTCATGAATATCAATTGCTCACATGTATATCATATTCATAATCATCATCTATGTGCAAATTACTTTCGCTATTCATATTTCCATATTGTATTACTATAACGCGTGTATATGTGTATATATATATATATTTCATTATATTAAATATAAATAATTATATATATTTATATACATATGTTAGTATATATAAAATATACATAATTTAACACATTAATATATCAATTAAGATTAGTTGTTGAATGTAAATAAGTGTTACGAATAGTAACACTTACGTGTATGTGTGTTACTGTAGATAAGCTATCTCCTATAAAATATTATCGTGGTATAAAGAAATTTTTTACACATCGGATAGCAAGAAATCATTTATCTTTTGAATTTACATAAATAAAATGCTCAGATCTGATGGTGAGAATAAATCAATGTATCACTGACGCATTATTCACGTTATGTCTAATATAAAATACTTCGATTATAAAATTAATTTTACATTACTTCTGTGATTTCAAATATGCAAATTTACTTCATAGTTCCTTATACAACTCCCCGTATACGATTATACGTAAAAAAAAAGATTATCATATGCAATGAACTATGAATGAAAGCAATACTTTGAAATCAGACAAGGTAACTCGTTTATATAGATGTCAAGCAATTTTTTTAGCAAAAGATATATACTTTCTTTCAACATGAAATAATTATTTTTTCTCTTGTATGCAAATACTTTTTTGCGCAAGTTATTTTGCCTTTCTGTAATTCTTAAAGATATGAGAAGATTTTATAGTTCATTGCGTGTTTAATTTAAAAAAAAAAAAAAAAAAAGAAAAAATGCTATTATTCACGCATGGGACTCTAACAGTACAGTTAAACAGTAAACAATATCTCCTTTCGAAATGTAAGATAAGATAAACTTTTAACAGAAGTCATCGGTTCAAAGCTGGTCCGACGAAAGCAAATGCATGTTGCAGCAACAGTATCAATGTCGATCGAAAATTTTTTGAAGTTATGCAATTAAATTTGATCCTTTATTGGCTGGTGGAATGTTCTGTTCGTTTTCTTTAATTAATTCTGCGAAACAATTCTTCTATGTATCTTCCGAGCTTCTTTATTAAGAAACAGTTCGATCTATATATCACGTTCGATCAGAATAATGACATCTCAGCACTCTCACGCGCTCTTCTACACACGAGAAGTATATATTATGTATTTTATTTTTATAATATATGCATGACTTGATGTCACATACTCATCATTTTATTTCGTACGCTTTTCGTGTTAATAAGGTCGCCATTGTTTGCAGTAATACGAATAGAATATTAAATATGACACCACCACTCTGTGTAAGTAATTGTAATCAGGTGCTAGCTTGCAATTCACAAGTTCGAGGAGTCCGCGTATTATTTGCCTAAGGGGGTTTTTGCAAGTCCCATTGTAAATAAGCAAGCGTGACGTTATTTCTATAAATAATACTATATTTAAACGTATCGACTATCTAGTTCTTATTCTCCGCTGGCGACAACGTTAAGTTTTTACGTTAAATACATATATATAGTATATAGACTATATTCTCTTGCTCGACTTGCTTGACAGCAATAAAAACATCGTTTTACTTCGTTCCGAATTTAAGGAACGCAACGGTGCTTTCAGTACTTATCATCGCAAAATACAGTCTCACTGTATATCCCTCGCGGTATCTCTTAATCAATGAGAAAATGAGAGCTTAGCACAAATGCGCTCTGAAATAAAAACGTTTTGAAATCAACTGCTCAAGTCGCCAGATCTATCTTCAGATTCTTGCTTCGTAATGAGGAAATACATAAGAAACTTGCAGTCCTATCTTAGGCAAATAGATCTTATCGTGTGTTGTCATTTAGAAAGTACGCATATGAAGCTCTAACAGCTCGTCATATAATCAACAATAAGAATTTTCACTTTTTTTTCAGTCTTATAAACAATACGTCGTTTTAGTAGAAAGCTGTCCACTTCTTCGCTCTAACGCGCTTCATCCTTAATATCATAGACTATTCTGTACATTTGTAGTTTCTAAATAACATTCCGCGAAACTTGGAAAAATGGCTTTCACAAAAACGATATCGGAAATCCTTTTCGACGACAAAAGAAGATCTTTCGAAAGAGAAAATATCATCCAACCGATCAATCAATCAACTCTAGTCCTAATCAAAATACATGGCGTTACTTCGATAAACCTCTTTGTCTTGATACGAAGACTCGATAAAAAGATCTACGTAGGCGAGCACCATTTTGTAATTTAGCAGCGTGTATACCCAGCATTCGTGTAGGGGATGTTACACAGGTGCTTCGGACGTAAAGGGGGGGATGTACCGAAGAATACCGATTCTCCGACCGAGTAGTAGCGTTACCAATGCAATTTCGTGCTTGCAAAATTGAAACGTAATTCGAGTACGGTGTCACTTTAGTTATGCACTATGGTTGACGCGTGTTGAAGTCTCTCGAGCTCCTCCAACGACAGGACGTTAGTTTGTTGTGCAAGCTCGGGAAGCTTACCGGCCCGAGCTTGGGCGAGGAGTTCTGGGCTGAACCATCGCGCGAGTTGATTAGACGTTGGCGAAAGATCACCTCCGTTACTGCCCACAAATCCGAGGCCCGGCGAAGGTTGGCGGCCGACTGCCATGTTCAGCTGCTGCGATCGCATTGTCTGTCCATCTGCACATATATAATTCAATGTTGCAACAGACATTGTCGTTTAAAAATAACAAGGACAAATATTATATATATATATATATATATGCGGATTAATCACGCAAGATACTAAAAGCGAGAATACTTTGCCAATATTATTTATGTAATCTGATACTGTTAAAATTCTCTAGTGTAAAGCATTTCAATGTAGTTAAATAATTGTTTACTTAGTTTAATCCAAAGGGGGATAAATGATGTCAAGACAGGATTAAAGGAGAGCTAAGGATAGTTTGTTATTTTTCCGATTTCTGAACACCATTGCACACAATTTGATTTGGAAGGGAAGAAACACCTGAAAATCATAATGTAAATAGGATAAGGAGGGTTTTTGGGGATTTGACAAATATTGATGTTTAGAGGTAAAAATCGGGGATCTTTCGACTTGTTAGAGAAATTATTTCAAAACGCTCGCAAGTTCGTACTTCGATCGAATTCATTACCTGTACGATTAGAATTGTAGTTTTGGCTCATGACAAGTTGCATCGGCGTATTTACACCCCTCTGCGGTGGTGGTTGTTGTTGCATGTTAACGGCTCCGTGCGGTGGCGGTTGTTGTTGCATGTTAGCGAGATGCGTTGGGACTTGCTGCGTCTTCATCTGGGCGTTCATAGGATTCGATCTCTGATTCATAATCGAGTTCTGCGCTACATTGTATTGTGGAACATTATGATGCGGCGGTAACGAAGTAGCCATCGTGTGCTTGGATCGTGCTGGATTGCCGTAAACATTCGGCATCGTTCTGTGCTGCTGCTGCTGCTGCTGCTGTTGTTGAAATTCCGCATTTCCCGTATTATATTGGAACTGATTGCTGTTCGTGTTGCTATTATTACCGCCTTTCACTATAGGTCGACCTGAAATCAGAACTGTGATATTAAAAATAGTCGTAGACAGTTACATCACATTGCCAATCTCAAAATAAGCCTTTTCAATGATATTTTATAAAAATAAGACTTTCATAATGAAAAAATTCTCTTTAACTTTATAAGATTTAAAAAGAGGTGAACCTGGATGTTGTTTAAGCGATGGATTCGACCATGTTGATTGAACAGGTTGCGATCGCAATGCAGTGTGTCTCGAGAGAGCTCCCTGTGCAAGTAACTGAACCGCAGCCGATTGCATTTGTTGCATTTGAGAAGCCGGAGTTTGTGTAGACAATTTGGGTGGTTCATTGCTGCTTCCTATATTCAGATACACAATGATTTTATGATTATAAACAATTATATGACTTCAAAGTTTAAAATATAAACACAAACGTTAATGCTTTCTTTTTCTTCCAAAAATTTAATAATATGAATATTCAATAGTTTCTTATCGAAATTAAAAGCTAAATTTGTCATTTTTTTACATGTGTGTATGTATATGTGCATATATAAATGCTATACATACACAATTTGTAAATCAATTAAATATTTATTAAATATTATTCACTGACTTTCTCTATTTATATTATCAATTTTCCTATTACTACTTTTTATCAATTATCTCATGATCATTTCTATATATTACCATTACATAAAATTACGAGAATACACGTTAATCGTAGTAATGATTATATTAAAATAATAATAAATGCAGCTGTTTTTACATATTTATTTACATTATTCATTTTCTGTAAAGCATAGCACATGCAATTTTTTGGCAAGCATAAGGATCAAGCAATGTGGCATAATTAGAAAAATAAAAATAGCAAGTTCAATAGATTGGAAAAGATGCAACATTAAAAATAGGAGAAAAGCGTGTGTAAAAAAAAAAGAAGTTAAAGCAGGTGAGACAAGATCAATAAAGCCTTTTATTATAAAAAAACTATTTCAACATACTATTCAAAAATGTAATAAATCTATGTTAAGAAATGAAGAGTTTATTTTATAAAGTGCTTCTTTTTATCACATATAAAATAAAAATAATATTTCAAAATATCTGTCACATTAAAGAGAGACATCTTTCAAGCTTCTAAAGCACGCCGCGGACATTTAAACGAAGAAACAAAACAGCTGCTTTCCATTATAACGCAAAAATAATAAAAAGAAAAAAATAGCTCTAAACAATTAAGAATTCGCTATTTTATGAAATATTAATGTGCACTTTATCAAACTCCTCATCCACGCAACAGTACAATTAAACGTTTCAACCAGTTGTGATTAAAGTAGCATTTTGCAAATCAACGTTCTTTATTTCGTCTGATGGCGTAGATGCGGTCATTTCATTTTCGTCTACCAACGTTTCCAAATCAGATGATTTTTTTAGTGCCTCACTAAGCGAGACACAATCATTATTGTTGGTATCGTTATCAACATCTACTACATCAGACTTTGTTGTTTTTGCATCGTCGTTTGCATTTTCATTAACATCAAGGAAAACATTTTCCTTCGTTGTGTTAATATTCGAATTATCTTCAGTATCATTTTTCTGTTGTACTGGGCACAAATATTTGGTCTTTAATGCTGATTCCTCGGTATCAACAGTGGTACTGTTACTTTTATGATTAACTATAGCAGAACGCAGGAAGATCATTTTAAGGGTCTCATTTTGCACCTGATTGACAGAATCGGAAAACTTAGATTGATTAATGGAAGAGGCCGCGGTGTGCATCCGATTATTATTTCGGGGCATGCGAGAATTAATGTTTCCATTAATTGCAGAAGTGATAGAAGAGGTCGTTTCTACTTGATTCGCACCGTCAGGTTCCTTATCAGCAGTCATTTTACGTAAAACGGAGGTTGGAGTGAAAGCAAGCGGACTCGATGTTTGCTTAGCTGGTGAATTAACAGGGCTCGACGCGCGCTGCTGCTGAACTTGCTGTTGTTGCTGCTGCTGCTGTTGTTGCTGCTGCTGTTGCTGATCCTGTCGCTTACGGAAATTCTCACGCTGCTCCTCCAATTTCTTCTTGATTAAAGCACTTTGCATTATAGACTGAGTATGCATAACAATCTCCCTTGGCGACGGTACTCTATGCGGTATCACTGTTACAATAATAATTAATACACATGTATACATTTCATTCAACTTTAGTGTAATATCGCCTGACACATAATTTAGATTGAAATAACTTGTCGAATTGTATTATTACACGTAGCCTCTTTCTTATTTAACTTTAATCAGAAATATTTTTACATATGAAAAATAAAAAATATTAAAAAATTATAAAATACACCGTTTACATTGTTTATTTTACCTGGGTGTTGTACTGTTAAAGTACTAGGACTAGCTGTTAAATTTGGCGATATTATCGGAGGTGGGCAATAAGCTGCATTCCAAATACAGTATAAAATCGTTCAATTTGATAAAAATTATAATTTCTAAATCTTCAATTTTCGTAAGAAACTAGATTTTTAATTTTTATAAGAAAATAAAAATTTAGAAGGGATTATTAGCATGTAAAACGTCTTACCGTTATTCATAGGAGACGGAATTCTTTGCTGTTGTTGCTGATATAGCATCTGTTGCAGGATGTGATCTTGAGGGATAGGAGCAGCGGGATGAGGATGCGGACTTATAGTGCGAGGTGTGGTGCCACCGTACATTTTCAAAATGTTCACCAACACTTCTCGATGACGATGCTGCATTGCAGGGTTCTATTTAAAAATAAATTTTTAAGAATCTTTATTATATTCTGTAATAAATGCGTGTAGTTCATTGCAAATAATCATAAATAACTGACCTGCAACTGCTGTATTAGATGTTGCCTAGTGATCTCCCCTTGCTGTAAACCTTGAATGATTGCTTGGGCTTCCGGTCGTTGCAAGAGCTCTTGGCTCGACGGGACGTTATTTATCATCATTTGCATCTCCGTTGGCACTGGACTGACACCTAACATCCGCTGATTGCCCATCATCATCGACAGCATATCGGAATGTCGTTGTTGTTGCTGCTGCTGTTGCTGCTGCTGCTTCTGCTGCTGCTGTTGTTGTTGCTGCTGCTGTTGTTGTTGTTGCTGTTAATATTCGTTTGTCAAAATTCATCGCATATTGATCGCTAAGCAAAGAATGACATTTATTATTATACCTGTATTTGCAAGACTTTCATTAGATTCTCATGTTGCATCTGAGCCTGATGCGGATGTTGTGTAGGACCAAGAGGACCAACGTGATTAAATGTCGTAGTATGAATGGGTTCTGAGGGCGGCGGCTGCTGATGTGGCATCGGCGGTTGTTGGGTTTTCAATTGCGAATTAAGTAGCTAAAAGGCAAAAAAATGAAAGAGATGTTATGTGACCAAATGAAAGAGAAATTATACGTCTTAATTAACACAGCCAGAAAAATGAAATATAAATACTTACTTGCATTAACGTTAAAGGTTGTTTTTGGGCGATAGGTCCGTTAGCTGCAGGCACAGCTTGTCCTCCAGTCACTTGAGCAAGCTAAAAAAAAAAAAACAAAAGGATTTTCATTTTAATACATTTGTAAAACAAAGCAAAGTTAAAACTATCATATATCGACTTACCAGTTTCTTAAAAGCAGAGAGATCTTCTTCAGTCTTATTTACACGGGGTGCATCAGTCGAAGTCGCAGGTGGAGGAGCACCACCCCGCATACGTGCTTCCAATTCTTCCAAACTGTGCACAACTTTGCCACCAACTTCTAAAAAGGAATCGTATCACATGTCTCACTGCGATCTGTTTACTCGACGGCAATATATTTATCCAAACGATATATCTTACCTAAATCTTTAATAGAACAATTCTTCATCATAGGTATAGTCGCATTACTCGCGTCACCCTGACCGTTTTGATTCGGCTTATTACCACGATGTAACATTTCGAGCAACTTAACGCCATTTGTGGTTGTGTTAGCATTGGTCGTGTTGGCCGGAGAAATTGGAACGAAGTACGTGTTCGATTCCGTCACCGATGGTATTTGAATATTTGGCTCGGTAATGTCGTTCAACAGATTGTTCAGCAACTCATCTTGTATGGAAGCTCTACGACTATCTGCCTGAACTGGACTTTCTCTTTTGAACCATTGGCTGAATCGCGAACCGGTACCACTATTCGATCCAACTCCATTCTATAAATAAAAAGGAAGAAATTTGCTCGTGAGTGACGTAAAGAAATTAAATAATTTTACATGTTCAGGATGAAAATATGACTGTATGACTCACCGTTAACAGCCCAGAGACGCCAGCGAACGTATCAGATTTCAGGAACTCATCCAGATTAAAATCGGGATGAGAGTTCTCTTGATTCTGATTCGCGCTGGAGTTCTCTCCTCCCGATTCGGACGTCGGCTCGATGACAGTGCTCTCACTGACGTCGTTCTCCTTGTTCTGAGCGATAGACTGCTCAGTCTGTTCGGAGATCGGAGAGTGCGGCGCCGGCACAGCGTTCATAGGCTGATCCATGACGGTCGGAGTGCTGCGTCCTTTAGGGCCCGCCGAGTTCTCGCTCGGTTTGTCATCCTTCTCCGTGGCGTTCCTCTTGCCCCGCTTCTTTTGCGCGGGCGTTTGCTTCTTACTTTTGGCATTACCGCCGCTCACCACCTTCTCCTCCGGAATATCCTCGAAGCCTCTGAGCTCGATCGTGTCGTGTTGCGACGTAGGTCCCGAGCTGAACCATTCCGGCTCGTCCGCGTCGCGATTGTCACTGTAAGTCCGTCGACGATCGTTGCCGAATCTCTTCTCGCGTCCGCGATCCTTATCGCGATCCACCTGGTGATTGTTCCGCTCCATCCCTCCCCTGTCGCCACGATCGCGCTCCCTCTCGCCGCGATCCCCGTAATCCCGGCCGAATGATCTCCGCTCGAACCTCTCGTCCCGCTCGCGCAGACTGTCGCGATCGCGCTCCCTCATATCGCGATCCCTGTCCCGCTCCTTCCCGTCACGACTATCTCTATTATCACGATCACGCAGAGAGCCACCAGCAGCCGTGCCGGATCTAAAGCCATAATCCGCACGCTCAGACTCGATCTTTTCGTTCTCCGATCTAAAGTCCCATATATCCCGCGTCAAAATCCTGCCGCTACCGATTCGACGAACAGGCTCACGATGGCTGACCTGTGAAGTATTTCGTAAATTGTGTTTATAAACAGAATTTGCAAAGCCATGTAAACGGAGGGTAAGAGATGGAGACGCGTGTGTCCTCAGAACAAAAAAAGGAATTTATCGCTTTTAATGGCCGCATACCTCTGTTTTGCCAATCGGACTCTCCGGACGCCGGTTTGGTGGCTGATTCACGTTAACGAAACATCCCGAATTAAAACTTCTTCGTTGAGGGCTCAAAACGATGCCGTCTTGCTCTTTACGTATTCGGTCTCGTGGATCGCCGTTATTACGTCGCTTACTATGATTCTCAGTGATTTGATCACCACGTCCAGTCCTTTCTTCCTTCGGGGGTGTATCGCTACGCTTTCTATCCGAATGCCAGCGTTCGGGATCCCAAACGCCCCGTGAGCTGCAAGAGAGAGAAAAAATATTCGCAATTAGCGAGACAAATGTCACATCTCGATCATTATTCGAGACTCTAAATCTTACTTACTTATTATAAGCGTTATCTAGAAATGTAGGCCTACGTCTAGATAATCGCAAATTCTTTATCAGCATTAAATCCTCCTGAAAATACAAGAACAAAATATAATATATGTATATACATACGTCGCACGGAGCAAAACTCCGACGTGTGATTTTGCGAAATTCCAACACTTTCAAAATATATACGATATTTACCCGAGAATATTGAAACTGTGGTCTAGAACGGCCTACTTCCATGATCGAAGCGTCAGTCACCTCACCGGCCAGCGACATCGATATAATGGCTTCATCTCCTGTAAAATAAAAAAAAAATAAAAAAATTAGATAATCGTGATGTGAGGAAAATGCGAATCAAACTCTTCGTCGAGTGTGTCCTCAAATTCCATCGGAATTTAAAACAATGGCGAACTACCGAGAACTCTGATCGCGCATTCTTTACAGCCGACGGTCGCGTTCGTTCGTTCGGGGAAGACTTTTTTTTTTTGGCGCAACGCGCGCGGTCGTACTTACGTAAGGTCACTCGCTTTAGAGGATTGATAGATTTGTTTTTCCGGAACCAACGGCAGGACCTGGTTTGCATAATCAGTACGTCCAAGAATGGAGACCCGGTCGGGCCGACCAGCGGTCGTCTTCGCGGTCGGCGGTACCAATTCGAGCCGATAAACCGATCAACGGCGAGTCTCATCGTGATATATCGTTTGTCTCCTGCCTCGTAATAAGCGCGAAGAAAGCCTTTCCTATCCGTTTCGGCCGCTCTGCCTCTATCTAACTGTTGGGCTGTGCGTTTCCTCGCGCAACCGTCTCGGCGATGAATGTAAACAAACAGGTGAAGGGCAAACGAGGATCACTAAATTCCCGAAATGAAATCCCGTCACAAATACGTTGTCTCGTGAGTCATTAGAAAATGAGATTCTTCAACAAAAGATTCTGTCTCTTGAAAGTCCGCTCCTCAAAAAAAGCCTTCAGTGAGAGATCCCTAGGTGTATCCCTAAGTATATCGGAATCTATCTTTTTCTCTCTTTTTTTTCCCTTGTCCTTGAGATCGGCGAAACGATTCCAGGTAGACTCGCCTCCTTGTCCCTCGCAGCAAAATAGTTTGGAAAAAACAAGCTCTTGTTTTTTTTTCCCCCCTGTGCTTCTTCGTAAAAGAGAAGAAATGCTAGATGTACGTGTCCGACTTTTTGAACATACCAGAGGCTTCAGAATCGCGTATATATGTTCACGATATTTTATCGATATCGAAATAATTATTTGCCGTTAAAGATATGGTCGTATCCGCTGTCTGTAATATCACTCGCACAACTTAGATACAGAAACGAGTATATGTAAACCGTCGTGTAAGCAGAGTACAGTGCAGACTGACTGATTCAAATCGTCCTCGGCCAAGATAACAACTCTCTCGCAAGCCAATCAAAGCTTTCCTATGACGATCCAAGATGGATGAGCGCTTGATTGGCCTGACAGGGATTATTTAAATATAACTGATTCTTGTCCAAGAAAATTTCTAGAAGTTGCGACTGAGCCCACACAAGTAAAAAGTACACGTAAATCCGTGTATGATCACAATGTGATCAGATCAACCGTAGGATATATCATATCGAAATGCACGTAGAAGAATATTCTTAACTTAATTCTGGCAATTTATATATGTGCCTTCTTTTATGCGATAAGTTGGAAGTGGATGTGGACACATCATATTGTGTGGAATGCACGTAGAAGAATATTCTTAGCTTGATCCTGGAAATTTATTTATATCCTCTCTTATGTCTTTGATATCTTAAAGTATGGAATTTTGTTGGAGTAAAATTCAGTAAAATATTCACGTATACGATAGATGTGTCTGATATATGAATGCATAGAACCCCCAAAGATTAATATGGGAAAAAGAACAGAATTAATTGGAAGAATTTAATGCCAACGTTGAGGCCGCAGATTCTATAGAGACAAACATCCTGATAACAAAGGAAAGCGAGGCAAGACAAATGTTATTAAAGCAAATTTCCAATGCCATTCCTGTTTATGTATTATGTATCTTAACAATAAATTCGAAAAGACGAGTGAATTGTAAAGAAAGGAGATAAATGAAAAATGATAAAAAGGGCTTCGATTTGTGCTGTTTCTATCAGTTCTTGCATAAAATCACTCACAGATATTAATTTATATAGATAGGTAGGAAGCAGACAGAGAGACATCGCGAAAACAGATTAAAAATCTATAAAGCGATTTGTTTTATATATTAAAATGAGTACTTCAATCGTTCGCAATCAAACAAAGAAACAGAAACGAACCGAAAATATGCGTTTCTTCGAATTCACATTAATTTCCATCGCGCGAGAATCGACATTGATTCTGCTGTTTTACTGCGCTCTCGCGTTTGAATTTTCCTCTTTCTCTCCATTTCCAGCGGAGGAACTTAACATTTAATGAGAGAGAAAGCAAACAGATCTTATTCCCGTAAGCGAGCGAACTCGCGAGGTTATCTCCCGACGTCGCTCGTCGACGGAGGATCTCGGAGGATTTCCTGGGCGATTTCCAGCGTCGCCTCGGAAACGAGAAGAGACAAACGATAAATCGACTACGTACCTTCTTCCTTCTTCGAGGCCGCCGTCGCAGCCGCTGTCACCGTCGTCGTTGTCGTTGTCGCTGCCGCCGCCGCCGCTGTTGTTGTCACCGCCGTTGTCGCCGTAGCTGCTGTCGTCGTCGTCGTCGCGGTGGTCGTCGCCGTCGACGATGACTGCTGCTGCTGCTTGTCACTTGTCACAGTCTCGACGGACATCGTCGCGCCGTTTGATCGCGTCGTCGGCCTTCGTCGATCGGCGGAGGGTGGAGGATGCGGTGTGTCCTGCGGCTGCCGATACCGGCGATTCCCGTCTCCTTGTTGATCTCGCTATCTCTTCCCCGAGATGCGATATCTATCTATGTCCTCTCGTACACACCATACACGAGCGGTGGTGGCACACGTAACACACACCCACAGACAAGTACACACACACACGAAATTGCGGACGCGCGTGCGAGCGCACACACAAACACACACACAATGGAGGATATACACGCGCGCGCGCGCGGACGCACGGGACGCGCGCGATCGCTAAGAAGCTAAGCTTGTGCACGCCTACACGCGCACGCACGCACACACTCGCACACGTATACACGGGAGCGCGCGCACCTTTTACACACTAGTTTACACCTCTAAAGATATATATATCTATATATATATATCTATATATATACGCATATATATATTGCTTAGTACTGTTTAGTATCACAGACTGGTTTTCCCTTCTACGTGTGTCGTGGCTCGGCCAGCGATCGACGAAGCCTCGACGGGATGATGTGTACTTCTTCTTGCAATCGCGCTTCGACGGCGAGATGAACGAACAGTGAACAGAGAGGAGAAACGGAAAGAGGGAGGGAGGGGAAGAGAGAGAGAGAAAGAAAGAGAGAGCACGGAGTATGTTTACTGGTAAGGGAGATTACACGGGAGATAGACAGAGAAAGAGACACACACACACGCACACACACGTACAGCGAGTGAGAGTTTACACGCGAAGCTGCGCGAACGAGCAACGATGGGCCCTGACGATTCCGCGAGTGGCACGATCGAGGGATCTTTCTGTCGCGTGTCGCCGTACAGTCATCTCATGTCACACAAACGCGGCCGATCCCCCCGGTGGTAGCGCAGCAGCCCTCGCCGCCGATCGCCCCGTCAGTCCATCGATCTCGGGGTGTATCACACACAACAAAATAAACGGGCTCGTGTACACACGCGCGCGCACGCACTCGGGTTTCTCACTCTCTCGGCGCGGTGCTATGCAAAAATAGAAAATGGCTGCGCGCGATCCCCACTTCTTGGCACTGCCGCCGCTTGTTTTCCTCCTGCGCCTCGACCGTGGAGTGTGGACTGCCTCTCTCTGGCTCGCTCGCCTTCTACGCGTCTCGTCCACCTTCCTGTGTGCCACAACCACCGATCCCACGCAATGCGCTAGCCGTACGTTTCTCAGCCGAGGGGGATCGGAAACAGGGAGATGGAGCTTACAGCAGAAGTTCCCGGAACACGGTGGTGGTGAGGGACGGGCGCGATTGTCAGGAAGGCGCTGTCGTCGGACACGTCGGGGGGAGGTTCGACGGGCCACTAGCATTCGTCGATCGTTTAAAAGCCCGTTCATAAATCGTCCTCGTCGCGCGGACCGAGTCGATCGCGGCACGCGCGATCGGCCAATCGGCGCGTTCGAAAACGCGCCGTGCGTGTATCGACGATACGCCCGATTGGCCGGCTCGAAATCTGGACTGATATGAATCTGAATCTATGTCCGTCTCGCACGCCAGGCAGCGTGCTGCTCGCACGGTACTTCGCTCTCGGCGAGATAAAATTCAGCGAAATTCGAAATTGACTTTTGCGGTGAGATTCAAGCGAATTCGCGTCTCTGTCACTCGGAAAAGTGCGATTTTTCGTTCGAAAAACTCGCGATTACGCAACCAGGAAGCGGTCGCACGTGACTGGCCCGCGCCCCTCCAAAATTGGTTACCGGCCGATCGAGAATCCCAGATGTTTTCCGAGCGCGACCAATGACGACTCGGCGATTTCTCACAACGCGTGGCGTAGAGCGTTTAAAGACCATACAGAACGCACGTGTTGAGATATGCATTTATGATGATAAATTACAGATTTCATTATGATTGCGAGGTATACGTCCCGTAATGCGAAGCTTTTTATGAATGTTCCATCAGAATTACATGGTAAATGTTTACCGAGTTTGCAGGTTATGTCCGGCTTTAAATTGCTAAATTTTTTTTAAAATTCAAGTAAATAGCAATCAGTTGAGTTTATGCATGCGATTTCATCCCACGATCATGTCCGAGGATCGCATCGCGTTAAAGATGTTTGTCGCTTTTGCAGTGCGATTATCCAGCCTTGCGTTTGTTCCAAAATGTAATCCGGTGTCGACGGAGGATGTGACGAGATTGAAGGAATTCGTGGATAAGCGTCACCGTCTGTGCGTGTTAACCGGGGCAGGGGTGTCCACGGAAAGCGGTATCCCCGATTACAGATCGGCCGAGGTCGGTCTTTACGCCCGAAGCAATCGCAAGCCGATTCTCTACAAGGAGTTTTGCGACAGCGAGGCAGCCAGAAGACGATACTGGGCCAGAAATTGTATCGGATGGCCGAGGTAATTTGTCTTGTGTAATTGAAGCATTCCTACATTACTCTACAAAATTAATTAAATTAAAGATGTATACATCCCTTATCAGCGTTATGCGTTTACAGGTTTTCCTCTCTTCGACCAAACATTACGCACGAGATACTGAAACACATGGAGTACGTCGAAAAGGTGGGATGTGTCGTTACGCAGAATGTGGACAATTTACATCTAAAGGCAGGAAGTAGGAAGGTGATCGAGCTGCACGGAACGGCATTCAGAGTGATGTGTCTTAATTGCGATCATAAGATATGCAGGCACGAGCTTCAAAGAGTGTTTCAGAAACTCAACCCGTCTATGATCGCTGCCACCCAGATGATAAGGCCTGACGGTGATGTAGAATTGTCACAGGTGCATATGATAGTCATATGTATATACTTGCAACATTTTAATCATGTGTATTATAACTATACATATAAATAATAAAATACTATATTAATCTGATGACAAAATGTATTTTTGGCAGGCACAAGTGGAAGGCTTCAACGTTCCTGCTTGCGATAACTGTGGTGGCATTTTGAAACCGGATATCGTATTCTTCGGTGACAATGTACCGCACGACAAAGTACAAAATGTGAAGGCTAATGTAGAGAGTTCAGACGCTTTGTTAATTCTGGGAACGACTCTTAGTACATTCTCCGCATACAGGATTGTATTGCAAGCGATTGATGCCAAGAAGCCAGTAGCAATAGTAAATATTGGCGAGACTAGAGCTGACAAAGTTGTGAACTTGAGAATAGAAGGAAGATGTGGAGACGTTCTGCCAAAGATTTGGCAGCCGAATACCTTAAAAGATTGTATAAGATGATGACAAATGTGATTAACTTTCAAATTATATGCTAATTTAACTGAATTGAATATTATCAAAGATATTTTTGTACAGTGTATCATAAAGTTTTATTATTGTACATATTTATTAGTATCTGTATTGTAAAATGTTTTAAAATTGATAGACATTCAATTAAAAAAAATATATAGTTAAACAAATTGAAATTTCTTGGAAAATTGTATGTTTCTTTTATTTATTTTTCTGTAGTCCATTTTTCCAAGCGATTGATGCCAAGAAACAATAGTAAATATTGGTGAGACTAGAGCTGATAAAGTTGTGAACTTGAGAATAGAAGATGTGAAAACGTTCTGCCAAAGATTTGACAGCTGAACACTTTGCAGATTGTATATAACATAACGACAAATGTAATTAACTTTCAAATTATACGCTAATTTATCTGAATTGAATATTATCAAAGACATTTGTACAGTGTATCATAAAGTTTTATTATTATACATATTTATTAGTATACATATATTGTAACGTTTTAAGATTAATAGACATTCATTTTAAAAAAGTATAATTAAACAAATTGAAATTTCTTGGAAAATTGTATGTTTCATTAATTTTTCTATAATCCACTTTTCCGAATGTTATAAATATTTGTAATACATTAATCTTATCAGTGGGAGGACTTCGCCTCCTTTGCGTTTTGCAAACTTTGCGTGATGTACAATTTTGCTAGACTCTGAGCACAGAATTGCGAGATGTGTTCACTGTACGTATTGATTTGTCCAGCGACAATCATTGGGTTTAGTCTCGGCGGGACTGGCAGAGGTCTCATCAGCTTGTTGATATCGTCGTCGGGCAGCGGTGGCTCGTCCTTCGCGGCTCTGGCAGCGTTCTCCTGAGCTCTCTTGGCCAAGAGCCTGTTCTTATCTTGCTGCTGTCGTACTACCAACTGCTGATACCTGTTGAACTTCATCGCCTCCTGATTCAACTCGTCCACCCGATCCATCAGGCATCTCAACTGGTTCTCCAATACCGTGGCCGTTCCAAGATCCAGGTACTTCGTACCCCGTTCCTCGGGAATCATCTCGTCCAATTCCGACATCATGATATTCGTCAGATTGCTGTTCTTTATAACCACCGGGATCTCAACGAAGAGACTCTCGTATCCAATCTTTAAGGTGCGCAGAGCTTCGGGAGTGAACTCGTTTTCCTTGTACATCTGTATCGCTTGCGGGGTGAGTCGATACGCCTTAAGCGTCAGGAAACCTCTAGCAGACTTGGCCGTGTCGTAAATAAGCACAACCGACTCCTCGATGGAGGTTTGATAGTGGTACTGCGACTCCAGCAGGGACAGATTCAGAAAGTTGCCGACGTCCGCGCTCTGGTACCAGCCGACATGGAAGTGATCGACGTTCACCCTGCGTTAAACAAAATAATATCTTTGGCGTTGGTTCGAAGGCGCTGCTATAATATTAAATCCTATAATATTAGGCCTGTCCTTTATTGCTATGCTAGACTGCACTGTGCATCTCATTTTCGCCAAATCTCAAATATGTATATCTACTTCAAGTATACACCAGTTCAGCCTTACAAATAACAGACCTATTCCTGAATATTCACGTTGACACTCACCATCTCAGCCTTCGCATCATGGCGAGCTGATACTCCTCCTCGTCCATGATCTCGTCGTTCTTGGGAAACGGGAAACAATTGGTGATCTCCAGACGATTCTGCACGACCAGGCCGAGAAGGGCACCCTGGGCGACCTCCATGTTGCCGGAGGACTCCTCGTGGCAGTGCTTCACCATCTTCATCACCACCAGCCCGTCGCATTGCACGTAGTCTATACGCGGCTCCGCCTCGGGAATCCTTCTCGACGTCGCTCTCGAGACCATTTTCTGGGATGGATTTAAACTCTCTCGTAGCTAGAAAAACGCTATAGACAGCTACACTTGGCCAACTGATTGAACTGATGTCAACCGGTCGACAAAGGTTAGGTGAGAAAGACGGCACGCCAAACGTGACGTCACTACACTACCCGCCCTACTACTCTTTCTTCCACGTATTATGTGGCGTTTTCATCACGTCGTTAGAAAACTCGGACTATTGCTCTTGTCGGCCAATCAAAACTCGCGACGCGGACATCACGTTCTGCCGGTCAATAAGCATCGTCCTTTAAATTGTGAACAACATAAAGACGCGCGAAAAGGACACTGTGTTTACGTTGCGCACGTCACAGGTTTGAAATCATCTGGCGAAACGCGAAACGGTCTCTCGTCGACGTTGCGCGCCGTCGACGTCGACGGTGATTGGGATTACCGGTGTGCCTCATGAAGGACCGATAGGTATACATAATACGTAAGACTTGAGTGACGTCGAGCGATTTACATTTTCCGAGAGAGATGGACGAGATACAGGCAAAAATTGGGACTTGGATGGAACTAATACAGTCGGAGAAACTGCAGGATGTGTCAGAGGATATTCAGGTACTACGCTACACACACTCTCTTTCTCTCTCTCTCTCATTCGAAATAATATCTTTCTCTGCAAACACAGTAGTCCCATTGTCAATGTTTTTCAGATGAGCATCTGTATGCGACCTGACAGTAAATTGAATGGCAAAATATTTAAACTGCTACTAGAATTATGTCGCACGGCAGACAAGTGTGATGAACAGAGCTGCGAGACTGGGAAAGGTATTGCTAAATTAGCCAAATTGCTTTGCTCGTTGTTGATCGAGATACCTGATGACAGAAACTTCGTCAAAGCACTGTTTAAAATTGTACAATGTTTAATGTCTTTTAATCTATACGAGGATGCGGCTGATATCTGTTGTTACTTGGAACCTGGCAATTTGTATATTCCCAAAGACGATACCATGATTCTTCTGACCAAAGTGTTAAGCCTGTGGCGTGTTTTAGTTAATGACATATATGTTACTCTTACAAATGAGTCCGTAAACATGGAGAATTATAGCCAGCTGAAAAGTGTCATGAGACACGAAATGAAAATGATTCAGCTGGCATATAGAAATTATATGAAACATTTGATCGCCGCGATAAGCGTAAACTTAGACAGAATAGCGTTGATTGATAAGGACAAGAAATATTATGACGATTTTTGTAAATATATTCTGGAATACTTGTCAGAAGTGCAGTTACATTTGGACAAAGATGAGAAATATGTAATATATTGTCATATACTTCGTATTGTGTGTCACGTAATATGTAGGACTATTAATACAACTGACATTGCATGTACAGTCAAAACGTTAGAACAATTAGCTAGTTATTTCGAGACCGTTTTGAAAGAGGATGAGGAATGCTACCAGTGTTTTCAACAATTCCAAAATTTCTGTAAGGCTCTTTTAGTGCCGATAAAGAATCTCGTCAGCGACGGTGCCAAAAGTATACAAAATGTAATTTATTGTAACTTGGATATTGTGCAAACATACGGACATACTGAATGCCTTAAGTTGAATGCACTCAGCATCGCAGAGGTGATCGAGCCCCTGTTTACATACTGGGAAAATTGTGCAGAGACTGATAAGCACATGTTCCAGCATTTGCTTGATACTGGCATCTTGCCAAAACTATTGAATTTATTTATACATGTAAATGCAGATGAGTTTTACAACAAGCAAGTGTCTATCAAATGCAAATGGTGCGGAGGCAAATTGTGCACAGTTAAGAAGGATTTCTACAATGTCACAGTGATGAAATCTAGAGGCATCAGTTTGGTATGTAAATTTCCTGCTAAAACTTTGCCGGCCGAGGTGTGTACTCTCGCTAGGAAAATCTTGGAGCAAAACGTCGCGTCGATTGTTCGTGAACTAAAGGAAAGCGAATGTAAACGTTGGGTGCAAACGTGGAATGCTTACTGTAGTTCAATTTATAACGTAGGCATACTGTGTGAGCATATTTATGATGAAAGCGTGCGTCTATTCTCCTTTTTGTGTACCTGCATCTTCCAACTCGAAGGAGTCGAATCTAAACATCTCGAAGATTCTAAGAATCTTCAGAAGATTATTTCTTTTGCATTGCACAGACTAAGTGTTGTGCATTACAATAACAAGATGTACAGAAAAGCCATGACTGCGTGTGCATTGAATATTTTGTTGACTTGCAAACAGTCGGACACAAAAGCTTTTCATATGTGGATAACCATTAAAAAGGTCGCCGAAGAAATTGCAAACTTAACTGTGCTGGAGTGCTTGAGGAATGATAAGGACGAGATGAAGAGCGAACTGGGATTTTCACTCGATACTTCCAAGTACGATCTTCCTGAGTTGTATTTACGTGAAGCGAGAAATTTGCTGGAAGGACAGATCACATTTACAAATGGCGTGGAAGCGGTTCTGGACAATCTTAGAAAGCTACAGCCGAGTAATCAATATGCACACGTGGTGCAATTATTAGGATATTATTTCTTGGGTTTCAAATACGATAGCTCTATTCTGAAATATTACGAGCAAGCTATATGTGATTTAAAACTAAATAAATCAAATTCCGTGGCTGTTCTGTGCTTGGAAGCTAGCTTAAGCCTTTTTACGTTTGTGGAGGAGTTGCATATAATGAACAAGCAAACTCACATGGAAATGGAAAATACAAAATTTGCTTTATGCGCTCCCAAGTTGCGCGAGCTAGCCGAGACCAAGTCTCCGAATGTAGTGCCTGCTTACACCATGATAAACGTTAAAAGGGACACCAATCTTATGCTGTGCCTGCAAAAGTCTTTGAAGAAGTGGAAACAGCTATTTAAGTGCTACTTTGTAAGTTATTAAAAAGTATATATTTTTCGTTAGGCTATTATTAAAAGCTTTGCAGTTCGGTTAGGCATATAAAAATATTTCACTGTCCGCAGAAAGAAATGGTCAAGAATTGGGAACCTAAGCTTATACTTCGCATGCTGATAACAGCTGGTGAATATGCTCGATTATATCGATATGAAGATTGCGAAGTTGAAATATGGACATTGGCGTATAAGTTAGCATCGGAAATGAACGATCATGCAACTATTTATAGTACGTTGAGCTATTTTTATTTTATAATAATTAAGAAAAGAATAATTACGTTTTATGGAGATGAGCTAATATGAATTCCGTTACAGTTACTAGTCGTTGTATATCATTGAGACAAGTCAATTACGATTGGATTACGACTGCTAAGAAGCATATCATAGAGCAAAGAAATTCTACTGACGAAAATGTAATTGACACCATTGCTACCTTTTGGATAAGTTTAGCAGACCTCTATTTTGAATGTGGAAAGGTAAGAAATAGTCTGAAATACGCAAAAAATTTTGTCTACTAATATGTAATACATATGTAAAGTTTTCTGTTGGTTTTTTTTTTAGTACGATGATGCCAAGCAATTACTTACCGAAGCTAGGAGTTTTTCAAAAATTTCATTTGTTGCTAACAAATCCTTGTATCTGTTGAGTTTAGACGTTCTCATACGTAATAGCCATTTTTATAAAGATAATATGCAACATGAGGATTACGGTTCATATATTGTGGAAAGTCTGTTTGCAATGAGGTCCTTAAATGTACATCTTTTAACGAAAACATGTAATTATAATTTATTAAACTATTGTTAATATTCTTTATAATGCTAGTATAAAATTACGTCAAATTGTACATATAAGGTGGATGCTAAGTAATGTAAAAAATTTTAAGGAGATTCCTCGCACAAATTCAAGACGAAAACTTCCTATGATATGCATGTGTTCGAAACAGCTTAATTTCAAAGATGTCAAAGTTGAAGGAAAAATTTCGCTTTTCTAAAAAATTTCGAAAATCACTCGGGTTATTTTGATGAACAAAAGTTTTCTTTCAACGATCGGAGGAAAAACACTCCTTGAAGTCTTTTACATTACTTAGTAACCACCCTGTATGTATGTAAAATTACTCGACTATTTACAAAGCGAAATTTTTCAGGGACAGATCAAGCGTCGTATCTTTTCAGTTACGATGTACTATTCACCATGGCAGTCAATTTGTCCATTAGGGTGAACAGCATGTTATCTTTTCGTGGCATTAGCCCGGATTTAGTACGAATCCTGAAGTCGGCACAGAGCATAAACGCGATGCTGCGTACCGCCGAGTTATTGAAGTTGCTATGTTATATCGATCTGTCGCGTTTACAACTGGACGATTGCGAGGTGAAGCTGCAAGGCCTCGAGCACATGTTGAACATCGAGACTTTCCAACTGTCGATGGAGTCCAAACCCGTTGAAACGCCGCAGGTTCATCTCGCGGTGACTCCCACGAAGCTCGTAGACCCTGTCAGAGACGCGTCAGAGTACGGCGCTTCCCCAGTGCTCGGCAAGAAGGTCTTCGACCTGCCGAAATTCACGTCTCACACGAATTGCGATTGCTACAAGTGCGGCAACGTTTCGTATCAGTACTTGGTATTCGCCACCACTTATATCAGAGCGCAGCTGTATGCCCTGCAGAAGCACACCTTGGCGGCGCTCGATCATTTCCACGGTGCTTTTGAAATAAGGCGAAGACTATTCGAAGAAGAAAAATCAGTTCTGCCCGAGAACTGGCCTCGAGACGAAATTGGCGTGAAGCGATTCTCTTGGCAAACACGTTTCTACATCACCGATTACATAATGCTGTTGATCGACTTCAGTTACTTTATGAAGACGAGCGTAACGTCGAGGCAGGAGGATGCATTCGATATTGCCAATTTAGCGGTCAATATGTGCTACAAATACAAATTAGAGGGACATCCTGTCTATATAATGGCTAAGGAATTGACGCTTGATAATGAATTTCAATCGATATTAGAATCTTCAGACGGTTTAAGTATGTACTTTTTAACATATACCTATTTTTTTCCGATGAATTTCGAGTGAAATCTTTACATTTATGTGATAATCTCTGTTGCAGAGTTTATGGTTCCGCAGCCACATGACATTGATATAGGTGTCCATGCAAAAGTCCCGATTGATCCGAAAGTTTGTGTCACGCCATGCGCTCAGAATCGTGCCTCGAAACCTCTTTCAGTTCGACGTAGAAAGAGCCCAAGGGTTTTGAAGATACCTAAAATTAATTTGATTTGGAGTGACGACGAAGATGACAATAGTGCATCGCCACCACCACCGCCACGACCATCATCAGTCACATATACGAATAAAAAATCCAAGTCGCGTACAAATTTAGTGAAAAGAAAAATTTTGGAGGAAGACCTAGTGGATGATGTAGCTAGTTTAAGTATAGAAGATTCGAAAGAAACAAAGTCGGAAAGTCTGAATGAGAATGAAAACAGTATGCAAGAGAAATCGACAAGGGATATTATGATTAAAGTGACGTCTCTAGTTCCAGATATATCGAAGAATTTAATGAATTTAGTAGACAAGTCAGATTTACCTGCCACGATGGAAAACGTCGAAAAATTGATAGAAAATATAGAAAGTCTGAAAATTAAATCAAACACAAGGAGAAAAAATGTTAGGGATACGAAACTGTTAACAGTCGCTGATTTCAACAGGAATATAAATCGGGCCGTAGAATTACTGAAAGACATGACAATAAACGAAAAGACAAATGAAAAGATCGATTCTTCCACGCCGACAAAATCTGAAAAAGTTGATAAATTAGCAGATCAGAAGATTCCAGAAACGCCTAACGAAAGAAAATTCTTTAAGACTAGAAGATTGAAGGAAAGCTTAGAAAAGGCGAGTACACCATTAACGAATAAACATAAGACTGCACGAAGTAAATCTCCCAGATTACTTATAAATAATGAAGACAGTACGAGAACGATAAGATCCAGTCTCAGAAGGTCTAAGAAAGAATAACTATCGTGAAAACCGTCAGCATCTTGAAAAATTCTGTAGATTGTCAAAAGACAATATTGCGTGTATTCTATAGCGTGATGAAATAATTATTTTTAATAAAAGTCAAATTTTATAAATAATAAAATCTTAATGTATTATACTTAATAGAAGATTGTAGGTTTTACATGTCTATAAATTTTATTTCGAATGGATGAAAATTGAATTCGGGATTTTAATTTACTTTTTTATTATATTTTATAAATAGCCATTGAATTTGTTGTGTTCCAATTAAATACTTTATAAAATCAATTCAATGTTGTTGACACTATTTTATGTTTCCATTCTCGTATTTATTCTTACGACAAGTATCACACAAGTCTCTACTACAGTATAATAACAATAAACTGTGGAGCAAAAAAATAAAACATGTAAATGTATTTACATGCACACGTTATACAATTCCACGGTTTTGCGCTAACAAAACAAAACAAACTTAATTACAATACTCTCTTAAATCGATTTAATGTGTGAAAAACGATTATTATGCAATAAAAATAGATAATAAGACTCGCTTTAACTTTATGAGACACATTTGCTTTTTTCTGAGCAGTGTGCGGAAGAAAAGTGATTATAACAGCAAAACAGTTATTATCTCTGTTTTGTAGGTATACATAATATAATTAACACATGAAGTTAAAAAAATTCAGAAAATCGTCAATTAAAATCAAACACAATTCATCACGTGAGAACAATAGTGGTAAAAAGTTGGAGTAATAATAATCGAAGGAAGAAAACAGATGTGTTTCACAGCAGGAGACCGCTTTTACAGTTTTTTTTATGCCGATAAATGGACTGTGTTACACACGAGTGGACAGCTTTTATTCGCTTTTCTTCTTGCATATAAAAATAACAAAGTTACAATAACCTGTAATCACAGTCTGTAAATGGCTATAATAATTCTGAAGACGCGGAATTACATTCGTCCCTAACATGCTTAAGACTCGCTAAAATCCTCGCCTCTTCTTGCGTCGTAGCCAGTTCCATCAGTGCCAAAGCCCCCTGCCATTTTTTATTGTCTTCCTGTACCGGTAACTTGGCTACGTTTAGATTGTCCTCCCGCTGAACACCAATTATTTCCGTGGTCGCAGGATCGATCGGGGCGAGGGGCGGTCTCGAGACGATTTCTTTGCTGCTACTGGAACTACCGGCCAATATCAGAACCGTCGGTCTAGTCTCGTTTTCGCTGATACGAGAACTCGCCAGCGTGTCCTGATTCGTCGTTGTCTCCGTATGAACAATCTGCTCTGCATAATCGAAATGCGAGCATACCGATTCGGAACTTGGAATTTTCAAAGCAGACTCGTTAATACTCGTTTCAAAAATACCCTGATTACTCGACAAACTGTACAGCGGATCCCACTGCGGGTGATTCAGAGGATGCACAATCTCGTACACATTTTCTTTCGCCATTTCTTTTGGAGATTCGTTGTGATTCATAATGCAACACATTTGAGGGGCGGCATACGAAGGCTGCAGTTGCGCATTCGGAGTTTCGAGCTTGCTATCCAGAATCGGCACGGACGCATTATTTACGGCGACAGAATTATCCAAGTTGTACGTCGCGTAGGACCAGTGAAGCTGCGACGGTTCTGTGGATCCGCTCAGAATTTGTTTCTCGTCCATCTTGCATACGGCCGTTACATTGTTCGTTCTAACGTCCTCGTTCAGGTCTAGCTGTTGATCCAAGCAGGCGTATCGTAGCCATCGTTTCTTTGGTTGCAGTCGGTCCAAGGGTCGTCTCAGCGAGGTGATCGCCAGCTTGGCGCTCGACGCCTCCTCGTCCTCGGATGTTTGCAGTATCGCGCAGCACGTCTCAGCCGGATCCTCGTCCTGGCTCTCCTCCTGACTGTCCTGACTATTCTCCCCGCAGTGAAGCCGCTGATTCGATTGGTTGCGGTCGAGATTTTCCTGCTCCCCCGCCATGTCCATCATGAGGCCTTTTCTGGACTTTATCCTCTTGTGATTCTCGGCGGTGCTCTTCCACGTCTTCTTCTTCCGTTCGTTCTTCCCGGTCGGCGTGCGATCCTCTCGTTCCCTCGACATCTTGTAGCGCTCCAACCATCGCGTTACATCGTATGGTAATTCCGTGTTGTCGGACACAGGCTTCAGCACAAAGTCGTCTGATCTTGTAAGATTGGCGTAAGGATGATCGGGGCAATGTCTATTGGCATGAGTGAATCTCGTTTCACAACCCGGTTCGGTGCATAAAAATGGCTTCTCTCCTGTGTGCAATCGTTGATGAGTCTTCAGCTGTCCCGACTGGGTGAAAGCCTTCGTGCATCCAGGATAATCACAAGGATATGGACGTTCTCCTGCGGTCATAATCAATATAAATTTTTAATATATTTTAACAAAGCAATATCTTATTAAATATCTTATTATATCAGACTAATTATATAAACAAATTATGAAATATTATGTACATATAAAAATTTTGAAGTGTATCATCCTTCTAATATTCCATAATTTATTTAATACAAAACGGAATCTGACTTGTACATACGTACACATATCAACATTATGTTTTAATGTCAAATTTTAATTTTTTGAATTAACTATAAATTAACTTCACAATATATCAATGCCAGTTATCAAAATGTTTTCAAAAATTTGAATACATTCATACTAACGCACAGTTCAATCTTCAATACAATAATAAACAATAGAAGACGCTTTCATTACGTATCTGACATTTAAATATCTGTCAAACATTAGCTTTCACTCAGAGTTCAGTCAGTTCCGTTGTGAAAGAAAGGATACAGATCGAGAATGTTTGTGATTTTCGAAAAACCCGTCTTTCGGTCGCAAAAGCGGAAAAGCGCCGCCGCGTCCTCTTTTTTTTTTTGTTGTCCACAGACAAAGACCGCGCAACTTCGTGCCGTAACGGACCGACGAGATCGCGTGCACATACACGCATCGACCCTTTCCTTCCGCTGTTCCCCTCCCCCCCCCCACCATCCCCCTCTTCGCGCAGCCGGACCGATTAAAATTCCCACGCAGCTCGGCGCGGCACCGCCGGTTACACGTGTCACCGTATGCCGTAAATTTCGCGCGCAACTGGCGGCCGCCCGCCGAGAGTCGGGGACGCGTCGGAGCGTTGCGCCGGCACGCGAGACGAGCCATTTAAGTATTTAAAGCGCGGCATGATGGCGGGATTGGCGGGACGCGCGAGAGCCGAGCGAGCGTGCGAACGTAGCAGCAGCAGCAGCAGCAGCAAGCGAGACGCACGCGGACACGCGCGATCGTCTCTCGTCGATCGTCTCCCCCCCCCTCCCCCGAGGATCGCGCGAGGTTGAATGAAGCCGCGCCGAGTGAACGCGACGCCGGTGACGCAGAAGTCGATTTGCCCCTTTACCCGTGTGAGTGCGCAGGTGCGCCTGCAGGCTCTTCTCGCGCGGGAACACCCGGTTGCAGTAGGAGCACTTGATGCTGCTCGGCGAGGTGCTGCCCTGCTTCATGAGATTCGTGAGTGCGTCGGCGCGCGGCCGGCCGCGCCGGTGGCTCTCGGAGTTGCCGTTGCCGGCGACCGATCTGCCGCCCGCGCTACCGCCGCCCGCGTCCAGGCCCGCGACATGCTGCTCCCGGTATTCCGGCGAGGAGCACGAGCTGCCCGGGCTTAGATGCACGTTGCGCGCCTCCTCACCCCAGTTCCACGGATAGAGCGTCTTGTCCTCGCACATCGACGGGCTGCGGTCGAGCGACTCCGCTGACGGGCGCGACTCCCGCTTCGGCGTGTGGAGCTCCATCGTCGTCGTCGTCGTCGCCGTCGTCGTCGCCCGCCACCCTCAGCGGCCGACGGCTCCCTTTCCTCACCCGTCCGTTCGACACACGCTCACCCCCTGTTCGCTCCCGTTCTTTTCTCTCACAAGATCGGAGCAACCTCCACTCAACAAAACCGCGTCCGTTGTCGTTACACACCGATAACGCGATCGCAGGCGAACGTAAACCGCTGACTGGCTGACTCGCTGACACGCGCGACCTCTCTGCCGCCGCTGCGCGCGTGGTACGCGTGCCGCGTGCAACTGGTAAACCGCCAAAATACGCACACACGAGTGTACGCGCGGGTACACTCAAAATGGCTGACGCCGTGCGCGCGCAACCGCCACCGAAGTGACCGTCAAGGCATTCAAGGCCCAAGCGCGGATTTGCACTATTCAAGTCGCGCACGTGGAAACGTCGAACGTGGAGAGGATAAATCCATCGCGTCGATACGGAGCGATGCCGATTTATTTCAAGTCTCGTGGTCATACGTTCGTCCCTGTCTTTCACCGCGGTCACAGGTACTACGCGGATGCAGGTTAATTCAGACACCTGACGGCAGCTCTTACGCGTTCCGCTTTCGCGAACGAGCGTACACACGGGGCCATGAATGCCTTAACACTTGAAGTTACACGATGAAATAAGAACGCGTTTCTCATTGGAACGCGCTCTGAAGACGCGTTTCTGATTGGAACACGCTCGATACGTGCAACTTCAAGTGTTAAGGCATTCATGGCCCCGTGTGTACAAACGCGAGCGGAACAAAGTTATCATTCATGAAATACGATCGGGTGTTTTGCGGAAAAAAGATTCAGATTCAGATTAATGATTTGACAGCTAGATATAATAGTTAAAGGTCGCGGAGTCCGGGCGCGCGTTTGTAAACCCGCCTATTCCACGACGCGCGGCGGCGTCCAAGCGCTCCGAGATTTCCGGCGAGCGTTGATTGGCCGGCGCCGTTTGGACAAGTCCGATCGGCCGGCGGCGATTGGTCGAGGCGACCACTGCTACCACTGTACGCCGCAGTACGAAAAACCGAACGCGTCGAAACGACGGCGCGTGTCAACGCACAACGCTGCGCCGAATCCTGCTGGCGGCGATCGTCGCGTCCGCTCGAATGTTCGACGAGACGGCGGAGCCCAAGAGGAGCCCAAGAGAGATGCGCGTGCAATTCCCTCTCGGAGATACACAGCTAACAACAGCGACGGCGGCCGTTCGTCGCCGGCGGTCGCGGTTGACGCGACTCTCATGGAAATCGCGCGACTTTCCGGCCCGGGGGCGCACGAGTTACGAACAATTGAGAGTCTTCTCGTGCACCGCGCCACCGTGTCCCGGCGTATCGGGCCGCGCGAAAATTCACGGCGTAATTTTTCACGTCGCCCGCGACCGCGAGCGATACCCCGAGCGAATTGCAGATAATTCTGGTGGGGGAGGTGCAGCGCGCTCGCCGCACGGCAACTCCGCGGTACCTCGCCGCCCTCCCCTCGCTCCGTTCCACCTCCCCCTCCGCCCCCCTCCTCCACGCCCCTCGTCCGTTCTGCACGGCGCCGTAGCGGGATAGACCTCGTGGTGGACTCGGGCTCTCCGACTCGGCCATATTGGATAGTGAATGACTCCGTTACACAGGGGCTCAAGAGTAGCCGTGAAACCTTCGCAAGATCCTCGACGCCGTGAGGATACCGAGCCAAGATGGAAAACGAGTACACAGTTACGGTCACGAACAAGTTCCTGCTGGCGCTCGACGAGAGCGAGGACCCACTGGAGGTGCTAAAGGTGCGCGAGCAGGAGAAGGAAGCCAAGAAGAAGGAGAGGATCTCGGAGAAGGAGAACAAGACCAAGCAGCAGCAGCAGCAGCATCAACAGCAGGAGAAGCAGGAGAAGCAGGAGAAGCAGCAGCAGCAGCAGCAGCCGCAGGACGGCCAGAAGGCCGCCAACAACAAGACGCAGAAGAGCCGCGTGATCAAGGACGCCCAGCAGCCGCCGTCGAAGGCGCAGGAAGCTAAAAAGGATCAAGGTTAGCACCCCCCCCTGGCCCGTGTGCGGGCCGTGCGGCGCCTCCGGCCTCGTGCGCGCGTTATGGCCGTCGGCCCCCATGTGCTCGCCGATCCGGCCCGCCGATGCTTACTCCGCGAGAGCAGGAGCATTCCCCGTCGCCCGTCTGCCCCGATCGATCGGCCGACCGACCCCACGGCGGGATTCGGCGGGTGCTTGGCCGCTAGCGCCAACGCCGTGTCCCTTCCGCGTGGAGAGATTGACCGCGCGCGCGTCGGGTAGCGAAATTTTCTAAAAATGATTTGCGCGCCTTAAAAATAGGCTCGCGCGTGCCCGAATTCCGCGACGGTCTTATATGACCCGCGCGCGGGGAGACCCCTTTCCCTCCCTCTCTCCCTCCCTCCCCCTCCTCCTCCTCCCCCCCGATATCGCAATTCAAGCCCGAACTCGTGCGCGAACACGCCGGGTAATGCTCGTCTCGTACGGCGATATCTGCCGTACGCGGATATCTCCTCCCTCGGAGTTTTTATCTATCTACGATGGGATCGTATGATCGCAGGTGTATATCGCGAGATCCGGCTTCTGCTTCTTCGAACGCGATATCTTTTTGCATGTGATATCGAATTTATGAATAACACGGTGTAGACACAAACAACGGTAATGACGGTGTATCGCCGTGGAAAGCCTTTGTCCATTGTCGGCATGCTCGCGCGTCGATCGCTTGAATCTTAAAACGCGCATCTCTCGAGGAAATAATCGTAGAAGAATACGGAATGCGAAAGGACCTTTTTCTGAAGTTTTCTCATGTAACTGAACGATTGCGCGGCTCTTATTGACGAATTGTTAATTTTCCGGTCATTTTTCTTTCAAGGTAACAATAGTGTGTTTCTCTTTTTTCTTTATCTTGAAATAGTGCTGTTGTTTCAATACTTTAGAGTGATGCTTGTAATTTTATTTAATTTCAACGGTTAAATTTGAATACGTTTGTTTAATCGAAAGTGTCAGAAGCGTACGCTCGAAGTAATGTGCTAAACAATTTTTCTTCATTAAGAACAAATGCTTGTTTACGAGAAATAAGCTCTCTACATTTACACGCTTTTTGTCTTAATGTTCTCAGCCGATAAGAAACCTGCTCAACCAAGAACGAGCGGAGGAGACCGCAACGTAAAATTCTCCGGAGAGTCCAGGGAGGAGCGCAATAACAGGCGCAACCGAGAAGACGGAGAAAGGACGCTGCGAGGGCAAGGAGAGTTCAGGCGAGGACCTCCTAGGTTAGTTTCAAGATGAGATACTTAAGATATTAAGATCATCTACAATGTTACATTGTACTTTGGTCGTTTTAAATTTATCACGTTTTAATAACATTTCATTCGTGTAAACAACGTAAGATATTTCAATGAAAATCAAAGTATTTTTCTCTTTAATGTGATAAAGCTGCAGTTGGAAAGTATATATATTTTATTTTCTACTCGCTGTGGATACAATTCATACTTCTCCCAGTCTCCTTCGATTTGTTTTTTGTTTCTACTTGACTGTAAATTCGTATTGTCCACTCAAAATTTTCTTTTATTGTCTTATGCGCGACGCCACAGACCGGGGAATCAAACTCGGGTCTTCATATTACCAAACAACTGCTTTATCACTAAGTTATTCGGCGTCTCGAGTTGAGGTCTTTAAAAGTGTCTTTTAAGTAGTTTTAAAACATATACGTATACATGCGTCCGTGTGTACGTGGAATGTTGGATGCATAAACATGACACAACACATTAGCAGTGTGTTTCGATTAAATGACCGAGTAAATTTTACATTAAGCTGATTCTACGTTAGTTGCATCGCAGCGTCGCAAAGTAGAGATCCAATCAACGTTAGGCTAGCTTGACGCTGATGGGATCACAACTGGATCGCAACGTTTGCGACGGTGCGATGGGACTGATGTAGAACTAGCTTTATGTGCGAACAGGGGCGAATAGAAATGTGGAAGATGTAGATCCATTGATATGCACAATTCTCCTGAGATTTCTGCATTTCTTGAAATGTTTCTTGTTTTTTCTTTCTCGCACTCTCTCGTAACAAACGGCACGTCTCGTTTCGTTTTTTCAGCGAAGGCCGCGAGGGCCGCGAGGGCCGCGAGAGCCGCGATACGCGCGAGTTCCGAAACTCGAGCGATACTCAACGCGGCGAGTATGGCGAGCGCCGTGGCCGCGGTGGTATGCGCGGCATGGGCCGCGGACGTGGTGGCCCCCGTGGACGCGGCGGCTTCGACAATCGCGGCAAACGCGAGTTCGATCGCCAATCCGGTTCTGATAAAACGTAAGTATATGAAAACGCGCGCAAGCACACGTACACAAAAGAGACATTACACTCGAATATCTATATATAATAATGCTTGCCTCGGTGTGCGCACTACTTGTCTCAAGGTTGTTACGTTCAATCGAATTCTTTTCAGAGCACCGACAAATGCAGTTCTGTTATTATTCACTCCCACTCTGCTTTCTTGTATATTTTTGTATTCTTACGCTTAATCTCATTATTTCTTTCTAGTTGTGTTATACTTTTTTTTTTGTGTGTTACACACGACGGTGAATGCTTACCAAATAGCTTGTCGAATATTTTTCTTTTCACGTTCAATTGTAACCATAATCATGTAAATAAGCAGGAATGATTTCTCGACAGAAGCATTTGTAATGAGGCACGCATTGTTAATTATGTAACAGCGTAATGCTACGTAGCTTGATCGGTGCACTATAATTTTAAAGCCCATTCCACATTTGTCTATTAACAGTGGAATTAAACCAGTGGATAAAAAAGATGGTGCTGGCAGCCATAACTGGGGTACTCATAATGACGAAATAGAGTAAGTAATTCAAGGTAGTTCAAGTCTTCCTACAACAGCTGCTTTTGAATAAAAACAAAATATCTCATCTTAATCTTTATTCCTGTCTATCTTTTCTTTTTAGAGAGAGCCTGAATCAGGATAGTCAGGATTGGGCCAACGATAAGCCGGACTCCGATCCTCAAGCGCCGACCGAAGTTAAGAATGGAGAGACTACTACGGATGCGACTGTTGAGGAGAAACCGGCTGAGGAAGAGACGCGCGAGCTTACTCTGGACGAATGGAAGGCCCTGCGGAATAATAGAGCGAAGCCTCAATACAACTTGCGAAAGGCCGGCGAAGGAGAGGATCTGTCGCGTTGGAAGAAGATGTACGCTCTTGAGAAGAAGAAGGAAGGCAACGAGGAGGAGGAGGAAGAGGAAGAAGATTACGACGCGGCCGCGGAGTATCCTCAGCGCGTCGGCAGGCAAAAACGTGTGTTAGGCATCGAGATCCAGTTCAGTGACTCACGACGCGGTTCCGGCGGTCGCGGGCGAGGCGGACGCGGTCGTGGCGATCGCATGAACGGACGTGGATTTGGGAATCGTGGTGGTGCTCCCAGGGACGGTGAGACACGCGTAAGTCTCGCATTGCGTACATATTTTAAATTTTCTAAATTTTTTTTTTTAATTATAAAGCACTTAAAAAGGGAGAGAGAGAGAGAGAGAGAGAGAGAGCCTAAAAATAATATGTGCTTTTTGCAGTCACAGAACGAGCAGAGGTCGCCGCGAAGTCGTCAAAACGCTCCGAAGGTAGACGACGAGAATGACTTTCCTTCCTTGGGATAGGTAGCTTCTCATCTGTTGACTATATAACATCCCACCATTACCGTCACCATCAGTACATTTACAGATAAAGCTACACTAACTAAAAAAAAAAAAAATATTACTATCGAGAATCTTGCGTTAGTGATAACATTATTAATGCATAATACAGTACACCGTTACAGAAAATGAGATACGTAATATTATCTAAAAATTCCTCTCGTGACTTGAACGTCACACATTACGCATTGGCATAATCGTACACATGAAAAGCTGCATGATGTATGAAGACGAAAAATAGATAACGATCCTTTTTTTTGTACTTGTGAGAAGCCATTTGTCTGCAACTAGTCCGAGACACTGGCCAGCGGACAAACGATCTGTGGAGAGTGAAGCATATAGTCTCTTGTTAATAATTTCGAATCCATAAAGATGACAGGAAGAAAATATAAAGAAGAGATTGTGAGAAAGAAAGAAAGAAAGTGAGAGAAAGAAAGAGAGTTTAAGCGGACCAGCAAGCGTAGAACGTTATGGAGTATATACTTCAAGTTACAGTTTCAATCTGCTTAAATCCGAATCGAAGACAATTACCGAAAGAAGGGGAAATTTTTGCTGTACACAAAAGTAGCGGAACGTGGGCTGCGGTATCGATTCTTGATCTCGATGTCGCGTTAAAGGCCTAAAGGAGGCTGGATGTAGCATCGATACACGCGCGAACATGTAAAATATCTCTTTTTAGGCGTAAATTTTAAACGCACTTTCTGTTTTATAAGTTTTATACGATTTGGAAAAGAAGAATCCTTCCTTGTAAAACACACACACTTACACACGTACACACACAGGCGGGTCTGATCACTTGCCATGCGTAAGATGTAAGAAAACTTTTAACAGGGAGGGTAGATTTCTATTTAAGAAAATGCATCCTAAATAAATCATCTTACTTAGAACGTGCTAAGTTTGACATATATACATATATATATGTATGTATGTATGTATGTATGTATATGTATATGTATACATAGAGAGAAAGAGACTTCCCTTTTGAAGATGTAGTCGATCTTGTGCGAAGTTAACATTTAATATCTTGAACACACATTGACACAGTTTTAGGTAATATATATTATATATAAACACATGGATATGTATACATATATGTATTCTATTATAAATCGAAAAAGAAGTGAGAAACGTGATACGCCGAGGGGGGGAAAGACAGAACGAATGAGTCTACTCATATTAGTATGTTACACTTATGCGTTCTCATATTCTTAATTACGAACTAATATTAGTTATTTACTATATTTGTTATACAATTAAAGAAATTATCGCAGCCAAAACATTCACCTCATGTCCATCATAGAAGAAGACGGAAAGAAAAAAAGATGACGGAAACAAAAAAAATAACGTTACGAAGCTGTTTGCAGCTTTAGATATATGTGTAAATAACATTTACAATAATAAATTGTGACGATGATCGGACACTATGAACTTCGATTAACTTCATCAGTCAGCTAAGATTATTCTAAAGCAGGTTCTTTCTCTTGTTTGTGCACATCTGTACAGAGAAAAAAAAAGCGTAAGTACAAAAAGTATACTATTTTAAATGTCGCGGAAGGGAAAAAAGGATCCGAATCTGAGGAAAAAAAATTAATTCATTGAGACGTGTTATGCTAATAAAGTTGTAAATGTAACAATTTTATTGTAGTTTCTCTGCAATTAACAATAATGATCGTTCCTTGCACGATTAATCATATTTTTCACGTCACCTCTGCTTTAAAATCATTCCTTTTTTTTTTTTTTTTTTGAATTGCCGCCTTGGCCTCCGATAAACGCCATTTCAATCGCACGGAGCTAACTGGAGCTAACTTCACGTCGCACAATTGACTAAATGAGACTGTTTAATTTTTATCTTTTACAAGTTGCGCATATGATCGTTTTAAATTTCATATTAGATCAATTTCGAATATATGAATGAGTAAATTGTCAGATGTGATCGATCGAACAGAAGCGTAGACATCTTTCGCCAGAAACGCGTCGAGCTACGTCGCTTTGCCGCGGGAGAGCGCTTCGTTCAGCTTCGTTCGCCATATGTGCAGGCGCGATGGATACGCACATCTCTCCAGCCAGGTATACAGATAGATATATATACACGGTACTCCAGAAAAATCGCGTATTTCACGAAGGACATACCAATTTGGAAGGAATTCAACTAAGAACGCATTAATGATCGGGTCGTCGTGAACTTGTAAATATAATTCCTGCATTTGCAACAAATTTCGATGCAATTACCACGAAACTTTTGGAAAACGCAGGTGAAAACTTCGTTTGTCGAGTAATCTCAAACTTTACGTTAACAAACTTCGTAGCGAAAAATTGCCTCGATTAATTTTTAGGATAAGAAAAATTTAACGTTGCCGAGGGAATATCGCTTCGCGGGGAAAGTATCTGTTAACAAAAAGAAAAGTTTCGGGACATCCTGTACATTATAGCCGTGCGTGCACGCTGTACATACGTCGAGTGTGTGCGGAAGCGAAAGGGAAGACGAGAGAGAACGAAGGGGGAAAGAGAGAGGTAGGCAGTCTCGAGAAGACGGGAAGTAAAGGGTGAAGAGTGTCCAGCTAGCGGCGTCGAAGGAGGATTCGCGACGAGAGCGAGCGAGAAGTCGCGCGAGCGAGGGGGACGGACGCACCCGTGCGGAGAGGAAACTAAGAGGGAGAGAGAGTGAGACGGAGCACAGCGGCGCATGCCGTAGTCACGGCCCCCCGACCCGACGACTCGCGCCTCTATAAAACTCGTGCAGCCAGAGCGCAGCGGCCCCCGTGTCGGACGAATTTTAATGGCGGCTGATCCCGACTCCGCCGTTTGCAGTGTTGTGTTGTGAGGCGACACGGACGGACGGCCGCACGGGCGCATCGCGCGGCGCCGACTTTATGATATCGAAACGGAGCATCGCGGATCATCATCATCATCATCATCGTCCGGCGACGATACCCCGCCCGCGGTGCTGTGCGTGTGCGGCGGTGACGGCGGCGGCGGCAGCGGCCGAGCGGCGGTGGCGACGGCCAGTGGCAGTGGCAGCAACAGCGACAGCCCCGTTCGTGGTGGCGACCAGTGCCTATCTACGCGAGCCGGGGAGCAGCCTCCGCCATCCGTGCGAGCATGCCGCATATCCGCGATGTGCCGTAGCGACCGCGCCGTTGTGCGAGCGACGTTCCCGCAACGTGCATCCGCGACGTGCGACGCGCAGCGAGCAAGGTAAAATTCGCCCAGCCGAGCCGAGAGCGAGCGCACGAGTCGACGGGAAGAGGTACGAGGTGGCGGCCCTGGCGTCTCGCCCGATATCGTCGCTCGCCTCGCGCTTACAGAGCTCCGTGGGGCCAGCGTGTCGCGTCTCGCGAGTAAAATCGGGGCCCTTTCCGCTCTGCTCTCCGTTCCCGACGTTCTCGTCCGCATATTTACGATTTCTCTACGCGTCTCGGCGCTTACGGCGGCGCGATCGCCGTAATTCGTCATCGCGGCCGTGTTTTGGTAGGCGATGTGATCGTGACGGGAATGGGAAGAGGAGGTGGCGGTGAGGGAGGGGCGAAGGAACGGGGTTGGCGGAGAGTATCCTTTGCCTTTGTGCGAAGACAGTGGCCTTAGCTGTCAAGTGCAGGCTACGTTTGGTCACGCTAATGAAGGGCGGTGCGTGATACGGTGTTGCTCCGAAATGCGTGGAGCCATCTGCCCCTCGCCGTTGTGCGTCTTCATTGTTAGAAAGGCTTGGCGAACTCTCTTTTTACCGCTCCTCGGTGGCCGTCGACGGAGAAACCTCTTGAACGGAAGCGCGTTGCCAGCGTGTACGCGCCGTGCGGCAGCCGACTGGCATCTTGTCGAGACGCTACCGATGCTCGGCGTGGCATTTCGTACGCGATTCGTGGTCTCTTTTTTTTTTAACGCACGTCGCGTATGGATTTCGCTAGAATCGTTGGCTGTGCGTTTTTTAAGGTTATTCCGAAAAGTCTGTGTCTCGTGTAGTTTTCCGCACAGCGTGTTTCCGCTAGTTTATCGAAATTGTGAAAAAAAATCCGAGGAATACGTTCGCGGGTAGAATATTGCAGACGTAATAAAATTAACGTGCACGTGGTGTATCGAGATAATCGAGATAATTATAAACGAGTAAGATATAACGAGAATTATATGAAGCTTAGCTCTTAACATGCTGAATAGTTAATTGACCCGAACATATGTACAATATAATTGATACGCTTCTAATTCGATATAATTTATTCGTAATGTTTCAGGAGTGCCAGACAATGATCGGCATGTCGGTGCTTGCGCTCAAGCATAGCTGGTAGTACTGCGTTAACACTGGCTCGCTACCAGTGGCAGGGCACGTACCCTGACGTACCTTTTACATTTCCTCTCCTAGACCTGCATACGCACTGACGCACACGCGACGCGTGTGCGCACGTGCTTTGTCAGCTGTCGCGTACACACCATGAGATTCCTGGGACTCACCCAGTCATTTCCCAAATCGCCTACAGTGACGCATTCGCAAGTGCCGCTGCCACCGCTCCTCCATCAATTATCCCTCTCATCCATGTCCATTGCCACATGGTTCCTAGTGATATTGGCGACCGCAGCGATAGACACCCCCGCCAGCACCGTTCCACCGATACAGGACAACAAGTCGCCGCATATAATAGCGCAGTTCCCCGCGGGAAATGGACAGCGATACGGACATTTTTCCTTGGACGCCAATGCAACCAGAGAGGGGGCTTTGAGATTTAATCACCTCGCTATAGATCCTTCCTCAGGCAGGCTCTATGGAGGTGCGATCAACAGACTCTTTCAACTCGATTCAAATCTCAAATTGGAGGAATATGTCTCAACAGGTTAGTATTTTTTTTTCCTCTTATTGGCATAACATAAATTCTCGCGACATATAAGATGACTAATCAATGTCTTCTCATTTCAGGACCGAGACTGGACAATCCTCAGTGTCATGCAACAGGTTGCATGACAAGAGACATACCTACTTCCTTGATGGATAATGTGAACAAGCTGCTAGTCGCCGATCTCGAGTCGCAGATGTTAATCGCCTGCGGCTCCCTTCTTCAAGGCGCCTGCGAGAAATACAAAATGTCCAACATATCCATTAAGCCGGAATTTATTCCTCTCAGCGTGGCCGCCAACGACGAGAGCTCGTCCACGTACGCGTTCATCGGACCCGAGAAGTACAATCCGTGGGCGCAGACGAACATACTCTACGTGGGAACGACGTTCACCAACAAGGGGGATTATCGTCACGACGTGCCCGCCATCTCCAGCAGAAATCTCGACAAGCTGGATTTCGCCGAGTACACGTTCAACCATCAGTCGATCGTGTACATCGACGTCAAGTATCGGGATCACTTCCTGGTGAAGTACGTGTACGGGTTCAACGCGAGCGACTACGCGTACTTCGTTCTGGTGCAGAAGCAGTCGTATCTGCCCGAGCAGGAGGAACTGGGATACATTTCCAGACTGGCGCGAAGCTGCATAAGCGATCCGAACTACGACAGCTACACCGAAGTGACCCTGCAGTGTACGGTCGACTTGGGGGACGGGAAGCAGCACCATTACAACTTGGTGCAGGACGCGAAGGTGGCGGCGGCGGGCAGCGATCTGGCCATGCAACTCGGCATCTCCGTCGGCGATCCGGTATTCGTCTCTGTATTCGCGCCCAGCAGAGGCATCACGAACGAGCCTCTGTCACGCTCGGCGGTCTGCATCTACAGCCTGCAAGACATTGAGACCAAGTTCAACGAGAATATTCACATGTGCTTCAACGGTAGCATCAAGTATCGAAATATGGGCTACGTCAGCGGTCCTATACAAGACGGAAAATGCCCCACGGCCGGTGTAAGTATAACGTTACCCAGTACAAAGAATAAGCGTTAGAGAAAGTGTATTTTGCTATTTTCTACATTGATTGTATTGCTTTGTTTTGCAGACTACAGGAAATATTCTGAACTTCTGCGAGGTGGGATTAAAAATTTCGGGCGTATCGCCAATCACGGGCCAGGCTATACTGCACTTTCCCGACTCGTTTATCACCTCGGTAACCATCGCCAACACCGAGAGTCACACCGTAGCGTTTTTCGGCACGAACGACGGCGTACTCAAGAAGGTTCTGCTGTCCGGAGTTGAAGCGTTCGTCTACGAAAGTGTTACGATTGATAAGGGACAAAAGATATTTCCTGACACACTTATTTCACCGGACGGCGAATATATCTACGCATTATCCAACTCGAAGATAACAAAGGTCAAAGTGGAGCATTGCAGTGGTTATACCAATTGCAGCAGTTGCCTCGATGCGAAAGACCCCTACTGCGGCTGGTGCTCTTTAGAAAAGAGGTAAATTGATTATTATACAGAACAAACTTTAGATTGCTCATAAATATGAAACTTTTTGTATTGATATTTATAATGTGAATATATTTTTTTTTAACCCACAGATGTACTGTAAGAGGCGACTGTCAAAAAGCAAGTCACAGCAGTCCGCGATGGTTGTCCCTGGGCACGGGTCAGCAGTGCATCGATTTCGAGCAAGTTCTACCCGACCGTATGCCCATTAATCAGATGACCACGGTGCAATTAACAATTAGAACTTTACCGGAATTACCAACGGGCGCTAATTACAAGTGCGTTTTTGGTAACGCCG